TTCTGTTTCTCAAACTGTTTTTACTTATGTCCACATTTAATCCATCAAGGCTGACCTCCTAAGCCCAATTACTTAGGAGAAAGTCCCACTTAATTATTAGCATACCCTCCAACGTTTTCCCACTGAAAATTGGGACACCCTATTCCACAACAACAACAATAATTTTATTATTTACACCCCATATTTTTTATAAAATTAAAAACAATTTTATTATTTGTATGCCACCCATCTGACTGGGTTGTCCCAGCCACTCTGGGCAGCTTCCAACAGACACATATAAAACCATGATAAAACATTTAAAAAAACTTCCCCATACAGGGCTGCCTTCAAATATCTTCTAAAGGTTGTTACAGCTACTTATCTCCTTGGCTCGGGGTGACACATAACTCCAAACCCTCCAACATTTCTCCAGTTGGAACGGCCTAAGGAAAAGCAGGACATTCTAGGATCAAATCAGAAACCGGAACGACTTCTGTAAATCTGGGACTGTCCCTGGAAAATAGGGACACTTGGAAGGTCTGTAATAGGACTTATTAATTTCAGAGTAAAACTGGTAAGTCCTATTACAGACCTTATTTATTTATTTATTTATTTACCTTATTTACTTCTGAGTAAAACTGGTAACAGGGACGCGGGCAGCGCTGTGGTCTAAACCACAGAGCCTTACTGATCAGAAGGTCAGCGGTTCGAATCCCCGTGACGGGGTGAGCTCCCATTGCTCGGTCCTTGCTCCTGCCAACCTAGCAGTTCGAAAGCATGCCAGTGCAAGTTGATAAATAGGTACCGCTGCAGCGGGAAGGTAAACGGCATTTCCGTGCGCTGTTCTGGTTCGCCAGAAGTGGGTTAGTCATGCTGGCCACATGACCCGGAAGCTGTACGCCAGCTCCCTCGGCCAATAAAGCGAGATGAGCGCCGCAACCCCAGAGTCGTCCACGACTGGACCTAACGGTCAGGGGTCCCTTTACCTTTACCTAAAACTGGTAAGGATTGTGGTGTAATTCATCAGGTTGAACACATACAGTTAGGACAGCCAGAGGACAGCTGCAGCGGTTTGCTACTTACCATCAGTGGCAGCCAAAGTGGTGGGTTGGAAAATCCCCCATATGAGAAGTAGCTCCAGTCCAGTGTAAAAGCCACCCATCTCTTCTCCAGCTGTAAGCTGGTTCTGAAGGTGGCAGGAGGTTTTCCACTGACTGAATGCGAGCCGACACGCCTCTCTAGTGCAGAGCCAGAGGAAAGGGACTTGATAACATATTTATATGCTCGTTGTCTCAAGTCTGATCAGCGTTGCTCTCTGACTCTCCCCCATCCACCCCCTCCTTGTCTAAGAATAGGCGAAACTGTCCTTCTCAGGTGTGAGGTCTACTCATCCAGGAAGCCACATTTTCTTGTCAAGGTGTGACACAGCTTTGCTCTTGCTGTGGAGGAGGAGGAAGTGGTTTTCACAACTGGCTAACGCTCTGCGGATGAGCTTGGCAGAGAGTGGACAGCTCTACCCAAACTCATTGTGTGGCCATTGTTATAGTGACCCCCAAGCCAGCGGACGGTTGCTCGTCTCTGGTCTAGGATGGACTGAAGTGTGGCAAGGAAAAGGAGAATTAAAGCACCATCTTTAACAGCCTCGGCCCAGTATACCTGAAGAAGCGCCTCCACTCCCATCGTTCTGCCCGGACGCTGAGGTCCAGCTCCAAGGGCCTTCTGGCGGTTCCCTCATTGTGAGAAGCAAAGCTACAGGGAACCAGGCAGAGGGCCTTCTCGGTAGTGGCACCCGCCCTGTGGAACACCCTCCCATCAGATGTCAAAGAGATAAACTACAGTGGTACCTAGGGTTACATACGCTTCAGGTTACATACACTTCAGGTTACAGACTCCGCTAACCCAGAAATAGTACCTCGGGTTAAGAACTTTGCTTCAGGATGAGAACAGAAATCGGGCGGCGGCGGTGCAGCGGCAGCGGGAGGCCCCATTAGCTAAAGTGGTACCTCAGGTTAAGAACAGTTTCAGGTTAAGACCGGACCTCTGGAACGAATTAAGTACGTAACCAGAGGTACCACTGTACCTGACATTTAGAAGACATCTGAAGGCAGCCCTGTTCAGGGAAGTTTTTAATGTGTGACATTTTAATGTATTTTTAATCTTTGTTGGAAGGCACCCAGAGTGGCTGGGGAAACCCAGCCAGATGGGTGGGGTACAAATAATAAATTATTATAGTATTATTATTATATTATTATCTTGGATGCACTTGGCGCTACAGGAGAGCAGGCGCTATGCAGTATTCCAGGTTTCGGAGTGCTCTTGGGTCAAGCACTCTCCCTCTTGTTCCTGGACCTCTTTGTCAGGTGTGTTGCAATGTCCTCCTTGTTGGTTCCACTTTTTGGCTCAGGCAAACAGCCAAAGAGCAAGCAGGCAGTGGGACCAACTTATCCAACTGCACCCATTGGTGGCTGGGATGGGTGGGTCAGATGGCAGGTGGAGTCAAGAGTTCTTGCTCTTTTTCTCGTGACACGCTTTTGATGTTTACTGAACTATTTCTTTAGGAAATTCCCTGGTTGATCATATGCACTTGATGCTTCATTTGCCCCTTTCAGATCAGAGCGCACCCATCTCTTCCAGGACAGCTTACTATTTTGCTGCTGCACAGAAAATAGTGACAGATTTCATTTTTATTTTTTGCTGTGGCATACTTTTCTGGGGTTTTCTTTTTCTCCCCCCCTTAAAATCTTTTATTGAAATTAATAGATATCATAAAAAGGTAAAGGTAAAGGTAAAGGCTGCAGAAGCAGCGCCTCCAGTTGGGGAAACTTTGGGATACAGCCGGACCTCCGAAATGGATCCTGTCCGCAACTGGAGGTACCACTGTAATCCAGTAGATCAGAGGAGGCTAACCTGTGTCCTTCAGGAGGTTTTGGAATACCTATAATTACAACTACAGTCAACTCGCATCTTGTGTGCATTTAATTTTTTGCTATTGACCGCCTACTTGCCAGCAGGTCAGCTGACATTGCACAAATTAAATGCATGCAAAGTGGAGAACTAAAACCTTCCTCTGTGCTGGGTTTTCCTGGAAAAGACTTTTAAGCTCCCAGACTTGCTTACTGGGCTCTGGGACGGTCTCAGGCGGGCTCTGAGATGTTGAGATACAAGGGGTCAAACAGCCCCTTATCAATTTGACAGGGTACGGTTTCCGTTCCTAACCTTCGTAAACACTTCTCTTAAGAATTCGTGGCCTCCAGCTACCCACACGGGGTTTTGGAGGGCCGTACCAGACAGTTGGTTTTACTTAATTCTTTATCCGATTTAAGGCTTATCGCTTCTTTCCAACAATGCGCCGTATCAAGGACATGAGATCTGAAACTTCTTCCTTTTAAAATTGTGCAATTTGCACCATCAAGAAAAGGTTTCCTGTGGAAAAAAGGCTCTGTAGCTCTGTCCTATCACAATGGCTCCTACTGCCAGACACCGGGCAGATCTACACCATGTATGTCAACCCCATTCAATGCACATTTAAAACACAGTGCCCATTTATTTATTTATTTTCATAAGATGTATACGCTGCTTGATTGTAAAAAACCCCAACAACCTCAAAGCAGTTTACGAAAAGATAAAACAATAAAATCAAGAAAATGTGTCTCCCCCTCACAGAGCTACCATTTCCAGCACCCTTAACAAACTACAGTTCCCAAGAATCTTTGAGGGAAAGTTACGTGTGTTAAATGTATGGTGTGCGTTTTTGTTTGTTTTTTACAAAAATGTATGGTGTGGATCTAGGCCTGGTGTGTCTGTCGATTGGTGGCTCAATAAGGGAGACTGCATATCTGCCGTGTTAAGTATCCATATTGGGCTTTAATTGGATTTTTATTGCTTCTTTTATTTCTAAAGAAAGACGGTCTTTTGTTGCGTTACAATTTGAATGCCACAGAATTCCAATACAGTGGTATCTCGTGTTACGGACAGCCTCCGTTCCGGAGGCCCGTCCGTAACGTGAAATGCCCGCAACTCGAAGCGCTGCGTCTGCGCAGGCGCGCTGCGCATTTTGGCGCTTCTGCGAAAAAAAAGGTTTAGTGCTCCTGCGCATGCGTGAGTGGTGAAACCCGGAAGTAACCCATTCCAGTACTTCTGGGATGCCACGGGACGAAATGCAAAAAGCCGCAACATAAAGCGGACGCAACACGAGGTATGACTGTATTTATTGCTGCACCATGTATGGAAGTGAGAGCTGAACCATAAAGAAGGCTGATCGCCGAAGAATGGATGCTTTTGAATTCTGGTGCTGGAGGAGACTCTTGAGAGTCCCGTGGACTGCAAGAAGGTCAAACCCATCCATTCTGAAGGAAATCCGCCCTGAGTGCTCACTGGAAGGACAGATCCTGAAGCTGAAGCTCCAAGACTTTGGCCACCTCATGAGAAGAGAAGACTCCCTGGAAAAGACCCTGATGCTGGGAAAGATGGAGGGCACAAGGAGAAGGGGACGACAGAGGACGAGATGGTTGGACAGTGTTCTCGAAGCTACCAGCATGAGTTTGACCAAACTGGGGAGGCAGTGGAAGACAGGAGTGCCTGGCATGCTCTGGTCCATGGGGTCACAAAGAGTCGGACAGACTAAACAACAACAAACAACAAATTGTTGCACCGGGCAGAAAAATCCACTGAGACCGTCCATAGAATTGATCACAGGACATGGTGCAGGCAAGCCATTTGAATGGCAATGGCCATCAACTTGGGGGGCGGGCCCTTCAAATATTTTATTGGGGGGGTGGATCTGCAGAGCCCTCGACCCCTAGGAGTTGGCTGCTATGCTAACCAGTGCGACGCCCGTTTTGGGAATCAACTCCAGGTTTCTGCAAAACCATTTGCTGCAGAACGCTGGCAGGGGAAGAAAGGGTTAACAACTTCACTCTAGCCCCTTCAGAGCACTAGGGAAACCCCATACGCTTGAGCGTCCCGGAGCTTTTGCAAGCCTTTCGGAAGGGTTGTTCCAAACAGATGAACGGGGGGGGTGCATGCATGAGTATTTTTAGGTGGAGACGCTGCTAGGGAAACCCAGTGTAAGCTTGACAGATACCAAGGGTAGTACATAAAAAGTGTTTGTGGTGATGTGTGCAACCAGGGCAGGAGGTTTGAGCTGGGGTGTTCTGCAGAGGGCGATCGGGAAGATCTCTCCCTCTTGTCGTTCTTGAGTTGGTACGATCCATCGTTTCTCTCCCCTTATCTGTTCTGCAAGCTGAGCTGAGTTCCAGATGAGCGCGGCGCGTTAGCGGAGTGGGATGGCGGTGGGGAGAGTTAGGGCTTGTTTTGCAAAACCTTTTGCTGGCTTGGAGCAATTCTATTTTAAAGTAGTGTAATTGCTTAGGAAAGCTTATTTTCCATTTCCAGTTGAGCTTTGGGGGGGAGTGGAGGGGAAACAGCTTAAGAAGAAAAGCACAGTTGAGTTTTTTTAAAAACGCTGCTTTTTTAGGATTTGCGTGTTTTTGTGCAGTGATTATTTCGGCAGAGTTCTCTCTTTTTAAATGAGCCATATACTTTATATATAACTTTAAAGGGCCAGAAAAGCTAGTCTGCCCCTTTGCTCCTGTGTGAAGCTGACATGCAACATGCAAAAGCTGTTTACTTTTTTAAAACAGAGCTAGCTCTGTTTATTTAACACTTAACTACTGGCAGTTCCCAAAAAAGGGGAGTGTGTTTGTGGAAAGGTAGTCATTTTTACAGAACTGCTGTCAGTATAAACCACCCAATGTAAATTTTACTTCAAAAGGGAATTGGTTGTCTCACTGTAGTGAGAAATGCTGTTGCAAAGGGTTGCGTTTAAATTAAAAAGGACAATTAAACCTAAAAGCTTGGAGAATCCAGCTTTTTTCATTTTTTAAAAAGGCTGTTGCTGTTTGTTCCAGAAACAAGTAGTTTGGTTGCAGTTACTAGCAATGGTTAAATGGAACTGCAATGGCTAGGAAGTGTGTGAAATGCAAACTATGGGGCAGTTGCTATCCTAATAGCCCTGCTTTTGCACTTTTCAGAGGAATTGAGTTGTGTGCCTGAGGATTTAGCAGTTTTTTTTCTAAAGGAAAACGCTGGGATCCCCCCCCCCCCTTAATTGGTTCTTAACTAGATGTTCCACCTGGTGGTTAATCTGGTTGAATGCAGGTGTTGGCTGTTAGTGATAAATAGGGATGATTTCTCTTACCTGTCCTTCCTGAGGTCTCAGCACACATTAGAGCAGTGTTTTTCAACCTTTTTTGGGCAAAGGCACACTTGTTTCATGGAAAAAAATCGCAAGGCACACCACCATTAGAAAATGTTAAAAAAATTAACTCTGAGCCTATATTGACTATATATAAAGTAATTCTCTTGAATAGGAATCAAATAAACACAAAGAAAGTATTTTATAATTACTTTATTATGAAATAGTAAGTAAACAGAAATATGAAAAAATATAAAATACTTTATTCAGTGCGCAACCTGGGCCTGTTTGGCTGAACACAAAGCTGATATTCTGGCTGGAATCGAAGAAAGACACAAACGTAGCTCTTCGTCAACAGCTCTCAGTCTCTCTCTGTATTTAGTTTTTATAGCAATCATGCTTGAAAAGCTCATCTCACACAGATATGTAGTGGAAAATGGGAGCAATGTCAAAATAGCTTTGTTTGCCAGAAGGGGGAACTCCTTGGCAGTATCCAACCAAAAGCTGTCCAAAGGTAGATCAGCAAATCTTAGCTTGAAACCACGATTTTGTCTCAGTTCAGTTAGTTCCTCCTGCTCCTGTAAAGTCATGTCCTTTCCACCAACTGATGCTGAGCTATAAGGGTCCCTAACCCAGTCAAGGCATTCAGTGGAGACTGAAGAGAAATAAAATGACAACTTCTCCGGTCCTCCTGGTGACTCGAGTCGCGATGTCTTCTTCTCTCCGCTGCTGCGCACACTGTGCTCGGGCGGGAAGGAAGTCGGAAGATGATGTCCTACTGTGATAGGTCCAGGCTGGAGTCTGGACCAATCACAGCCCGGACATCAGAAAAGTGGAGGGTGTCCCCCTGAGGAGCGCCAATCGGCGCCCCTGCTGGCCGAGGGTGGGGTCAAAAACCCCCCCATACCCACGACACAGTTCGGCGCCCCCCTAGTGGGCGAAAAATTGAATTTTATTTTTAAAAAATCTTTCGAATTTTTCAATTTTTCCCACAGCACACCGGGCAAAACACTGCATTAGAGCATTAAAAAGAATAAAAAGTGGCTTTTAAAGAACTTTCAATTATAAAAGTAGAATTACTGGTAAAAACAAAGTGAAACTAAAACCAGCAAAAAGAAAAGCAATTTGAATTAAAAGTTAAGATGATTTGGGGAAGGTTTGATCTACTGGTTCTATGTTTCATACCTTGCCCAGTTAGCCCTGCTAGTTGCAAGTTTGCCAAGAAGGCCCCGGGAATTGGGGTGGAGGCATTCCATGGGATTACCAAGCACGAAAGGCACCGAAGTGAGGGGTTTTTGTAACCAGAGGTGGAAATTTTGCAGCTGCAAAATGCTTTTCAATTAAACAGCAGCTCCTGACTCTGGGGAATAGGTGGTTAAGAGCCAGGAGAAAGATGGGTGGTGTGGAGGTTTGCAAAACAAGCTAAAAGAGTATGGGAAAGGTCTCTGATCACACAAGGTTCCTTAAATTACTGCAGAAATAGGCTCAAAACCAACTTCAGCATGCGATATCACTTGGTGCTTCTGCTGAACCTTACCCATATATACCAGAATTCTGCTAGTCTTTAAGGCAGGGGTCCTCCAACTTCTTAAACCTAGCCATGTGTAGGGGTAGGCCTGGGTGTAAAAGTTTGGCATAAAATTTATACACCGCTTTAATAACAAACTCAGTGGGTTTGCAAAGACTCAAATGATGGCATTAGCAGTGAAAGCTATTTAAAACACTCAAGAATTAAAATCTGCAATTGACTAAAAGTTTTAAACACGTTTAATACATTAGCTTTTTGCATTAGAAATGCCTCTATTCAGTCAGAATCTACAGAGCGCTGCATAGCTTTGAGAAATCTTAAGTGTTTGAGTGGACCACTCCCCAATGCTAAAGGACTATGTACTTCTGAAATGCTCCTACAAACTAGGCAGCCCTCCATTTTGCACCTTTATTGGGTGATTACCTGAATTCATTGGGTTTTCAGGGAGAGGAATTTGGATGAAGAAATGTTTTTTGTGTTATAGTATTGTCATGTGAAATATCAGGGAGTACAACAAGGAAACAAAAGAAAAGCCATTCAAAACAATGAAAAATAATTAAAGTACCTAGCTAAGAAAACAAAATGAAAGTCTCTTCTCAGCTGCTGTTAATCTGCATTCAGCTGTTCCGGGACCTTAATGTGATCAGGTTTCTTAGGAATTCCTATACATAATTTTGATAGACTTTTAAGAAAGCTAACCAAGTTTTTGATGCCCAAGAAGGAAAGGCAGAACAGAAAGAAGTGTTTATATGACAGATTTACAGTTTTAAAAACTTACCTTCACAGGTGTTTTGGGTTAAATTTGGTTATTAATCAAAATACAAAACAAATTGCATTTTTCAGATGAGGTTTTTTAAAAAATTGCGTTAGGTCTTTGTTTCCGCCTCGAGAAGCAGGTGTAGGACAGGAAAATTGTGCTTGTTTGCTTTTCTCTTATCAAGTGTAGGTTAGACCTTTTTTAAAGACCTACCACCCATGGTAAAATTGGTAAAGTACCACTTGACCTTTTTTAAAAAGCACAACTAAGAAGGCTTTGTTGCAAGGTTTAGATTTCTTAACAGTCACTACTTTTTGTGAAATGAGCAGAGTTGGATGACAATTGTATATTTCCATTAAGACCAGAATTGTATTCAGTTTTGCTAATGTGCCAACTGAATAAAGGAAATTAAGAGAAAAAGTACAAGAATGTGACAACGTAATATTATATATAAACAGCAATTAATCTAAAACTGAAATGGGTACACTCTCTAGGACTTCGAGATGTTAACTGTTAAACAAGCTATTTATGCTTTGCAGTTTGCTTGCAGCTAAAGCACATAATGAAGTATTATCTATTACATGCGGGTAAAAGTCCTTACAAGATATGCTACTTGATGAGTAGGTTGTTGAGCTAGATGAAATGTGGCTTGGGATTTTTTGTGTGCATTGCTATCCTTCGAAGAACATTGCAATTACAGTGGTGCCTCGCAAGACGAAATTAATTCGTTCCGCAAGTCTCTTCGTCTTGCGAGTTTTTCGTCTTGCGATGCACGGTTTCCCATAGGAATGCATTGAAAATCAATTAATGCGTTCCTAGGAAGCCGCCTTCAGACCAGGTCCGGGGACAGTCTGTCCCCGGACCTCTTCTGAAGGCTGGGGGAGGCAAGGGCTTTCTTCCCACCCCCAGCATTTTAAAAACCCGGGACAGCGGAGGACTTCTCCGCTGTCAGGCGATCTTAAAATGCTGGCGGGCGGCATTTTAAAATCACCCGGGACAGCGGAGGACTTCTCCGCTGTCCGGGGCAATTAAAGCCCCTGGGAAGGCAGGCAGGGGGACAAAGACTTTGCCCCCGCCAGCCTTCAGAAGAGTCCTGGACCTCTTCTGAAGGCGGGCGGGGCGAAGTCTTTGCTCCCCCGCCTTCAAAAGCCCTCCCGGGACAGGCAGGCAGGGGAGCAAGACTTTCGCCCCCGCCCGCCTTCAGAAGGTCTTCCCTCCCCCCGCCCGGCCGGGCACCGTTCCGAGCCGGGCGCGGCGGAGGTCTTCCCTCCCCCGCCCGGCCGGAGCACCGTTCCGAAGCCGGGCGGCGGCGGCAGGTGTTCCCTCCCCCGCCCGGCCCGGGCACCGTTCCGAAGCCGGGCGGCGCGGAGGTCTTCCCTCCCCCCGCCCGGCCGGGCACCGTTCCGAGCCGGGCGGCGGCGGCAGGTGTTCCCTCCCCCCGCCCGGCCGGGCACCGTTCCGAAGCCGGGCGGTGCGGCAGCAGTGTTCCCTCCCCCCGCCCGGCCGGAGGAGCCTTCCGAGCCCGGCGGCGGCGGGAGGAGGTGTCCCCGCCCCGCCGCCAGGCTTCGGAGGAGGTCCGAGGACAGTGGGGAAGACGCGCTGCGCTTCCCCGCTGTCCCTGAGATTTCCCTATGGGCTGTCGTCTTGCGAAGCAAGCCCATAGGGAAATTCGTTTTGCGAAGCGCCTCCAAAACGGAAAACCCTTTCGTCTAGCGGGTTTTCCGTCTTGCGAGGCGTTCGTCTTGCGGGGTACCACTGTAGTGGTTTACATTCTCCATTCCATAGCAGTTTCCCAGCAAATTTGTGTACCTGTTGTCTACTGCCCCCAGATGGCAGAAGATTTAATCTGTTGGGGAAAAGGCCTACAGATTTTTCATGCCCTCCCTTTTTTGTGTGGAAAAAGAATGATAAAGTTGAGAATTTTTGAATGTTGTCAAAACTTTCTTACCTATCTTGCTCTTTATCTAACCTGTCCCATTACTTTTCTGTCTTAAATGAGCCGAAAATTATTGTGGCAGACTACATTTCTGTAACAAATTTTGGATTCTTACTGAGTTGCTTTTTCTGAGTGGGACTCGTAGCTTCTGCCTCCGGGATTTAAGGGGTGATAACCCTCACCCAAATGATAAAAAAGCATAGTGAAAGTATTTTCCAAGGGAAAACGGATAGAGTGAAGGAGGTGGTGGGTTCAGTTCCATGGTAGGACCTGAAACCCAATTGAAAAGGAAGGATCCCAGAAGACATTGACAAGAATGACCAGAAACTGTTACACACAACAACGGCGGCGAGGTTATTGCTGGCTCAGATATGGAAACAGCAAAAGTTGCCTACAATAGAAGAATGGCAGTACAAGGTTATGGAATATGCAGAAATAGCCAAATAAACAGTAAAAATTTGACATCAGGGGGATGAAACATCAAAAAGAATGGGGGAAATTTATGTTACAAATAGAGATGATGTGAAATAGGGGACCAGTAGAATAAAAATAATATCTCATAACGGGAAAATAGAAGAAATTTACTGGATAATAATATCTTAATGAATTAAAAAAATGTATATTAGGACTATTATTGAACAATATTTGTAAATGAATATAGACAGACAACAAGAACTTGTATACAGTGGTGCCTCGCAAGAGGAAATTAATCCGTTCCGCGAGTCTCTTCGTCTTGCGGTTTTTTCGTCTTGCGAAGCACGGCTATTAGCGGCTTAGCGGCTATTAACGGCTTAGCGGCTTTAAGAAAAAAGAAACAAACTTGCAAGACGTTTCGTCCTGCGAAGCAAGCCCATAGGGAAATTCGTCTTGCGGAACGACTCAAAAAACGGAAAACTCTTTCGTCTTGCGCGTTTTTCGTCTTGCGAGGCATTTGTCTTGCGAGGCATTCGTCTTGCGAGGTACCACTGTATATAGAAAGATTTGTTTACGGACATTTAATGGAAAAAATGTCATCTGGAGAAAAGGTCTGCGTCCTCCAAATGTCCTTTGGAGTTGTTAAGTGACCACTCACTCCATCCCCTTTCCCAGGAATATGGAATATTGGAGATTAATCGGCCCTAATGGCCGGGTCCAAATATGGTTTGAAGAAGCAGTTTGATTATGGCTTCTTGCAGGGGTCCTGTGAGGACTCTCAACAGAGGGAAGCATTCCCCACCCCACAGCCCAGTCCTGCCTGCCTGCCTTTTATGAATCAGGATGGGCAAGGATCAAGGAGACAGGTTTCACTCGTCCAAGCAGCCTGTCCACATCCTCAGAGGTAACAGGTTGAGATTTATCCCATACAACTTGACTAGACAGCGCTCTGGCACTCTCCGGCCCCGGCCCCCCACGGTGGAGTCTACTTCTTTACAAATTGTAACAAAATAGTTACAGTAATAATAATTTATTATTTATACCCCTGCCCATCTGGCTGGGTTTCCCCAGCCACTCTGGGCAGCTTCCAATAAAACGCTAAAGTACATTAAACCTATTAAACATTCAAAGCTTCCCTAAACAGGAGATCTTGGGTGTCTTTATTGGACCCCAATGGCAAAGATGGTTCTGTTAGACTACAAACCTCCTGAAAGAGTTTCCTGTCCTCTGGTGATGCAGAAGTTGCCGAATGAGGTCCTCTTTACCGTCACTATTGCCACTTGGTAGGCTCAGTGTTTAAATTTGGAGAAAATCAAAAGAGAAAGATGTTTGACATGCATAAATCAAGATAATATAAAGGAACCAGGGGAGGGAGTTGGAAGGAAGTCAAGGGATTTGAGTAATCCCAAAATGTGGATTTAATGAAAGATTTCAATCTGTATTCACATATTTTGTGCTTACATTTTTTTATTTAGTTTTAATGTGATTTTGTTTAATTGTGAGACTACTTTAAAAAATAGTAAAAACCGATGCATGCTTGCTGTAATAAGCTTGGCCCTATGCTTTCTTTTAACTCACACAAAGTTGTTCCCCCTGCCTTTTCAATAGCAAGCCCAAAGGTTTTCTTTTTTTTTTATATAAGGTATTTATTAAAGTTTCAAAAAAAAGTTACAATAATAATAATAATAAAAAAGAATAAAAAAGAAAAAAAGAATACAAAATACAAAAAAGTAAAAACAATTAAAAACAAATCAATCTTTCCATATCTTGTCTTTCATTCACTTGTTTCCCTGACCTCCTCACACCTCCCCTTTTTGTATTCCAGTTCAGTAAGTTAATTCAGCAAATCCTTTCCCTCTTTGTTTTTATCTTAGTCCTTTGTCTTAATATGTAATCTGTATATTCTCATCTGTTAGCAGTCCATTTTTACATACTCCTTGTAACATTGCTACTAAAAACCCCTTAGCTTCATTCCGACATCATTCTAACATTCATTAATTTTGCAGTATTTCTGTAGATAGTCTTTAAATTTCTTCCAATCTTCTTCCACCGACTCTTCTCCCTGGTATCGGATTCTGCCAGTCATTTCCGCCAGTTCCATATAGTCCATCACCTTCATCTGCCATTTTTCCAGGGTGGGTAGATCTTGTGTCTTTCAGTACTTTGCAATAAGTATTTTTGCTGCTGTTGTGGCATACATAAAGAAAATTCTATCCTCCTTTGGCACCAATTGGCCGACTATGCCCAGGAGAAAGGCCTCTGGTTTCTTCAGGAAGGTATATTTGAATACCTTTTTCATTTCATTATAGATCATCTCCCAGAAAGCCTTAATCCTTGGAGCAAGCCCAAAGGTTTTCTAATCCATTCTGTCACCTTTTGAAAACATGCAGTTGGAGGGTATTAACTTCAGTCTGCATGGGAGATGCCATACAGGAGAGAAGCAATACAAGTGCCTTTACCTGGGGCTTGCAGGCTGAACATCCATGGCAGTTGTTCATTAGAGGCCTAGGTAAGCTGTCAAATGAAGCTGCTTTCTGACCCAGGACAGGATCAAATGTTACTTTTAAGCATCACATCCTGCACACACTTGAATCTCCCAATAACCTCACTGAAACCAAGACCACTCCCTTTTGCGTAAACCTCGATAAAACAGTGGCATTTGTTCTGGGCTCTAATACTGTAGGATATTGTTGGATACATGTTAAAGTGAACTTTCAATCTCTGAATTTTCAGTTTTGTTGGCAGTCGTGATTTTTTTGTTCCTCTCCATGATTGTTCTGCTGTATTTAGATGGTTTTTTAATTTGAAAACCAGTTGTTGGTGTGGTGAGGTGATGCACCACCACCTCCTAACACAGCAGGGGCAAATTTGGGGTTGTGTGGATGTACCAACAGCCTGTGCGGTCCTTTTGCACAACTCTGCCTCACTTGCCTCCCTTTTCCTGCACTGCTGTTGGGAGAGGAGCGGCACAGCATATTTGTAGTCAATAGACGAACCGTGCTTCCAGATTGTTGCTATTTTCAGGTAGGATTCAATTACACGCAGTTATGCTAAATTTACATTGTGCTGTGACTGGGATGTTTAGCACAGCACACCTAACGTCCCCCCAAAATAAGACCCCCCCAACTGAGAACGTGCCAGGAAAATGCACTGGAGAGGGGGATAACGATACCTTTTGACGTGCCACTTCCATGAAAAGAAATCAGAATGAATGCTCCTTAAACAGGCGGTGTCCTTTTAATCGCCCTGCAAACAAATTAAGATGAATACATAAACAGATTAGTCTTGTGCATATATAATCCCTACCCTCTTGTGCTTTGAGGTAAAAAATGGAAGGCTTTAATTTTTACCTGCACTTAAAACAGGAGTAAGCAGGAACCAAGAGCACCTGTGTTATTAAAACATATGACCTCTTTCTGTTATCATAGAGGTGGTCCTGTAAATTTGACATACTTTCACATCTTGCAGGTAGCAGCAAAGGGAATTTGCAATATTTGCAGACCTGTTGTGTGCGTACTTCACGAGTCTTTTCAAGATTGCATCATGCTAACTGTGATTGTATGATGAATCTGTTTCCAAAGACCCCCGTGAAACACGAGACATTATGTGCTTTAATTATAATTTGTACCTTTTAAAACTTAAAGGGGTGTGCAAGTTAGATTTTATTATAAATCCCAGCTCAGTTTAGAATAAGGATTAGCACACTATTGTATACCAAAATTGATTTTTGCACTACCTTCTGACATTTTTGAAATACGTATTTTTATTTGTAGAAGGGATGAACAATTGTGTCCCAAATGTTATGCAGAAGGTGTTGAAGTAGTCTGAGCTGGAGAAGGTAAAGGGAAGTAGAAAAGAAGGTAAGAGAGTTTGGGTGTAATCCTTGACTCCTCCCTTTCCATGGAGGCGCAGGTTACAGCAACAGCCAAGGTGATATTTTTCCACCTTCGCGCATCAAGCAGTTGGTCCCTTACCTTTCCTGCCCCGACCTGGCCACAGTGATCCATACGACAGTCACCTCCTGGCTTGACTATTGTACTTCGCTCTTGAAACTGTCTCACAAACACCAACGGGTACAGAACGAAACCGCTTTCTTTGTACCGCATGGAAAAGTAATCGTAAGTCCACTGTTCTTTGAATACCCTGCACTCTTGAGTCAATTTTTCTTTTCTTTTTTTGGACATAGCAATCTATTAGTAAAAACCCAATAAATACAGAGGTGCTGATAGATCAAATAGAATTTATGAACACCCCCCCCCCCAGCAGCCCCTGCCCCAAACATGACCAGAAAATGTCTGACTGAGGAAATAGTGCAGGAATCAGCAGTTAGAAAAGCGGAAGTGGTAGGGTCTTGAAATCTTGTGCTAGCAATGTTGTGTCTGGGAAGAAATGAGGAAGTAGAGAGATTTAGAATTTGCTTGGGTAATAATGTCTGCGCAAGGGAGACTGTTCTTTTTATAATCTGCTAATTTGCAAAATAATGTACTGTAATCTCGCTCTGCGCATGCGTTTGTCAGTCATTATAAAAGGGCCCCTGAAAGAGGAAATGGGGCTCAGCCCTTGAGAATGATCTTGCTGGTGCTACTATGCAGCTTAAAACAATAAACCAGACCTTTCTGGGAAAAGGACCCTTTTCTGTCTTTATTGACGAGGATAAATTCTGCAACGCTACAAAAACAATATAACAGCAACAATGACTTAATAGCGATGATGCACATTAAATACGGGGGAGCCCATTTTGTTTTGTTTTTTTAAATAATTTTTATTAACCGGCCAATCAAATCAAATTGAATCACATCACACAAATTCCGAATTACAGAGCCGAATTTTAAATTTTGTTGTTGAGGGGACCCATATTTCAAGATCCGAAGGGGGATTCTGATCATCTTCTTGCTACTGCTTTAATGTCCAAATCAGTCCAAACAGAGTTCATAATTCTATCCGGTCTTATCTTGCTGTTTCCACATCACATCTTGTTCATATATTTTCTCTTTTTTCTTTATGATCTCTTCTGATAGTCTCCTTAAGCCGATAGACACCAATAATAATCCTGTGTGAATTGGGGAGCCCATTTGGAAACCTGGTCATGGCTGACCCCCACCAAGGGGGCTGGAGGAGAGAGATGGCTCAGCAGCTGCCTGTCTCAATCCTGAGGCAGGGCCTCCTCTCACCTGCTCAGCCGGGGCTGCCGACCTCCCCCCCCCCCACACGACTGCCTCACCCACGTTGCTCACCTTGTGCAGCGCAGCCAAAGGAACTCTTAAGCCATGGACAATAGAGAGAACGCAAAAGCACCAGCCCGCCTGCTGCACGTGCGCAGGGTCACATCATCCCTCCCTCTTGTGCACACACCGCTCCCCCTCCCTGCAACCAACTAACCACTCGCAGTAGCAACGGATGCTGGATGCAGAGGCCACGCATGGGACGCCGTACTTCCTTTTGCCATAGACCTGTTAGATAGTGGCGGGTTCTGCAATTGACAGGTGGGTCGGGTTCAGGACCTTGATGGGCCAGACCTTGCCCGCAGACCTTAATTTGAGGACCCCTGGTATAAAGTTAACTATAATACACAGCCTCAATTGAAAGTTTGAAGGAACCAGGGAGGGGAAGTTGCAGGTGGAATGATTGTTAAATTTCTAACGTTGCAGAATTTTTTTTTTGTACTATGAGGTTTATCAGTTCTTTTGAGTAAAATAGAGGAATGTTACTGCCCCTAAGGCAATGCAGAATATTTGTCTCAGCTTCTTTCTCCTCCGCCAGCACTGGCTTTTGACTTCCTGTGCCCCACCAAGTTTCGAATCTGTTTGTAAGACTCCCTTCCCTCATATTTCCACATTCCAGCCATTGCTTGCTCAGCGATCTGGACCCCCACATATTACAACTTTATTTTCTTAAATTCATCAACATCATCAAACCTTTTATTGGCATCACGTACAAACAATATTTTCTTAATTTCTACGAAGCACCCAGTGCCTATTTTGCCCTGTGGTCTCCATCTGCTTTGCCTGGTGCCAAGGGGGAGACTGGATATTTTTAAAGAAGTGCCGCTTAATCCTGTAGTTTGGGCCCTGGGTGTGTTTTTCTGATTGCTTGCTGCTTTTACAGGGCTGTAAACTCCACCTTTTCGGCATATACACTGTTTAAAGTGGATAGGGGCTAATCGCGATCTCCCCAACAAATAACCCTTAGAAAATTGATCTCGTCCTCTTGGGAGCTGGGGCGTGAGGGATTCACAGCAGGCAGATACTTGTGGAAAGTAAGAAGGTAGAATGGATAATTCCTTCTTTCCTCACCATGCTTGGAAAGAGTTAGTTCCGGGCTGAAACGCAGGCTGAAGAGAATTGCCATGCCTTGCTTGTGATGGCCCCCAGGGGCCTGTGTTAACTCGTGAATTGGGGAGGGTGGAATCCCTCCTAATCAACCACATGAGAGATTCCATACAGGGGAGAAACCATATGAATGTTTGGAAAGATGTCACCAAGGAACTAGTAGTAGATGCGCTTCACACAAACCCTGCGCCCCAATTATACAGTGTCAAAATCATCTTCCCCTTCCAGTTCAGATGGCAGGGGCAGCTCTGCCCGGTGGGTCTCCTAAGATTGAAACACTGCTTGTTCGCAGAGAGAACCTCAAAGGGGTTTCCATTTTATTTTATTTTTATTCTGAAAAACCATTTACAGCCGCGATTTAAAACGTGGAGAGTTGAGAACGGTGACAGGCCAGGCTAAAACAAAATGAAAGCGCCTGCAGATGTTGTAAATGTTGTATAGTGGGAAAGATGGGCGACAAGACCCAGCTCTTTTAAGCAACAGCTCTTTATTAACAGCAGTTAGCACTGCTCTTAAGTGTCTCTGAACAGTGAAGCTGGCTGCCTTATATAATGCTCAATAACTTGTAACAGTAACGAATTCCAACTATAAATACCCAATCGGTGAAAGCAACTCTCAATCAAGCATTTGCAAACTTGGTGGCCCAGAGTGAGAACTGCAGCCAGTCTGAATACGTAACAGTAAGCATCTGGGTAGGGTCCCTGTATATATTGCTACTTCCTTTTCAATGCTGATCCTGGCTAGGTTTGTCAATCTTTCTTGAGTCATGTTGTTTAGTCGTGTCCGACTCTTCGGGACCCCATGGACAGGCCCTCCTGTCTTCCACTGCCTCCCGCAGTTTGGTCAAACTCATTCTGGTAGCTTCGAGAACACTGTCCAACCATCTCGTCCTCTGTCGTCCCCTTCTCCTTGTGCCCTCCATCTTTCCCAACATCAGGGTCTTTTCCAGGGAGTCTTCTCTTCTCATGAGGTGGCCAAAGTCTTGGAGCCTCAGCTTCATGATCTGTTCGTCCCGTGAGCACTCAGGGCTGATTTCCTTCAGAATGGAGAGGTTTGATCTTCTTGCAGTCCATGGGACTCTCAAGAGTCTCCTCCAGCACCAGAATTCAAAAGCATCCATTCTTTGGCGATCAGCCTTCTTTATGGTCCAGCTCTCACTTACATACATCACTACTGGGAAAACCATAGCTTTTACTATACGGACCTTTGTTGGCAAGGTGATGTCTCTGCTTTTTAAGATGCTGTCTAGGTTTGTCATTGCTTTCCTCCCAAGAAGCAGGCGTCTTTTAATGTGACTGCTGTCACCATCTGCAGTGATCATGGAGCCCAAGAAACTGTCTCCATTTCTTCCCCTTCTATTTGCCAGGAGGTGATGGGGCCAGTGGCCATGATTTTCGTATTTTTGATTTTGAGCTTCAGACCATATTTTGCACTCTCCTCTTTAACCCTCATTAAAAGGTTCTTTAATTCTGCCTCACTTTCTGCCATCAAGGTTGTGTCAACTGCGTACAGTGGTGCCTCGCAAGACGAAATTAATTCGTTCCGCGAGTTTTTTCGTCTAGCGAATTTTTCGTCTTACGAAGCACGAAATCCCATAGGAATGCATTGAAATTCAATTAATGTGTTCCTATGGTCAAAAAAAGTCCAAACAAAGCCAAATTTGGTACAACAAGAGTTTATTAAGTGCTCTTTAAAGTCACACATACTGTAAAGAGCATTTCAAAAACTGAAGGAACAATAAATTAAGTTTCTAAACATGACAGAAAAACATTTAAAAATCAACAAAGTGTACAGTACATTTTCTAAGACTCTGGGGGACAACTCGAAGAAGGTTCCTCTTCCACTCTTTGCTTCTTGCTGAAGAACCTGTCCATGGTCTGCTGCTTCATCCGCCTTTTCAGCACCTCCTGAAAGGCGACATGACCTCGTATCAAAAGTGTTCGCAAGGTCATGTGCCACGTGCTTGTCAGGGTGGTGCCGCTGTGCAAAAGCCTGCACATCCTTCCACTTCAGGCAAATGTCCCTCAGTTCTTTGGAGGACAGCCGTTCCTCAGTTGCTTCCTCCTCTTCCAGCGAGGCCTGCTCCTGCGCAGCCTCGGCCTGCAGTTCGACCAGCTCCTGGGTGGTCAGCTTGTGGTCGTGCTCCTCCACCAGCTCGCTGACGTCGTCCTCTGTGACCTCCAGGCCCATGGTCCTCCCCAAGGAAACAATGTCCTGCACCACTGTTGACTCTGGTGCATCAGAGTCACTTGGTGCCACACAGTCCGGCCACAGGCTGCGCCAAGTACAATTCAAATTTTTCTGGCTGATCCCGTTCCAGGCCGTGGTGATCATCTTCAAGCGGGTGACGATGTCGAAGTGGTCCTTCCGGAATTCCCACAGGGTGATGGTGGTGCAATCAGTCACCTCGAAGCATCGCCTGAAAAGCTCCTTGGTGTAGAGTTTTTTGAAATTGGCAATGACCTGCTGATCCATCGGCTGGAGCAGTGGCGTGGTGTTAGGCAGCAGGAACATGATGCTGATGAAGCTGAACTCCTCCAACAAGTCCTCCTCAAGGCCTTTAGGATGAGCAGGAGCATTGTCCATCAGAAGCAAAGCCTTCAGCGGCAGGTCGTTGTCCAGCAGGTACTGTTTGACAGCAGGGCCAAAAGCAAGATTGACCCAGTCCACAAACAGCACACGGGTGACCCAAGCCTTACTGTTGGATCACCACGTGACACTCAGCTGCTCCTTGTCGACCTTGTGTTTCTTGAAGGCCCGTGGGTTCTCCGAGTGGTACACCAGCAGGGGCTTGATCTTCAGGTCGCCGCTTGCGTTGGCACAGAACAGCAGGGTCAGACGGTCCTTAATGGGCTTGTGGCCAGGCAACTTGGTCTCCTGTGTGATGAAAGTCCTTTTGGGCATCCTCTTCCAAAACAGCCCGGTCTTGTCGCAGTTGAAGACCTGCTGTGGAACGTAGCCCTCCGTCTTCACAACCTCCAGGAACTCCGCTGCAAAGTCTTCAGCCGCAGAAACATCAGAACTGGCAGCCTCTCCATGCCTGACCATGCTGTGGATTCCAGATCTTGTCTTGAACCGGTCAAACCAGCCTCTGCTTGCCTTGAAGACTTCTGGCTCGCCTGAGGTTCCTGGCTGTTCCCGGACGAGGTCTGCGTGCAAGGCCTAGGCCTGTTACGATATAGAAGCAATGCGGCCGCGAGCTGGTAGCTTGAAAGCAAAACATAATGGGAATGTTGGGACTGTTCCGTGGGAAACAGAGGGACAGTCAATTCACAGTGCAGAGGGCACCGGAATTAGCTCAGAGTGTAATATGAGCTGTACAGGAAGTACAGGAGGAGTTTGTCTCTCGACTGCAGGAGTTTGAAGAGAGCAGTCATGATTTTTGTAACGCTGCAAAGACAGAAATAAAGGCATGTAAATGTTTCTGTCTATCTCTTTCCCCTGCCTGGGGGGGGGGCAGGAAAGAGGGGGGGTGTTCTTCTCACTCTGAGAAGGATCGCCTATTGCGACCTCTGCCTGGATCCTGCTGGGGAATGCAGACAGGGAGGTCAACAGGAGATCAAGCCGGGTGCCTGGAGAGTGGCCAGTTTCTCCTGATAAAGGCTTGAATCCCAACAAGGCCTTCTCACAAATGACGGCCTCAGCCACTGTGTCCCCTGCACGCTGCTTCTCTTCTAACCAGATGAGCAGCAACTTCTCCACCTCCTCCAGAACAGCTGGGCGGTTCTTCACGATCCTGGTGACTCCCTTGGCTGCATCAGTCGCAAGGATCTTCTCCCTCATCTTCAGGATGGTCCCGATGGTCGATGGATTCCTCCCGTACTCCCTGGCGAGGTCTGTCACACGCATTCCACCGTCGTGCTTCATTTCCAGCGTAACTTTCTCCTTCTTCCCCTCGCCGGCCTCTGCAGCAGCAGTCTTCTTGGGTCCCATGGCAGCACAGCTCCTACCTGCGCAACCCCCCCCCCCAAAAAACCCAGAACCAAGTCCTTGAATTCCAAACACCCCAACCCAAAATCCAAAACCCTCCAAAAAAGTTTTAAAAGTTTAACTTACCGAATGGCTGCAAAAGAAGTTTTGGAAAAGCTTCAAAAAGCACCAAAGTCTTCAAAAACCTCAACTATTCCCCCAGCCACCCACCACACAGAAATTGCAAACCCCTCCCCAACTGTTCCCCCAGTCACCCACCACACAGAAATTCAAACCCAGATTTTTTTTAAAAAAACAACAGCAGAGTGGCCCAATGGTCACAGAAAATCATAAAAATGCAGAAAAAAACACACAAGCTTCCAGATTCTTGCAAACCCCTCCCCAACACCAAGTCCTTGAATTCCAAACACCCCAACCCAAAACCCCCCCAAAAAGTTTTAAAAGTTTAACTTACCAAATGGCTGCAAAAGAAGTTTTGGAAAAGCTTCAAAAATCAGCAAAGTCTTCAAAAACCTCAAAAAAGGCTACCACACCGCGTGCTATGAGTTGCTCCTCGAAGTCAAGTCGCAACTGCACCTCTTCAAGCAATGCACCCTGGGTATTAACGGTTTTACGAAAAAGGAAACAAACTTGCAAGACATTTTCGTCTTGTGAAGCAAGCCCATAGGGAAATTCATCTTGCGAAGCACCTCAAAAAACGAAAAACCCTTTCGTCTAGTGGGTTTTTCGTCTTGCGAGGCATTCGTCTTGCGGGGCACCACTGTATCTGAGTTGGTTGATAATTTCTTCCGGCAATCTTAATTCCGGCTAGGGATTCATCCAGCCCAGCCTTTCGCATGATGAATTCTGCATATAAGTTAAATAAGCAGGGAGACAATATACAGCCTTGCCGTACTGACCAATCAGTTGTTCCATATCCGGTTCTAAGAACTTGCCATAGTTTGCTGTGGTCGACACAGTCAAAGGCTTTTGCATAGTCAATGAAGCAGAAGTAGATGTCTTTCTGGAACTCTCTAGCTTTCTCCATAATCCAGCGCATGTTTGCAATTTGGTCTCTGGTTCCTCTGCCTCTTCTAAATCCAGCTTGCACTTCTGGGAGTTCTCGGTCCACATACTGCTTAAGCCTGCCTTGTAGAATTTTAAGCATAACCTTGCTAGCGTGTGAAATGAGTGCAATTGTGCGGTAGTTGGAGCATTCTTTGGCACTGCCCTTCTTGGGGATTGGGATGTAGACTGATCTTCAATTCTCTGGCCATTGCTGAGTTTTCCAAACTTGCTGGCAGATTGAGTGTAGCACCTTAACAGCATCATCTTTTAAAATTTTAAACAGTTCAGCTGGAATACCATTACTTCCACCGGCCTTGTTACTAGCAGTGCTTTCTAAGGCCCATTTGACTTCACTCTCCAGGATGTCTGGCTCAAGGTCGGCAACTGCTACCTGGGGTGTATGAGACATCCATATCTTTCTGGTAAAATTCCTCTGTATTCTTGCCACCCCTTCTTGATGTCTTCTGCTTCTGTTAGGTCCTTACCACTTTTGTACTTTATTATGGTAATCTTTGTATGAAATGTTCCTTTCATATCTCCAATTTTCTTGAACAGATCCTTGAGTCGTATAGTTGACCTTAAATAATTTTTGTTAATTTCAATTTCGAAAATGATCTTTCACCTTCAGCTACTGTTACCTGTAGTGATATGGACAAGTTAGAAAATATTGGATGTCAAATTATTTGACTATATATAATTGAAAACATCCACTGGATTTGTGTCTTGAAAAAAATTGGTAATAGTTCTAGTTCGTGAAATAAATCTCCGTCTATATCAGCCCCCCTTTTGGCAGTCAAATTTCTGTTGCAAATTGAAACACTGCTCTTTTCTGGCATGTCTCTAATTTTCTCCATTTATCTATATTTTGTAAAAATGAAAAATGGTCATTGTGTTCACTTAGTAGTTCAAATCTTTAATTTTGTGATTGCTGTGTCCAACAAATAAAAATTTAAAGTTTTTCTGTGGATCTGTAATTGGCTCATGGGTAGACTCAACTGAAAAATCGTTTCCTGGCATAAGATCATGCGGTGTATGTAAATTCAGTTTCACATTCTATTTACTCAGCAATTGATATAGCTTCTAACAACATCGTCAAACGTGGAGTCTACACGATTAAAAAAATAATAATTGTCCAGTGGCACTGAGACCAACTTGTTCTGGGAGTAAGCTTTTGTGTGCATGCACACTTATTCAGACACTGAAACAGAAGTCATCAGACCCTTCCCACTTATATATAGTGGGAAGGTGGGGTGGGGTATTTCTCAGAAGGGTAGTAGGAGATGGGTGATTGATTCAATGGGTATAGTAAACCTGTTGACTGCAATTAGTCCCACAGGAAGAAGCAGGGGATAGTGTGCAGATGACCAAAAACAGCTTTAGCATGTGTAATGAGACAAGAATCCAATATTTCTATTCAGACCAGGTCCCTCCATATCAGTTTAGTAATAAGTTGTAATTCAGCAACTTCTCTTTCTGTAATTCTTGTGTATTAAGACTGCTGCTTTGAGATCCTGTATTGAATGTCCTGGGAGATTGAAGTGTTCTCCTGGCTGTTCTTGTCTTGTGATTCCTGATGTCAGATTTATGTCCATTTATCCTTTGGCGTAGCTGAAGGGCACTGCTGGCATTTGATGGCATACACAATGTTAGAAGAGGAGCAATTAAACAGGCCTGAGATGGTGTGTTGGATGTTGGGTCCAGTGATGGTGTTGTCTGGGTGGATGTGGCAGCAAAGTTGGCATCTGGGTTTATTGCAGGCTCTGGTACCAGTGTCCATGCGTCTGGTTGCTGTATTATTGTGGGTGAGGAGTTGTTTAAGATTGGGTGGCTGTAGGCAATGAAAGGTCTTCCTGTATTGTAAGCCAAGTCATTTTTGACCTGCTCTATCATTTTAACTGCTTCCGGAAGAACGACAGACTTGTAAGGTTTTACTAACAATAATTTTCAGTAATACGTTATACCACGTCATTAAAGAACAAATGAATTTGAAAGACTTCAATTTCAACATCAATGAACTTGCCATGTTCCTTGTGTCACTACCATTTTTGTTACCTGAGAATATAAGGTGTTGTAAACCTTTTCCATATTAAAACGGAAGTGCTTTCAACGCCTCTACTTCCCCATTGCGTGTTTGATAATGGTCTTAAGGTGAAAGGGGGCACTTGGTTCATGAGGATTTGCCAACGTGACGTTGACCCGGAAAAGAATACATATATTTCCTGAAGTAATTTCCAGTGAGCTTTTAGCGGCATCATTCACTACTAAGTTGAGGCTGTGAGCCACACAAGGAATGTAGAAAGCAGATGGATTTATGGCCAAGATTTTATTTTTTTTGAGGCCTATATTTTTGCCTCATATTTGCGCCGTTGTCATACCCTTGACCTTGCATGTCGTCTAATTCGATATATGAAGATTTTAAAAAATCCAGCAAAACGTCACTTGTCCTTGTACAGTAGTGTCAGTAACTGGAAAAAAGCCTTAAAAATGCTCTTTGATGATGGGTTAATGTGTACAAACCTAACAGTAGGTTTTTCCTTGTGTGAGACATCAGGAGTGCAATCTAAAATGACAGAATAGTATTCGGATTGCTTCAAAAGATAAATAATAGTCATGAGCTATTAAAAACAACTTCTCTGGAACTATTTGAGGCCACAGAGAAGGACCATCCACTACATCTTCATGAAACGTCTCTTCCGGGGGAGTATCAGACGTTGAGGCAGAGTCAGTTGCAAGTGCAGGTGTGGTAGGAGTAGATCTTTCTGCAATAGGGCTTGGCGATGGCCTTTGCTTTCTTGCGTGCTTCGTCCCTAAGATATTCTGCAAATCTCGGAGAGTTGTTGATTGTGGATTCATCCAGATCTTCCACCTGCAATTCGTACCCACGTTGTTGTATCTTAATGCGTGTGTCAGCAAGGAACATGCTGCTGGTCGCCAAATCTCTTTCCTAAACAGTCTCCCGGCCATTTATTGGCCTTTTACATTATCTTCTATGGAATCTCTACGGCGCTCCCAGTGCCTGCTCTGTGCCCAAGGCCTTTGCTCACTTTGCCCGGTGCCGCGGGGGCACTAGAGAGTTTGAAAGAAGTGCTCCTTCCTTGTTCCAGTAGTCCAGTTCAGCCTTGGGCATGTTTGTCCTGGTTGCTCCTCTTGAGTAGGGCTGTGAACCCCTTCACCTTTTTGGTATGCGACTTGTTAAGGCGTATCTGTCTCTTGACTTGGTTTCTCTGCTTCATAGAGCCTTGACTTCTGCATAATTTTGCCAAATGAGGCCTTGGTGCTGGCTTCTGCTTTCTTGCGTCCTTGGCTCCTCAGATCCTGTGCAAAACCAGTAGCATTTTTATTCTGGAGTTTTTCCACCTGCAATTCCAACCCATGTTGTTGAGCCTTAATCCCCGTGCCAGCAAAACTTGGATGCTTCTGTCCACCAGATCCTTTTCCTCCCGGTCGTTTTGATTGGACAATCGGCACGTTACTTCAACATGCATTGCATTGTCTCGATGGTTGGGGCTTCTGAAAGCATGTCCTTTTAGATCCTCAGTTGCGTAGCAGATTCCCTCCTGCTCTCTGCTTCCAAGTGTGGGCTTCTGCAGTCTAATGGGCCTCTCATCAGTTCAGGTGGTGCCGGTTCCTTCAGGCCCATCGGTCCTTCCTTGGAGGAAAGAGTCTCCTGCCCCCTAGCCCTGCTCCCTGAGCATTGCGCCTGTATGCAGCCCACGAATCCACACGTCTGATGGGGGTCGCTTCTCTGTTCCCACCCATAACACACAGTAGCTGGAGCGGGAGATGTCCTTCCCTATAAATTCGTGTGGTTTTTAAATATTGCCTCCAAAGAACACAACTTCCAAAAGTCAAAGGGGAAAAGAGAAAGAAAACCAAGCTGTTCACCATTCTAGAAACCTTTAGGTCTAGGGCCAATGGGGCTCTTCCTGCCAGCCATTTTGTTTTGCTTCCTGTTGCTGTGCCAAGGCTGGGCTATTTTCTGAGCAAGGCAGGAACAGAAGTAGGCCAAACACAAGAATGGGGCTCCTGTCAGGGTGGGATAACTGCCTGCGAGGACCCTTGGTGCCTCTCCAAGAGATGGAAGCCTTCCTGCTCACTGACTTTCTCTGATCTTGGTGTCACTGTACAATGTGGCTATCTGGGGGTTGGATTTGGAGTTATTGCTTGAGGCTTTGTGTCACTGAGTTCTTCACTTAACGTGTGGGGATGTTTGGGATAATAGGTAAGGAAATATTGTTGAAGTACCCTTCCTTCCTTCCTTCACTCATGCTAGTGAGTGACGTAGCAGAGCAAATCCCCTCTATTTTCACGGAAGCGAGTTGTTGATAGATTGGTTTGAATCTCTGCAAAATGACTAATCCAATCTGGTTTGCCCAGGTGGGTTGCTCTTGGTGTCCCCTTTTCTCCCTCCTAAAATACAATAAAGACTTAAGAGTCTGTCTTTAAAAGTATAACAGTAAGTTTACTCACAAGCTGTTCACAGTACACATCTAGAAAGTCAGGCTTTTTAAGCTTCAGGTTACAAACATATAACGTGGCTTGACATCCTTTGTGAGGATGGGCCCAAGTTCTGCTGGTTGAGAGCCCTCAGACAACAAAATGAATGAGACGTAACAGTTGAATCGAATAGAGACAAAATGGCTGTGTGACTCTGCTTTTATAGAGGAACAGGAAGTTACACATCCCTCTGTCCACTCTAGGAAGTAAAGTGTGTTGTAATTGACTGTACTGATGTAACACATCCCACAATATGCTGTTTGTGGGGTGTGTGTCTTTCTGCACCCTAGACAATGTGCTCGGGGGAACGGGCTGGATTTCTGGAAGAAACAGTTCCAGTCTGTTCCCCCAACTCCTTCCAACGTTGATCTGTTCGATGCTTGTTCCCGGGGCTGAGCAATTTGTGCTTCTGAAGGGTGAAACACATTTCTCAGAGCAGCCAGTGCGAGTGGGGAGAAGCCAGCAAGTAGCTGTGCTCTCTTCCAAGCTCAGGGTTTTGGGGAGGGGGATCCCTCCTAGTCAACCACACAAGAGATTCCATACAGGGGAGAAACCATATCGATGCTTGGGAAGATGTCGCCAAGGAGCTAGTAGTAGTTGTGTTTCACAGGGCCAGATTTAGATGAAGAGAAGGCCCTAGGCTACTCCAGTTGTGAGGTCTCTGGAAAATTTCTCCTCTCCTGAGCAGTTGGTGACCATAAGGCTAAGAAATAGCTGCAAGATTGCTTCCACATTAGGAAAGGCTATCTGAATTTTCCCTTGTATATAATTTGATAAAGGTCTGTATGAGATAGTGCTCTGCCGTAAGCCTATGGCTTTGTGTCACATACAGTTGAAAGTGCAAAAGTTCATCCAGAAGTCTCAGGTCAATATGTTCTGTGGGTATGCTTCCAACAACGGTTCAACAACTTGCTGAACTTCTTGCCTCGATGCTGTCAAATTAGCAAGAATGGCAAATAATTGTGCAACATCACTTTACGCAGTACTGTTTCTTTTTAAATTGGCTTCAAATTGGCATCTAATGTAGGAATAAAGGATTTTATCCTAAACCTATCTCTTGAAGAAAGTGCATCTAAGGCATCAGGTGGACTTCTGTCATTTCTTTGCCGTTCCCTCACTCTTCGTCTCCTTGTTTTGTTGTTGACATTTGGCAAAGTGGCTTTTGCTTGTTTCTCAAGCTCATCAAAATCATTCCTTATTTTCCTTAAAGAGATCCAGGAGTGAACTGTAGAAACTCGCACAAGAACTCAGTAACAGGTCTGGTTTTTGAAGGCCTTTGCTGACCTTGTGAAAATGACCTAGAACCCGGGTCCAAGAACGCAGCATAAACACAAATTCCAGTTCTTCCATTTTCTGCAGGAGACTGTTAACTCTGTGCTTGGTCTCCCTCTTCCCATTAACATCAGAACAAATTACGGAGGGCATCAATGATAGCACTGTAACTTTCCAAAACGGCTGCTGTGGCTTTGCGTGTGCGTCCCGTCCTAGAGTCTGACAAATGTTTAGGCACTTTAGACTGAGGTGGCAAAAACGATTTTAGAACTGCCCGTCTCTTTGTGGAGGATGAAAAGAAGGTACAAATTTCATTGATAATGCCAAAACAGTTCCCTGCATCAAGGCAGCAATCCACAGCTGAACTGCCCACCAGATTTTAAAGAGTGACCTGCGCATGGAATAAATTTTGCAAATTGGTTTTTTTAATGATTTATTACTGCATATCGTTGTACTTGCCAGCCATGTTGGCAGCGTTGTCATAAGACTGCCCGCAGCATTTTCTAAAGTCAATTTCAAGCTCAGTAGTAAAATAGGAAAAAGCACGGCTGAATTAGTGTTCAACTGTAAATCTGTGTTGGCAAACGATCTTCAGGTGATACATACCTGATAATTTAAAGTCAGCGGATCAGTATGTGAAATGTCAGGAGTGGAATCTACTGAGAAGCTTGAAATATTCAGTCTTTCTCACATCAGCCAGAGTTTCATCCTTAACTTTTTTTGCCATGAGCTGAACAATTTCCTCACATAGTTTTTGACAAATAAGAGGGATTGCTTGATCCAGAATGTCCATACCGATAAGAGCAAGTAAAAATGGATCAAATTTTGCCACTAGTTTTAAAAGACCAAGATAATTGCCATTATTCGGAGATCCAAAGTGCTCATTGTCTCTTCTGAATTGTAAGCCTCGTTCTACTGGAGTGCATATTAACGGCAATAATTACCTCTATGACATGCCTCCAGTACTGCTGTTAGGCTTTTATTTGTTCCTCTAATAGAAAAAAAAAATCACAGAACTGAGAAATTGCACAAAACAAAAAGATACTGTGAAAATCCCTGAAACAAGAAGTAATCGACTAGAAATATTAGCTGTGGAAATAAACTAAATAATAAAAATCAAAAAGCTTAAGGGGAAAAAAATAGAAAAACCTAAAACTGAACAAAGCCTTAACAGGATGCCGGCTACAAACCTCGTTTCACTGAACTATTCAGTTTTCCTCAGAAGGAAATCGAAAAATCATAAACTTTAAATGACCAAAATTCAAAAAAAAGGGATAGAACCCCCTAAAATTCTGAAGTATTATAATCCTAGCTCAACCAAGGTAAAGCAAAGTGCAGTAATAAAGGATAGAGGACTCAAGTACAGTTTCTAATACTGAATTTACAAAAAAGATTTGAAAAACCTAAATGGCAAGTTTTAAACAAAGCCCAGCTTGAAGAAAGCAAAACACAGTAATAAAGGGTTGAGGACTCAACTGTGAAAGTTCTAGTGCTGCTTTTACAAAAAGGTTTACAAACCTAAACGGCACAAATTCAAAGAAAGGAATACCAGATAAGCTGTTTTAGATTTTAAACAAACACTCCCATGGTCTAGATGTTCTGGCACCTCTCCTATGAGGGTGACCTGTTGCAACAGAACAATAAAAGATCAGCCTTTCTTTCACTGGAGTCCACAGCTGATTCTCTGAGCAATAACAAACTTTGGGACTCTTGAGTCCCTTAAAAGGGGAAGCAAGCAAGCCATTAAAGCCGTTAGCCTGCGTTCTTCCAAATTCAGGATTTTGGGGAAGGGGATCCCTCCTAGTCAACCACATGAGAGATTCCATACAGGGGAGAAACCATATGAATGCTTGGGAAGATGTCACCAAGGAACTGCACTTCACACACTGGCGGAAGAAGAGGCGTGTGGGGGGAGCGCATTGCCCCCAGCAGCGCGATCCCATTGGGGTGCCATCGTGGCTGCGCCCCCGGGACGTGCGCCAGCCCTGCCCCCGCCTGCTCTCCGCCCCCCGGTGCTGGAGCATGAAGCTCTGCCGCTGACTTCACTCACACCCTGTGCTCCAATTATAAATGTCAAAACAAAAAAACGTTCCTAAATACAGAGTGGGCACACATACATAGGTACGAAAAACATAGTCAGAAAAACGTTGCAGGAAAGCGATCCTAAAGCCATTTGGATGCTTTTAAATGACCCCCAAATTTTCCTCTGCAGTCAAAGAAGGTAAAAGGGGAAGAATTGTCAGTACGTCTTTCAACCGATGTTAGCGACTGGGCTCAATAACTGGTTCTGCCTGGAATGGGCTAGGCGACTGGAGCACTTTGGGAGACCTTCCAATCCTGGAAAGCAGGTCCCAGTGCATTGGACCCACAACTGTGCATTGTGAGCACCAGACTCAGCAGAGTATAAATAACGCACAAGCTAGCTGTGAAGGATAATTCCTTTTATTTCTAATAGCTACTACAAACTAATGAACTCCTGGCTTGCATGAGCGTTACAGCTCCCACTCAGCCATCTAGTCACTACATAGATAAGACTCTCCACATACAGAGGCAGGCAGTCAGTCAGGAAGGAGCGGAAGAGTAGCAGAGCAGTTTCCGCCCGCTCCTTTCTCAAAACATCAGATCAGGAGATTCTTGCAATGGGAAGGGGTGAAAATATCAACAAGAATACTGTCAAAAAATAGTTCTTTTCACCTGTGTTAAATCCTGTTAATAGATACAGTGGTGCCTCGCAAGACGAAATTAATTCATTCCGCGAGTTTTTTCGTCTAGCGAATTTTTCGTCTTGCGAAGCACGGTTTCCCATAGGAATGCATTGAAATTCAATTAATGCGTTCCTATGGTCAAAAAGTCCAAACAAAGCCAAATTTGGTACAACAAGAGTTTATTAACTGCTCTTTAAAGTCACACATACTTTAAAGAGCATATCAAAATTGAAGGAACAATAAATTAAGTTGCTAAACATGACAGGAAAAACATTTAAAAATCCAAAAAGGGTACATTACATTTTCTAAGACTCTGGGGGACCACTCGAAGAAGGTTCCTCTTCCACTCTTTGCTTCTTGCTGAGGAACCTGTCCATGGTCTGCTGCTTCATCCGCCTTTTCAGCACCTCCCTGAGAGGCAACATGACCGTTGTATCAAAAGTGTTCGCTTCTCCCTCATCTTCAGGATGGTCCCGATGGTCGATGGGTTCCTGCCGTACTCCCTGGCGAGGTCCGTCACACGCATTCCACCGTCGTGCTTCCGGATGATCTCCTTCATCTCCAGCGTCACCTCCTTCCTCTCGCCGGCCTCCGCAGCAGCAGCAGTCTTCTTGGGTCCCATGGCAGCACAGCTGTTGCCTTTGTAAACTCAGAAAAAATCAGCAATTCAAACCCAGAACCAAGTCCTTGAATTCCAAACACCCCAAAATCCAAAAACCCCCAAAAAAGTTTTAAAAGTTTAACTTACGAAATGGCTGCAAATCACCAAAGTCTTCAAAATCCTCAAATGGCTGCAAAAGAAGTTTTGGGAAAGCTTTAAAAATCACTAAAGTATTCAAAAACCTCAACTGTTCCCCCAGCCCCTCCCCAACTGTTGCAAACCCCTCCTCAACTGTTCCCCCAGCCACCCAGCACACAGAAATTCAAAACCCAGAAAATTTTTCAAAAAAAACCAACATGGCCCAATGGTCACAGAAAACCATGAAAATTCACAAAAACCACACAAGCACCCAGATTCCTGCAAACCCCACCCCACCAGTTACCCCACCCACCCAGCACCCAGAAATTCAAAACCCAGAAATTTTTTTCAAAAAACAACAACATGGCCCAGTGGTCACAGAAAACCATAAAAATTCAAAAAAAAAGCACACAAGCTCCCAGATTCCTGCAAACCCCTCCCCAGCTGTTCCCCCAGCCACCCAGCACACAGAAATTCAAAACCCAGAAATTTTTTTCAAAAAAACAACATGGCCCAATGGTCACAGAAAACCATAAAAATGCAGAAAAAACCACACAAGCTCCCAGATTCCTGCAAACCCCTCCCCAGCTGTTCCCCCAGCCACCCAGCACACACAAATTCAAAACCCAAATTTTTTTTTAAAAAAAAAAACAACATGGCCCAATGGTCACCTAAAACAATAAAAATTCAAAAAAAAAAAAAACCACACAAGCTCCCAGATTCTTGCAAACCCCTCCCCAGCTGTTCCCCATCCACCCAGCACACAGAAATTCAAAAATTCAAACCCAGATTTTTTTTTTAAAAAAAAATAAACATGGCCCAATGGTCACAGAAAATCATAAAAATGCAGAAAAAAACACACAAGCTCCCAGATTCTTGCAAACCCCTCCCCAGCTGTTCCCCCATCCACCCAGCACACAGAAATTCAAAAATTCAAACCCAGATTTTTTTTAAAAAAAAAATAAACATGGCCCAATGGTCACAGAAAATCATAAAAATGCAGAAAAAAACCACACAAGCTCCCAGATTCTTGCAAACCCCTCCCCAACACCAAGTCCTTGAATTCTAAACACCCCAACCCAAAATCCAAAACCCCCAAAAAAAGTTTTAAAAGTTTAATTTACCAAACAGCTGCAAAAGAAGTTTTGGAAAAGCTTCAAAAATCCAGCAAACTCTTAAAAAAGCTCAGAAAGGCCACCACACCGCGTGCAATGATGATAATAATAATAATAATAATAATATTAATTTATTACGGCCGTAGGCCCATACAGATAAAAACAAGACATAAATAACAGCCTGTGCACATGGGAAAAAAACAGCCGCTAAAACAATACTATAACAATAAGCTACTATAAGATGGAATGGCATACTACGCCTTAATTAGCTTGTGGTGCTCCTTGGCGGCGCTTTTGGGTAAGGACAGCGACCAGGAACCTAGCCACTTTCAGGGTCGTATGGGCATCCTTATCCTGCAAGATTTGGGCAAGGTGGAATTTTGGTGGAGTACCCTCTAATTTCTGTATGATTGATCCCAACAAGTTTGCCCGTGGCACCTTAAATAAGGGGCAAGTGAACATAATGTGCTGAAGCGACTCCGGCATCTCCTTATCACATTCGCACATGGCGGAGGTTTGGCCCTTTGAGAATCTATGTCTCAGGACATTGGAGGGAAAAACATTAAACCTCGCTTTGGTGAAGGCCAGCCTATGGGCAACAGTCGAAAGGGAGGAGAGGTATGATGGAACGCAATAAGTTAAAGTGATACCAATGTTCTGGGGCGAACAAACACCTCCCCCCAGCATATAATTTTGCTGTAAATCGATGTCATCCAGTCTTTGGCGGATCAGTCTTTGAGCAGTGATTTGATCTAGTTTTAGGGAATCTAAGGAGAGATTCCATAGCTCAGGAGTTTGGCATGAATTCTACTGGTCCAAAGGCTGGGGATTCATCTCGCCATAAGCATTGGGCAAGGTAATGGTCTGGTAATCTATGCCACAATGATAACCAATAATTGAAGACTTGCTTCCACAGGCAGGTTTCTAAGGATGCGATCCTCAATTCTAAACGCATGGCTGCGTTGCTTACGCACAGGGGAGCATTAGGAGCCGACGTAGGAATTGGTTTGCAAAGTCTCAAGAGGAGCAAGGTCTGTCATCACGACCCAGAGCGGGGCAGCATAAGCAAGCACGGGAACCACTTTTGCCTTGAACACCTTTAGGGCCGAGGAACATGCAAAGCTCCATCCGAAAAGAAAAATCGGAGGAGCGCATATGACAGAGTTTTGGCCTTATTAAGTAGGTGTTGAATATGTGCTTTCCACCCCAAATTGTATTGAAAAATAACTCCTAGGTATTGAAATTTTAGGACTTGCTCTATTTTTGCTCCACCAAGCTTCCATTCGTATAATCTCCGACTTCTGGCGAAAATCAGAATCTTAGATTTAGCATGATTGATGGTTAATTGGTTGAGTTGACAATACGTGGCAAAGATCTTCAGAGCTCTGGTTAGTCCAACACGTGTATAAGATAGAATTACCGCGTCGTCCGCATATAAAGGAGTGGACAGCGGTAATCCGCTAGTCTAGGCGCATGTGTACTTGGAGATGAGTTGACTATGGGTGCTCGCATGTCGCTGATGAATAGATTGAATAGGCAGGGGCCAATATACATCCTTGGCGCACTCCCTTGTTTATTGGTATCGAATTTGTGAGGTCGCCCGCAGGAGTAAGTCTCACTCTGGCAAGGGTACCTTCGTGGAGCTGACTTATAAGCCATAAGAGCCTTCTATCGATGCCCTGTTTCGCAAGTTTCTCCCAAAGAATATTTCTAGGAACGCTGTCGAAGGCTGCCTTAAGATCTAAGAAGGCAGCACACAGATAGCCCCGGGGAGGGGAGGAGTACTTCCGTGCCAGATGGTAAAGAACTATCGCGTGCAATGTGTTGCTCCTCGAAGTCAAGTCGCAACTGCACCTCTTCCAGCAATGCACCCTGGGTTTTAACGGTTTTATGAAAAAGGAAACAAACTTGCAAGACGTTTTCGTCTTGCGAAGCAAGCCCATAGGGAAATTCGTCTTGCGAAGCAACTCGAAAACGAAAAAACCTTTCGTCTTGCGAGTTTTTCGTCTTGCTAGGCGTTCGTCTTGCGGGGCACCACTGTATGCCCAAATATGTCATGGTTGTAACTGGGCCCTCAGTTTTGTCCTTTGCTAAAGGTACACCAAGCTCCTCTGCCAGGGATGGAAATGCTTGAAGCAATGCTACGCAGTCGGGCACATTACTTGCGTTGAGAACAAAGTCACCTAAGTAATGTCCCACCCCTTCAGAACCTGTTTTAAAATGAAGAGCCCAGTCTAGGAATGTGCTAAAGGTCTCAAAGGCTGCACATGCTATAGAGCATCCCATGGGCATGACTTTATCTATGAAATATGCCCCTTCAAATTGAAAAATCCAGCCAACAGAAGTCGTCCAGGTGAACCGGAAGGAGACGAAAAGCAGACTCAATATTGCACTTAGCTAACAGGGCTCCCTTACCAAATCCACAAATAAGCTTTACCGCTTGATCGAAGGAGGCGTACTTCACTGAACATAGTTCTTGTGGAATTGCATCGTTGACAGAGCTTCCTTTTGGATATGAAAGGTGGGGAATCGGGCAGTATTCACCCGGGGCCTTCTTGGGGACAATACCCAATGGTGAGATGTGTAAACCCTCCAAAGGTGGTTCAATGAATGGGCCAGCTACCCTCCCAGCCACTATTTCCTTTCGTATTTTCTTTTTAGCAATATCTGGCCTTTATTTTACTGATTTCTGGTTAGGGGGGTTTCTGGAGTTGGGCGTGAATGAAACAGGGATTCTAAAACAGAAGGAAAACCCCTCCATAGGTACCTGGCGGCTTGTTTATTCAGGTATAAATCAAGGAGGATTTTTAGAGGTTGCAGCTTAATTGGTGAAAAGGTCAGACTAAGGGACGTGTTAATAGCGGTTTCCAGGTGTGCCCTGGGAGGGTCCAGGGGCACCTCGATTTCCCTGGAAGTGCCCTATGCCACCCCAAAAGGTCTGCTTACCTTTGAAGCAAGATGTTGCCGGATGATTGCCCAGGCACTTCTCGCACTCATGCAGGTACTTTCAACTTGGACGCATAGAAGTAGCGCGGTTATATTCCCAGCACTGCTTACGTCGCTTTGACTCGACCTTCCCAGACTTGTATGGGTCCAGTGGTTTCTTTTCTATGTAGGGACCCACATGCTCCATCCAGTAATTCTGGTCTCTAAGGTCCCAGCAGGTAGTGGGTAACAAGGAAGCATTTCTGCGAAAAAATTTATGTAGGTTAAGGCGGCCGCCTCCTCGGCCAGGGCACAGGCCCTTCTTACATGTGCCATATAGGCAGCTAGATGCATACCGCGTTTGGGATAACAAGCGGAAATTGCGCCCATGAAAACCTGAAACCGATCTAGCCAATTCTCGAAATAACGCTCCGCCCGCCGTGACCTATACCTATGTTTCCCATAAGTACGCTTCTTTCCCCCTTTTCATGATACTTTTGATGGTGGGAGCAGGGTGAACATATCTACATAATCCCCATTAAGAATCTTGGTCCTTTTCCTTTTGGACAGGTGATTACCCAAAATGAAATCTGTGGAAACATTAGTGGACATCTTCATGTCCTCCACTAAGGCACCTCCCTTCCATTCCAAGGACCCATTAAACATTTTGCGATGCGAGTTAGCCCTCCTCTCGTGAACCCAAAGAGGGACCCCGGCAATATCCTCACCCAAGCCCCAGTACCCCTCCCAGGGGGTGTCACTGTCGAAGTCTGAAGAAGTACCTGAATCTTCCTTGGTGTTGGAAGGTTTACTTTTCTTACTCCTCTTCACGATGTGTTTCTTCTTTGCCTTTCTCTTTTCCCCCTGCACCTTGCAGGCGTCCTGGGCTGGCTCAGCAGCTATGGGCGTTACTTCTGTGTCTGCACCTCATTCTAAGATAAAGAACCTGATCCGACCTCAATGGTTGTAGGCTGAGACAGAGGCTCCTGGAATACACTGGGAACATCTATAACCTGCAGCTGTGGAGTAGAGTGATTAGACCTGGCGGAATGAGCCTTACCATCCGTGGAACCAGGCCTAGACTTCTGAGTGTGCGACTACTGAGAGTGCGTGAGGGGGCGAGTACCCGTACTGCTGCTGTATTCTGCAGTGCTTAAACTGGAGGATGATGTACCTGGGCTCTCCTGGTTGCTAGGGAGGGTATCTGGGATGTAATCCTGTGTACCCAACAATGGAGCGGAGGACCCCACGACCCCCGGTCTACATTGTTGATAAAATGTTTCAAAGGCAGAAAAGAATTGCGCGAAAGCCTGTGGATTGCAGGGCATAAGAGAGGTTAGCTTTCTACTCTGCGCACCAGACCTGCCTCTATTGGAAGAGGGTCCCGCGAGTTGCCCCTGGAAGCCATAACACAACAGAGATTAAGAACAGGGCCAATCAATTAAGCTATTTATCTGGCTGCACTTTTACTCGGTATTGTCTACACTACCGTCAAACCACAAACCGCTCCCGCAGAATTATTTAATCGGTGGAATTCCTATTTTGTTACTCTCCCCAAAATGCCGCGGCTAAATTAAAATTAATTTTTTTTTAAAAAAAAATATTTTTTTATTAATTTCCCAACAAAATTATACAATTTTACCCAAATTTTAACAAATAAAAAACATTTTGGACTTCCTTCAACTTCTCTGGTAATCATCCATAGTTATTCTTCAGTACGCATTCTCTTCATTGTATTGCCATTTATCTTCCCTCCCCCTTCTATTTCTTTTTGACAATACATCTTAACTTTTACAGTGCTTCTTGAAACCCCACCAGCGTTGTTTGCACATCACACACATTTTTCAGATATTCCACAAACTTTTCCCAATCTTCGGTAAACTTTTGGTCTCTCACATATCTTATTTTCCCAGTTAGTTTATCTAGTTCAGCATAGTCTGTCAGTTTCATTCTCCATTCTTGTATCGTCGGTATTTCCTCTTTCCATTTCTGGGCCAATAAAATTCTTGCTGCCGTAACTGCATACTGAAAAAGTTTACAGTCCTTTCTTCTTATTTCTTTTCCTGTAATCCCTAAAAGAAAAGCTTCTGGTTTCTTTACAAAAGTATATTTTAACATCTTTTTCAATTCATTATATATCGCTTCCCAGAAACTCTTCACTTTCTTACACTCCCACCACATATGATAAAACGTTCCTCCTTTTTCTTTACATTTCCAACACTTATTGCATGTCTTATACATTTTTGCTAATTTTACCGGTGTGATGTACCATCTATAAAACATTTCCATCACGTTTTCCTTCAATGCCATGCATGCAGTAAATTTTAGATTTTCTTTCCACAATTTTTCCCAATCACCAAATTCGATATTATACCCGAAGTCTTTGGCCCATTGTATCATTACCGATTTAACCTCTTCATCTTTCGTATACCATTCCAATAATATCTCATACATTTTTGACAAAGTTTTACATACATTATTTATTATGTCTGTTTGAAACTTTGAATCTTTCTCTCCATAACCATTTTCTTTTATATCTTTTCTAAACATTTCATTTACTTGGAAATAATGCAACCAGTCATATACATAGTCTTTAACTTGTTCATATGGTTTCAATTTCCATTTTCCTTCTTTGATTACCATTTCACCATATGTAATCCATTTACTTCTCATATTTATTTTCTTTACGCTCATAACCTCCAGTGGAGATAACCAATGTGGTACTTTTGGTTCCAATAAATTTTTGTACCTGTCCCATACATCTATTAACGAATTCCTGAAGATGTGGTTCTCAAAACCTTTATGAACTTTCTTTTTATCACACTATAAATATGCGTGCCATCCAAATCTGTTATCAAAACCTTCCAAATCTAGTAATTCCTTATTTTCTAATTTTATCCCTTCCTTTAACCCAGTTTTTTTCAACCTTTTTTGGGCAAAGGCACACTTGTTTCATGAAAAAAATCACGAGGCACATCACCATTAGAAAATGTTAAAAAATTTAACTCTGTGCCTATATTGACTATATATAAAGTAATTCTCTTGAATAGGGATCAAATAAACACAAAGTATTTTATAGTTACTTTATTATGAAATAGTAAGTAAACAGAAATATGAAAAATAAAATACTTTATTCAGTGCGCAACCTGGGCCTGTTTGGCTGAACACAAAGCTGATATTCTGGCTGGAATCGAAGAAAGACACACACGTAGCTCTTCGTCAACAGCTCTCAGTCTCTCTCTGTATTTAGTTTTTATAGCAATCATGCTTGAAAAGCTCATCTCACACAGATAGATAGATAGATAGTTTATTACGGCCATAGGCCCATATTCAATACATCATACAGCAACACAGGTATAACAAGATAAAATTGATAAATTAAATTACGTTTAAATCAAGTACATCTCAGACCGTAAGTTTCTAAATTCCATTAAAATAAGAACAATATAGCACTTAAAATATCAAATTATCAGTATAAATCAATATTATTTAGGCAAAATCAATAATCATAGAGTAATCCATTTTTCTTTTTATAGGCTAATACTGTTATCAGAAATCTGGCAACAGAAAGGGACCTACTCGGATCAGAATCTTGCAATAAATGAATTAGCTGTATTTCCAGAGAGTCACCTGAGATTTCCAATAATAAAGGGGACAAAAATCTGGTCCGAGAAACTGAATGTAATGAACAACAGAATAGTATATGTTGTAAAGATTCTATAGATCTATTATCGCATACACACACCGCTGAGATCCAACCATTGGAAAATCTATTATTCAGGACATTGGAAGGAAAGGCATTAAATCTTATCTTAATAAAGGCATATCTGTGGGCCGCTACAGACAAAGAGGTCAAATAAGATGGTATCTGCTGTGAGGGCACTATGCCAAGATTTAATGGTGAGCAAGTGCCACTACCCGAAATGGTGTTTTGTTGTAGGTCAATCTCCTCAAGTTTTTGAATGAGGATTTTTTTTGCTGTGGCTAGGTCCAATTCCAATAATTCTGATGGAGACAATCCATAGGTCACTACTTTAGAATGGATCTCTTTTGCCCCTAGGACAGGAAAATTATCTCTCCAGAGGCATTGGATCAAATACAGATTCGGGAGCCTATGCCTTAAGGACAACCAGTAACAAAGGCTGCGCCTCCAAAGAGTATTTTCTAAAGATGTAGTTTTTAATTCTAAACGAATAGCTGCGTTGCTAACGCACTGAGGAAGTTTTAGCAGTCGTCTTAGAAATTGATTTTGAATTACCTCCAAGGGCATCAAGTTTACTGCGGTCCCCCATAAAGGAACAGCATATGCCAATGTTGCAATTACTTTAGCTTTGAATACTTTCAGGGCAGATGGAACATGAAGAGCCCCGTCCGGAAAAAAAAAGCGCAAAAGCGCAAAGGATGGGGCCTTGGCCTTGTTTAGAATATGTGCAATATGGGCCTTCCAACCCAGATTATATTGGAGAAAGACTCCCAGGTATTGAAATTTATAGACCTGTTCAATAGGTTTTCCATCTAATTGCCACTTATAGGATTTCCGACTTTTTGAGAAAATTAGTACTTTTGATTTAGATTGATTTATAGTGAGGGAATTTGTTTTACAATATGAAACAAATTATTTTAATGCTCTCCTGAGGCCAATTCTTGAGAAGGATAAAATCACAGCATCATCAGCATAGAGTAATAGTGGGCAACGATAGTTTGCGAGGCGGGGGGCATGGGTGATTTCCTGCGATTCAGCCAATGGTATCCTCATGTCACTAATGAATAAATTGAAAAGAAAAGGAGCTAGGATACCGGACTCCTCTGTTGATGGGCACAGAGTTTGTGAGATCGCCGGCTGGGGTTATTCTCACCCTAGCATCCGACCCCTCATGCAGCTGGATTATTAACCATAAAAGTCTTCTATCAATTCCCCATCGGGTCAACTTTTCCCAAAGCAACCTTCTGGGGATGCTGTCAAATGCAGCCTTAAGGTCGATAAAAGCCGCACATAGTTGGCCCCGGTTTGAAGAGGAGTATTTCCGGGCTAGATGGTGCAAGACTAAAACATGGTCCGTAGTTGACTGGTTCGGTCTGAATCCTGCTTGCTCGGGGCCTATCAGTTTCTTTTCTTCAGCCCATTGGGTAAGTCTATTCAGCAGAACACGTGCGTATATCTTTCCAACTATTGACAGTAAACTAATATTCCTATAATTCTCCGGATCGTCTGGGGAGCCTTTTTATATATTGGAATTATAATAGCGTCCTTCCATATTTTTGGCACCCTTCCAGTTGTATTAATGGCATCGAAAGTAACAGCCAGGATTTTTGCCCACCAGTCGGAATGAAGTTTTATGGCTTCCGCCGGAACCAAATCTGGCCCAGGGGCTTTGCCGATTTTAAGTTTAGAGATTAAATTCAAAATTTCATCGGGGTCAGTAGGAGGCCAGATAGGGAGATGGTCAAATACATCATCAAGAGCGTTGGTATTGGGATCTGGTGACGCAAAATATTTCCTTAAAAAGGATTCCCAGACCGGGGCAGGAATTACTGTTAAGGGATATCTCCTTGATCTTCTATTAACCAGTTGCCAAAATTGCCGTGAGCTACATGAACTAGAGGTGACTATTAGCGCCTGCCAGCGATTGTGTTGCCACTCTTGCTTAGCCATTCTCTGGGCTTGCTTATATGCTATTTTTGCTTGCTGGTAATTCCTAGGTAATACTAAGGCACCAGAAGATTTATTTTCATTGTAAATGGCACAGAGATGTCGTCTAGCTTGCTTGCATTTTAAATTAAACCAGGGGGCACCGGTCTTGAAATGGGCCTGATTTACTTGGATGGCTGGTACTGCAAAAAAGGACATAAGATCTTCTGTAAGCAAAGAGAATGAATTAATAATTCGTTCATGCCCATACAGATCTAAACCTAAAACAACATGAGTTTGAATTTTCTCTTGTTGGAAGAATTCCATATATTTTTGGGCTTGAGTTACTGACCATTTTATTCCTCTCACTTGTTCTGCAGTATTTATTCCCATATTTATGGGGTGTCTAGGCTTGATAGACTGCCAGTCTAGGGAAAGCTTGGCACTCAAGGGGAGATGGTCGCTCATTTGGACGTTTTCTATTTTAAAATAAGAAAAATTTGGGAATAGATCTCTCGAAACAATAAAATAATCGAGAACACTATTTGTAAGTGTGCTCAAATGAGTAAACTCACCCGGAATATCCGGGGGACAATTTCCGTTTAAAATTATCAAATTCAAACGTAAAATCAGCTGATAAAGAAGGGTTCCGCTTCATTAACCCTATTATCTTTCGATTTTCTCTGTATATGGGGGGAGAAATCCAAGTTCTGGTGATCAGGTATGACCCACCATTTGGCCTTGCCTAGCGCTTCCCAGTTTGCAGCTGTACGAGCATTAAAATCACCTCCCATGACTGCTGAGATATTTGGGAACTTAGTATAACAGAAAGCTAGGTGTTCTTCAAGTGTTTCCCATTTGGAATGGAGGTCCACTACCTGCCCCCCCCCGGGGGGGAAATAAACATTTGTTATCAGTAATTCAAATTTCCCTCCTGAAATCAGTCCTGTAATCGCGTACGGAGAGGAAGATTTAACAAGTGTAAGTTTTGCTTGCAATTTGAGGGAAATGGCTATTACCAAACCTCCCCTGGGGTGTCCACCTTTAAGAGAGGGGCTAGCTGGAAGCAAAATGGTATCGTATCCATTTATGTCAATCGCCTCCTCTTCCCAAGTTTCTTGTAGGAGAATTACTTGAAATAAATTAACAAATTTTAAGAAGTCTGGATCAGATTTCTTCCCCCTCCATCCCGCAATATTCCAGCATAAAAATGACATCGAGGAGTGGTTGGGTTGATCGTTAGGTAGTCAGATCATGTGGGAATGGGGTTCTAACTTTGGGGGAGCTTCAGCTTCAAAAAAATCAGTAATTTTCCTTTGAGAAGGTGGCAATCATGCTATACATCCCAACTGTTTGAATTTATTGGGGTGGTTTGGCTGTAAAGTCGTGCCGCTCATCTCGCTAAAGGCAGATGTTTGGCCTAAGATAGCCGACTTTCCAGAGCCAGATGGTAGAATTAGGGGGGTATTACTTAGAGAGAGCGAAATTAAGTCAGCAGTTATCGTGCCACTAGTTGAGTGATCATTAGTTGATTGGATAATTTTGTTAATACGACCTGTCGGGTCTTCAACCAGATCATTCTTCAGGACTAAAAATAAAATGGAGTCGTCTCTCATTTGTTGGTCTGGTTCAGCTGGTTCTGTTACCGGTTCGATGGTATCTATGGATTTATTCAACTTGCACACGTTAGAAGAGAGTGGGTTAATAAAATTACAAGTAAGTGGACCCATATGGGACACTTTACATGGAGAACCTAATTCAGATTCGTTAAGTTCCCTCATTTTGTCCCAAGCAGATGTTGTAGTCATATTTGCCTAAGAGAAGGGGTGCATAATAGATGGGTCTGGTGATGGGGTTTCCGCCTCCAGAGTATGGAAGAGTGGATTCATCTCCGCAACAACCAGTTGGCTGGTAGGGGTGGGTGCCTTCCCAACCCACAGGTCCAGTTCTTGGTGGTATAAGCGTGGGGCAGAATCTGAACCACAGTCTCTATCAAGCATATTTTGTTTAGGTAAACTCAGCTGTTCCTCCGTCACTTTTGTCAGGCAGAAATAAAGGGAATCAATTTTACGGAGTATTTCTTTCTGGACTTCTTGCGGGAGAACACTATAAGAATGGAGTAAGTTATTATCAAAGCTATCGAGGTCGATTCCCTGATTCTCCGCATACCTGGGCCCGAGGAAGTCCAACCTTTGAGAGTCCTTGGTAACCAGACCAGTAGGATGTTTGGAGATGTCCTCCGCAGAGTTTATATCAATTAGAACATGTTGATCAATCTCATGTTGAGTTTTTGGCAAATTTACAATATGGGGGATAAGTGGAATTGGAGGTGCTTCATTCTTAAAGTATCTTGAGATTCTTATACCACTCATCTCCATGTGTTCTCTACATTTGTACACTAGTTTTGCCAGTCTCCCCTCGTAGAATGAAACCACCGCTCTGGCAAGGAATCCGTTGAAGTATAGATATTCCACTTGGGCCAAATCAGTAGGGTTATTAAGTATACCCGGCATGTAGATCTTTAAAAGGTTCAATAGATGGGCTTTACGCTCTTCTTGTGACAGGAGTCCTGGGGGTTTAGGATAGTTTGATAAAACGAGTTTGTTTCGGTACAGCACCAGATTCCAGTTTTTATTTGTTAGATTTGTCTGATTTCTCTTCTTAGAAGGATTGGTTTCATCTACAGATAGAATGTAAGACCATGGATCTTGGATCAAAATGTCTTGCTTGGAGTTAGGTGTTGGGGTAAGTGTTAAAGGTTCTAAGCAATCCATCGCAGCGTCAGGGCAAGGGTTTATAGAACGTTCTTGCTTAGAAGATTTCCTGGTTTCTCGGTTATTGGGATACTCTTGAGAAGATTAAAAAGCTTTTTAAAATCCATTTTTTTGTAACGCACTGCCTTAAGGTTTTTAACATTTCTGCTCTTTTTTACCCTTATGGGCCTCCTTTTCAAGGCAGTAGCCCTACAAGATCTCTTGGCCTTCCTTGGTGGTCTGTTTTTGCAGGTGGTGGGATGGAAGTTACTATTACTTTCCAATTCTACAGTCACCCCGCTGGATTCCCTACAGAGAGTTTTGCAAGTATCCATCATTATAGTGAGGATTTTTGTACAAGTGGCCAGATGGGATTTTATATTTTTGATATCCTCAGTTAAAAGCACAAGCCATTTGATAACTGATAAATCCTCATCCTCATTTGTCTCAAGTTGGAAGCAGGAGTCTCTTGATGTTTTAGGGTTTCCCGAAGACATCTCTGCAATTTGTTTTAACATTAGTTCTTCCACTTCTCGGACTCGGGATGGTTCAGGAGAAGCTTGGGATTTAAGTCTCTGTTTTGGGAGTAGTTCGGTGACTGTACCAATTATGTTTGGATTTACTTTGGGCTTTATTGGCCCTTTGTTGTGGCATTCTTCTACACATTCTTCTTCACAATCCTCTCTCTGCACAGCCGGCCCTTCAGTGCAGGGGGGAGGAGTTTCAGTTTCCTGCTGAATCTCACTCGGCTTGACTTTACCCCTATTCTTAAAGGGCCGAGTGCTTTTGTTTGAGCTCCCTTTAGGGTAGCTCTTTTAGAGAGAAGTCTTAGATCACTCCGATAAAAGCCTGGTGTTCTACAGCCACTCCTGGTCGTCACCATTATTTATCTTGTGAAGGTCAAGTTGGTGAAAATCTCACCTCGGTTCATTAGCTCCGTCGGGTGTTGCAGGAGGGTTCTCCGCGGGACTACTTCCAAGGTAGGCAGGTAATTGAGACCAATTTGCTGGGCTCCTTTGCCGTGGTGGTGGAGGCCGCGGCGGTGTTAGCGGCGCCTTTTTGGCTGTGTCGCCTTCCTAGCTCAGTGGGGAGGCGTCCGAGATAACAAGGAGGTAAAACCATGAGATGATAAAATAGGGCAATAAAACAATAAAGTAGAACAATAAAAGGACCATAAAACTATAAAATGGTGAGAGCAGCTGCATCACCCTGCCTCACAGATCGGTGGCCATCTTGGATCTCCTGTGACACAGTGAGAATTGGCCCATGAGATTGAGAGAAGCTGTATATGATCGTTTACAACAGGAAGAATGAAGAAACAAAAGGAAAATAACCACCTCACATAGAAAAATCACAGGATACAAACTCCTGAAATTCAGCACATGGGAAATCAATCAGAATTGTTTAATTTGGTATTTGAATAATTATTATAATTTGGTATTGTGATAATGCAGCTTTTATTGGATTATGGTATTTGAAAATTAATAAAAATTATTAAACAAACAATATAGGTATTGCAGCTTCTCCATACATATATATATATATATTTGCTGCTTCAGCATCCTGTAGACCAAATTGTGAATGCTGAAGATCTCATAGGCTTTGTCAGCACTGAAAGCTGAAACTTGATCCAAGACAATCCCCATTTTTCTAAAGTGTGTAGTATGCAGTCCATAATCCATTCTGCAGATTTCTCATGTTCTTTAGTAATCTCTTTCTAGTTGTCTGAAATTCTTCTAACAGTGGGAGCATAAGCAACGGCGACTCAGTGTGTTACGGTTCTTTTCCAGTTACCCATAGTTCCTCTGGAAATGGGTCCTGTGACGCCTCAAGAGCCTCTAGTGCATGAAAACTGTTGACCTGGATTTGAAACAGAGCATCTGTAGTATTACTTATTTAATCCTGGAATGAACGCTACAGGAAAGAACGTTATCCCGCAGTCATTGCAAAACAAAGCACTCAGCAACCTGAAGCAGCGAATCCAATGGTGATCCAATGGTTTTCATTTTATTCATGATACAAGCTAACCATTTGTAATGGTGGGATTCCTACAGCATGTGAAAAATTAGAAAAGGGGTCAGACTTGCAATGGAGGTGTAGCCATAATTTTTATAGTAGTGAGCCACGCTCGCAAGTTTTCACAAGCCATTGTTCACATGGCTGCATATGGAACACAGTTTGGCAAGCTTGGGGTTTTATGAAGGAATTTTGATTGGGTGCGTTTGAGGTGGTGGTCAACTTCACCAACCCATAATGCTGTGCCATACTGTCAGTGTTGGGATGCGTCCAAGGAAACGGGGGCAATTGGCAGGCCCCCAGCTGGCTCCAGCCCACTGGCTGGTAGCCAGGCAATCTCCCGTCCTTGGATCAGCATGTAACTGCAACTTTAGCATCAGAAAGCTTCAGAAGCTGAGCAAGCAAGCCAGCAGATAATAAAACTCTTCACAACAGAAGGGCAGATAGAGGCTGTGTAAAGCGTATTTACAGGCATTTTATTCAGCATCAGGGGAAAGGGAAAAACATGTCTTCTCCCCTTCGTGTCCACGCAAACAGCGTAAGCAGTAGCTATACACAAACGGAAGTTCCCAGCAAGCTGTGCTGGAATGTAAACAGGCATGTGACACACAACAGCCTGTTCCTCTTAAGGTGGGATGGAATACCTTAACAGTCAGGTCCCCAGCTTGATAACACAGTGAGTGTAGTTGATTGAAAAGGATTCTTTATTTTCAAAACAAACAGATAACTCCTGATGGCTGTGCTGGTCCCGGGGGGAAGGTTACCGTTGGCGTAGTCAAAGTCCGGTCCTGGGTCACTGGTATGGAAACAGTTCTCAAGGAGCGAGGTGAGGTCCGAAGCAGGAAGCCGGGCGGGGACAGGAACACTGGGGGAACAGGACTGGATGCTGGCCGAAACAGCTCATTGACGACGTTGCTCCTGCAACCTGGGACAGTGCTGACTGGCCTTTATCTTCTCTGAGGCCAGGGGCGGTCCCGGCCCCCAGGAGACCCGCCTCTCCTGGCCTTAAGGCGAGCACTCCTCCTGGGAGAAACCAGTTCCCTTCGCCTCTCTGCCCTGAGCCTTTGCATTTCAGGAGAGGCCGAAGGGTTACTGGGCCCAGGGGGAGACTCGCCTGTAGGCACTGAGTCCTCAACCACCTCCGGAGCCAGAGTGGATTCACCTGGTGCCTGCTCCTGAGGATCCGGCACAGGTGCAGGCACTTCAGAATCAAGGCCCTGCCCCAGTTCAGCCGGCCCTGGAGGCAGGGACTCCTGTGCAGGCTGGGATTCCTCCGGTTCAGCCTCTGAATCGGAATCCCAGGCCATCACAACGGCATTAACACAGCCGCCGCTATCATGAATTATGACGACCCTTCTAAGGGTCCCTTCTGCGTTCTAAAACAGAAAGTGAACTTATGAAGCTGATGTCCTTTCTGCTTCCTGTCTAGCAAGCCCCCCATATGCTGGCTCCGGGGAGAGATGGGATCAGCTCCAACCTCTTCCGAGTCACTAGCTCTGTCTCTGTTCCTGCCTGATGAACTGATTCCTTCTCTCTTGGCGGTATTTTGTAGTTCTCTAGAGCGCTGGCAGGGCTCCAGCTCGCCCTCTTGTGATGCTTTTTATCAGCTGGCATTCCTAAGGGTGGGGGAATTGGCACTTGGCTATGCTCCTCTTGTCTGGCTGTTAATTCCCTCTATTCCTGGCTACTTCCTTCACTGGGAGCTGGCTCATTGATGACACAATACAGTAATTTTGGATTTACTTTGCGTTTAAAACCTTTTGCGTAGCAAGAATATATTGGTTCTTTATTGAAGGAGCAGCAGTTGATAGCCAAGCACTGGTACCTTCCACACTTGATGCAAACTTGCCAGGAGGCATTATATTGAAAGCAAATGCCTAGGTATTGAGAAAACTCAGTTTACCAGAATCCTTGGCCTTCGGTAGCTAAGTAACTACTCACCCACACAAGAGAACTTGGTTTCCCCAAGCTCCCTTGCACCCGAAAGAGCCGCGGCAAAACACAAATCCAGGAATGGCAGCCAAGACCCTCACGCTCCTCGCTGCCCGCTTGTTGAAGGAGGAAGCAGTGCATTGCTGTGATGGCCTGGGAATCTGATTCAGAGGCTGAACCGGAGGAATCCCAGCCTGCACAGGAGTCCCCGTCTCCAGGGCTGGCTGAGCCGGGGCAGGGCCTTGAATCTGAAGGGCCTGCACCTGTGCCGGATCCTCAGGAGCAGACACCAGATGAATCCACTCTGGCTCCGGAGGTGATTGAGGACCCATTGCCTGCAGGTGCTCCTCTCCCAGCTCTGTCAGGAGAAGGTGAGGCTGCCTCTGGGTCCAGTAACCCTCCAGCCTCTCCTGAGCTGCAGAGGCTCAGGGCAGAGAGGCGGAGGGAACTAGGTTCTCTCAGGAGGAGTGCTCGCCTTAAGGCCAGGAGAGGCGAGTCACCTGTGGGCCGGGACCGCCCTAGGCCCCAGAGGAGATAAAGGCCAGTCAGCCCAGTCCCAGGTTGCGGGAGCAACGACGTTGGAAACCTGTTTCTTCCAGCACCCAGACCTGTTTTTCCGGAGTTCCCAGCCATGCCCGGCTTCTTGCTTTAGACCCTGCTTCGCCCTTGGTGGACAGTCTCCAGACCGGGACCGGACTCTGACCACGCCTCATGGTAACCCCCCCCCCGGGACCAGCACAACGGCGCAAAAACAGGGCAGCAACCTCCAAAAACACTTGGAAAGGAAAGGAAAGCCGCGCTGCTCCCGGCAGCCAGGCACATGGCTCAAAAGCCCCAGGATGTGCAATGGAGCACTTAACAGTAGAATCACAATCGCTGCTGGATGCTGCTGCTGGCAATCGTTACAAAGGCCCAGCGCACGGCGAGGAAAGCGTGGAGGAGATCCCAGAGGTGAGCTTGGGATGATCGGAGTAGCGATGCAGGAGTCCGACGGAGAGCCACGCTGAAATGGGCAAAGGAACAAACAGGTAGTGCCCCAGGTGCAGGCTGCTTAAGTGGGCAAGGGGCAGGATCCGAGGGAAGCCTACCTGCTCTGTCAGCTCTGCCGCCTGGCAGAGCCTATTGTTGGGATCTCCGCTCGGCCAAGCTGATAAAGCTCATCTTCCTCCGGCCGAGTCCTTCGGAATCACCTCCGACGAATAATTAACGACCTGAGCCTTTGATGAGGCCTCAGGCACATTCCCGTTCAGCAGAGTTTCCAGCACAGGGAAGTGATAAGATTTATGGCTACATCGCTATGCTTTATTTCTTACTACGCAGACAGCAAAGAAATATACATCCTCTCTCTATGAAAGCAGAGAGCAACTGAAAGGAAACAGGAAACCAGTACGTCACATCCGTCTCCCATCTCCCGTGAGACTTCCAACAGTATGGAATCCCAGGAATGTAAACAGAGTCCTTGTAACTCTAAGCAGCTGCACAGTGGCAAAACAGAAACTTGACATCTATGTCCCTAGCCTGCATTCCCATTGGCCAAAGCCAGGTGCAGGCTAGGATCCAGTTCCTGATGGGTGCAGGGGGCAGTGTAGAAAAGGTTATGCCAAGGGCAATAGGAGACAGGTAGACTACATATTCCCCCCATTTCTCCTCGTTTACTTTGTGTTTCTCGGCACACTTTTACACCTGAGGATCTTGGATTCTGTTGGGCGGTGTGGGAGAGTCTCTGGCAAGTTCTCAGTCCGCCATTCCCCTCAGAAGTGCGTCCATAACTCAGCTCCCCTTTCCTGAAGCTTCTGATCATATGAACCAGAACCCCTCCCTCCCTGACTTCTTTGAGCGAATCTGGATATTATTGGAGTAGGTTGCGAGTGCTGAGATCTTATCCCTCAAACTCCCACCCCCTACTGTCTGGGCAATTTCTAGAAATCCGCCCCTTACCTATAAGATACATATGTAATCATCTTCTGATTGGTGGCTTTTTTGTGACATTTGCAATGAAAACCCTTACCGGGTTTCAGGGACCGCCCCTAAGATGTGGTGTTATGCCTGCTTGGATTTTTGCCTCAGCTAGCAAAATACCACTAAATGAAAGAAATAATAATTTTTTTATTTATATCCCGCCCTCCCCAGCCGAAGCCGGGCTCAGAGCTGCTAACAGTAGTAAGATGATACATTTCTAAAATCATTTCATTTTAAAATCAGTTCAAATCGGATTAATACCGTGAAAATCCCTGAAACGAGAGGTAATCGACTAGAAATATTAGCTTGTGGAAATAAAACTAAATAATAAAAATCAAAAAGCTTAAGGAAAAAATCAGAAAAACCTGAAATAGAACACAGCCTTAACGGGATGCCAGCTACAAACCTCGTTTCACTGAACTATTCAGTTTCCTCAGAAGGAAATAGAAAAATCATAAACTTTAAATGACAAATTCAAAAAAGCATAGAACCCCCAAAATTCTGACGTATTATAATCCTAAAATGTGTTGTTATTTCTGCTTGGATTTCTGCCTCAGCTAGCAAAATACCACTAGACATCATTACTGGCCAGTTACAAATAACATACTTGCGGAGTGACCTGAGACCTCATGTAGCAGTTTCTTTAGATTTTGACCCAGCCGCCCATGAGATTCGCAGCACCATTATTGGCTGCAAAGTCCTCAGTCCAGCATTGAGGTGTGGATCCAATTGCCTCTGGACCACCAGGTGTCAAGAGCTAGTGCTTCCTACTGCTGCAGGCACTTTTCACATAGTTTTGTTTTCAATAAAAATGGTTATATTAAATGCTAGCTGTACTAAGCATACATACATTGAGATAAACTGAGACTACAAACCTGGGTTCATGAATTTCAGTGGGTCTACTCTGAGTAGAACTTCATTGGATGCAGAGCAAAGCAAGCAGTGTGTAAGGACCAAATGACAATTTTTTTAAAAAATGATTCTTTTCCACGTTTTTGCAACGACTGCATGAAAAAAGTTTGGTAATAGTAATTTGCATGTATATTATCATTGATTTTGTTACTCCAGGGCATCAAGAACATTCATTTCTCCATCAGTTTATGAGGTTGATTAATTTACATTCTCTTATAATAGTTTTAACCAGATACCAAACATTTAAAAAAAAGACATGTACAAGGGGATGGAGAATTGGACAATCAATGGCTGCTAGCCATGGTCAGTGGCATTGATGTTTCTGAATTCCATTGCTAGGAATCGCAAGTGGGGAGAGCGCTGTTGCATTCTCAGGTCCTGTTGAACTGAGAATAGCGGCTAAATGGAAGAAGAAAGCATTACGAATACATTCATTGACCACTGTCAACGTGGATTACAGTTCTATAGCGGGCGCTTATGTTGGTTGATGGTTTGCGAGTATATTCTATTCAGCTCAATTTCAATCTGTTAGTTTCCCTTCCTTAGGAAGATTCATACTTCATCGGATCCTCTGTCCAAGGGGGAAAGGATCTGGCCAGCTCCTGAGTGAGATTCTCCTCAATTGGCCACCCCCAAGCTTTAAAGAAAGGACCCAGATTTTTGCTCACTTCTTGAGAGAAATGGCGTGTCCAGAGGTTCATTTTGGAGCTGTTGTCAGTTGGGATGTGGGTTATTGCTTGGTACTTTGCGAAGATGTGGATGTAGGGCTCCCAGCCAAAGGCCTCCTGCAACTGAAAAATAATAATTATTCAGACCCTTTCCTAAGGACTTAAAAAAATATATCTCTGTTGCTTATCCTGTCTCTCTGGGTGTCTATGCTACCGAAGCATGTCAGTTTTACACCATTTATGACTTACGTGGCTCCGCCCTCCCGGCCCTTGAGAATTCTGGGAACAAATGAGAGCCGCAACAAAATGTTGCAGTATGAAGTGCTGCTCTTCAGGATTCCTGCTACTACACTGCACGGCACTCCCCTTTGTCCTCCCATGATCCTCCACTCCCCACCACTGACCATGCTTGGTCCTCCTTGGGCTGGTTTTAGAATAGGCCTCATAAAAATATTTCTGCAGCCCTTGGAATTTTCCGAGTCCTGCCATTTTCTCCGTTTCCCATATATAAAGTCATTCCAGTAATGGAAGCAACGTTCTCACAAAACTACAGTTCCCAGAAGTCCCTGAGAAAAAGGAACATTCTGCATGCCTACTTGGTCCTAAGGCCCATCATGTTCAATAAGACATTCTTCCTTCCTAGGGTTTGTAGCACTGCAGCTTAATTCTGACTTAAAGTTTAACTATAAATCTATCACAGGCTTTTATAATGAAGGGGGTATTTGTTAAGCAGTTTGTGATAAGTTGGAGGTGGAGAGGAGAGTCTGCATTGGAAAGTGGGGGGGACATCAAAACAACCCCCCCCCCCCGGGCATCGCCAGTTGTCTCTGTCTGCTGAACGCCACCCTGGAATTTTTAGTTAGAAGTCACAATCACACATTTCAGCGGCAATGGCTGAATCCAAGGTTTAGGCCTACAGAAGTTCAACAGATGGAACTAAAGGTCAGTTGTTTTCAATGACTCGACCCTGAATATTGCAGAGTTGAGATACAACCCTGAGTCCTGAAGGAATGAAAGACCTTAACAATTTATTCTACCTGGCTTGCAGCAGTAGGAGCAGCTTCTGTCACTGGCCAGTTAAGGCAGCACTGGTCTAAATGGTCCAGTGATCTGACTTCCGCTCCGCTGTGGAGGATATGGCGGTGAACTCCATGTTGTCTGCTTAAGAGACGACACGGTTTAGGCAAATAGAGCTTGAGGGTGGCTGCCAGGGCTCAGCACCCCCCGAAAAGCCCCCCACGGAAGAGTGGGGACCCCAGGGTTCCGGCAGAAGTGAGGAAAACTCGCCTCCCCAGCTACCATTTTGCACGTGGAGGAAAGTTGAAGGGGCTTGAGTTTGCTCACGGCTCCAATGCACTCTATTGCCGAAGCTGCACTCCGTCACCAGAAGCAGCAGAGCTTCCAATTAGAGGTAAAAGCCAAATAAAGTTGTTAAAGAAATTAGGCTTAAATTAATTAATTTGGTGAAACAGAAGCCAAACAGGAAGTCAGCTTCCTATTTCTGCAGACAGGCTCTGCAAGGGATATTTTTGTGAATGGTAGAAAGAGAATTGGCTCCAGCCATGGATATTTAGTAACAAAGAGACTCTTGACTTTGGGAATGGTTTCCTTCTGTTGGATATATGTTAGAAACAATTGTGTCAAGCTGTCCTTTGGGATAAAAAGAAGATAGAAGATGACAGCTGGAGAGAATTTGACAGTCTGATAATCCTGGCAGTGTATAAAGCAAGAAGAGGGAATTTTTAATGGTCCAGTGGTCTGACTCTATAGAGCAGCTTCTTTATGTACCTGCAAGTAAGGCTCCAGTGCAGTCCATACCGTGAAGTCCTTCAGCTGAGCTCCACCTTGAATATAGTCCTTCACCCTCCTCTTTCTGCTGTCTGGTTTAAGCTCTGGATGGGCTATTTCTCTGGGGATGTTCAGCACAGTTTCATTGACGTAAACAGACCAGAGATTGCAGGTGGCTTCCGTGGTATGTGGGGGGAATTCCCACCCACCCTTCTGCTGATTGTGACCCAGCTCATGGATCGGGCCCCAAGTGCCTTTGGTGTACATGCGCTGTACATCCGTGATCTCCTCTGACGCCGCCACGTTAGCCATGATCGGATAGCCAGAGTGCATCCAACCTGGCGAGAGAGTTGGGACAAGGGGGACTTGTAAGACAGACGCAGGTTTCTCCATGAAAGCGGAATAAATCATTTGCAGATAAATCACTTGCATCTTTTCCCTCAGCTTTAAAACAAATAAGGTACTGTGGTTTGTGTATGTATTGTACTGTGTGGTTATTTCTCCCTAAAAAAATATTTTTATTGGAATTTTAACATACAGAAAATCTGATTTGCATGGGGGTTGCTTTCTGTGTCTGGGTTTAAAATTGCTGAAGTAAATGATTCACAGTGATTTATGGGGCCACCTAGAATTTTGCTGGCCAAAAATTGAAAATTGCAAGAAGTACCAACAGTGGAGGAATGGCAGATGAAGATGGACTTTTTGGAGCTAGCCGAACTGACTGGAAGAGTCCGCGACCAGGAGGAGGAGGAGTATCAAGAGGAATGGAAGAAATTTAAAGATTATTTAATTAAATATGTTAAGATAACTTAAATAGAAATACTTGTAACAGATTGGTCTAGGATTTAAATATGTGATGTTGTAGAATACTATGGATAAAAGTCAAAATGAAAAGAAAGATGTTAATCGGCCAAGTAAATTTTATGTGAAAATAGTTTTGGAAAACTGCTACTATTAATTCATATGGAAACTCAGCCAGGGGGATTCGAGGAAGTCACCCAACAATGATAACAAAAATGGAATTATTACAGTTAGGATAAATGTTTGTTTTTTGATGTTTTCTTTTTATGTTTGTTGAAATTTTGTTATAAATTTGGAAAACTAATAAAAAAAATTTGAAAAAAAGAAAACTAAGTATAGTAAAACTTAAACTGTATCCTTAGTTTGAAAATAACTTGAGTTGCGGCAATATCCATGTTTTTCCGTAGGCAATGCCTACGTGATTCCAAGATGCTGAGCTTAAAAATGGGACTTGCTAGCAGATCTTGCTCTGCACTAAAAATATATGGGTAAATTATTACTATTTTATTGTTGATTTCAAACATACAAATAAATGCATAGTTTACAAATACTTCCATTGGTAACCTCTGTAAAAGGCAAATAATATCAAATATTTGAAACCATACATCTCAACCTGTGTGAAAAGAAAAAGAAGGAAAAAAGAAAGAAAATACAATACAAAAACAAATACTTCAATATATTGTGTTTGATACTGTTCAACACGATTCATTCGTATAGTAGCATTCCTTTGATGTGGTACTTTCCCATGTGGATTGAATCTCCTTACATATTTTAGTTATAGACTTCCATCTACCTTTTTGTCAGTGTTTGTAAAAAAAAAAAAAGTTCTGACCTCCCTTTGTCGCCTCAGCCTGGTCCTCAGACCCTTGTCGGCATAAAAGAGTCCACAAGAATAGTATCCTTGCAGAGTACTTTCTGATTTTATTCTTAAAAGTCTTTCTGCAAAAGTGACTGACAAACTACACACCAACACTACCAGCTTTCACTAACCAACCAACCAACTCAACACCAAACTAACATTTCTCACTCTATATATACTCATGCTGACGCAGCTTTTTTAAGCATTAAAGAAACAGCGGCCATTTTAGCCGTGACACTTTTGGGGCTCAGAATTCTATTTCTGAGCCTTTTTAGGGGTGTGCGTTGCCTCTGCTCCCCTTCTGCTCTTTTCAATGAATGAGACACCCTGACCAGCAAGCGGGGCGTACTCTCGACCTGAACACAGTTGCGGTTGATCCTATTTGTTGATCCTCAGTGGTTTTAACAAATAATCCCATGAAATGTTATCAAAAGCCTTTTCGGCATCCGCTAACAACATTGCTATTCTTTTGTTTGATTTCATCTCCAAATATTCTAGTAAATATTTACTGTTCTTGTGTTGTTATATAGTTGTTTCCCTGGCAGGAATCCCGCCTGGTTGTCATTAATTATTATATTCAGTATTTTTTTAAGTCTATTTGTTAATATTCCTGTAAAAATTTTGTAATCTGAATTTAATAATGAAATTGGTCTATAGTTTTTGGTATTTGTCAGATCTGCTCTTTGTTTTGGTATTAAAGTTATTAAGGATTCTTTCCATGATCCCGGAGTTTTTCCATTCTCTAGTATATTATTCATAATCTTTTTAAGGATTGGAAGTATAACCACTTCTAATATTTTATAATACCTAATTGAAATTCCACCTGAACCCGGTGTTTTTCCTACTTTCATTCTTTTTAATTACTTGTACTATTTCGTCTGTTTCAATGTTTGAATTTAAAAACAGCCCTCTATGGTGGTGATCCCAAGCCCCATGTTGGCCTCCCTTGGTGACATTGGTTACCAAGAAGGAAGGGAAGGCCCTTCAGGCCCTCAGCAACAGGTGAGTCGCTCTAGCCAACTTTTCACCAAACCACACATTCCAATGATTCTTTGTGGACGCCATGATGCTTTAAACCAATACAAGCTTATAGCTCAGATGCATCTCTGAGGATATTTTTATAGATTCCGGTGGCTGCTTATTTAAAGACAGAAGGATTGTGCAAAATGGATTGGAGACTATACTGTTTTCACCCCCCTGTATATGAACAAGTTTGTACTTACCAGCAGAGATTTGGACATCTTCCACTATCCTTTCTGGTCTGGGGAAAAGGGGAGGGATGGCTGCTAACTTGGCCACTGCTCTCATCATCTGGGCCCAGGTGTTCAGCAGGACCCCTGGATTGTCCATTCCACGCACGTCATCTGAGGCCACTGTCAAGATGATGTTCTCCGTTTCTAACTCAGCCCAGGGAGCAGGGTAGTGGCGGATAGTGTCCTTCCAGGCAGATAGGCTGGTTTCACCTAAATGCATTTATTTATTTTGTTGCAAAAAGAAGTAATAACAATTAACTGCATATTCTAGTGTGGAGAAAGGGAAAAAGAAAAAAGGAATGGATGGGTTTTGGTCAGTGTATTCCCCACAATAAGCGCCCTCTTGACAATATTGTTTGTGAGGAGCCTCAGGTCCTGATGATACCTTCAGAGAAAGGGCAGATGGATTTTGGGAAGGTTTGCCCTTGCTCCGAGTGGGCTTTATTTTTCATTATGTAGTTGAGTGTGATTTGGCGTAATCTAGAAAATGCCTGAATCTCAAAGGATGGTCACAGATTTATAGAACCCATCCTGGTTTCTGATTTGGTCACAGAAGGTCCTCCTTTTCTGTAAAGGTAAAGGGACCCCTGACCATTAGGTCCAGTCGTGGCCAACTCTGGGGTTGCGACGCTCATTTCGCTTTATTGGCCGAGGGAGCCGGCATACAGCTTCCGGGTCATGTGGCCAGTATGACTAAGCCGCTTCTGGCGAACCAGAGCAGCGCACGGAAACACCATTTACCTTCCCGCCATAGCGGTACCTATTATCTACTTGCACTTTGACGTGCTTTCGAACTGCTATGTTGGCAGGAGCAGGGACCGAGCAACAGGAGCTCACCCCGTCGTGGGGATTCGAACTGCCGACCTTCTGATCTGCGAGTCCTAGGCTCTGTGGTTTAACCCACAGTGCCATCCGCGTCCCCTCCTTTTCCTTAGGACAGCCCTATTTTCATCAGAGAAATGTTGGAAGGTATGGAGTTACGTGATCCGCAAGTCAAGGAGATAAGCAACTATACAACCTTAAGAAGACATCTGAAGGCAGCCCTGTTTAGCAAGAACATAATGATGCAGTTGGGTTCCTGCACATCTTAATTCAAACAGATTTCTGATCTCACGAAATACCTCCCCTGCTTCTTTCAAAGGGAGCCCCCTTACCATGCTTGAAATAAGGAGCCAGTGAAGCCCCTTGGACAGTGACTGATATGTTGCCCACGGAAGACTTCTTTGGCAGCACAATGTACAAGAGGCCACCCCACAAGCTGGAGACTTCCATTCTTTCACTCGTAACTTCAAACCGCCTGATCACTACCGGGGGACGCAGCAAGTTATCAGCATTGCTCAGGTCATCGGAATGGCAGCCAATCTGGACCTGGAGAAAAAGACACTGGGTTCAACCAGCAGGTGGTGCAAAATATTAACCCCAAGGGGCAGTTGATAAGGTCTGCTGCTGTTGAAGGCACCGAATACTTTTGAAGACTCAAGGAACGATTGCCTTTCTTTCCACTCTTTATCTAAGGGACTGCATGATACAATTCGGTTATAATCACACGCGATTTTCACAACAATCTTGTGAGGTGGGAGAAGGGCATAGGTGGCAGAGAAGGTCTTTCTGTGAGTGAGGAAGTGGAGATTGGTTAGTTGGGGGAGGGACTGGCATGCTGGGAATTGCAGGTTGGTGCTCAAAGGTGTAAAAAAAAAGATAAAAGTTGTAGGTCCCACAACAAGTGGATAATAAAAGAATCCCGTCAAAACCCAATGTACAGATAAATCAATAAATAAAATGCTAATTATATACAGGGTTGTATTCAACTAACTTTTGCTCAGAGTAGTCACATTGAAATTAATGGACCCTGGTGAATTGGGAGGCAGAGACTAGTATGTTGGGAGGTGGAGCCTGGGGGTCAAAGAGGTAGACCTTGTAACACCCTTCAGCTGGGGGATGGGGCCTGGTTGTGCTACGCTTGGCTCCCAAAGGTGCATTTTTCTGCACCTGTTCTTGTAAACCACCTCATCTTGTGCTGTATTATTCTCATAAAATACCAATGTTATAAAGGTTTGTTTTCAACAAGCTTTTCTTCAGAGTAGCCCCACTGGAAATAATGAACCTCAGTCATGGCCATTGATTTCATTGGCTATACTCTTGAGTAGTAAAAGTCAGTGAAATATAACCCATCAATCACAACAACCGGCTAGGGAGGAGGGGACGGGATCAAGTTTCTCCCCAGGGGAGTGTTTCCTATTCTGATGTGGAGATCTACCGGGAGGGAGAAGGGTTACCAAGAAAACAGCACAAGGGGAAATGATCAGCCACCTCATCCTCCCAGCAGTCTGGTCCCGATCCTCTTGATAGAGATTTAAAGAGATGGAGGAGCTAATTGTTAAAACCCAGTTGCCCCCCAAAGCTGTAGTTACAGCCCTGACTCAGAGGTTTAAAAAGCATCACCTGCAGCTGAGCACTGATGGCGTTGGGCGGAAAGAGTAAGCTGACGGTCTTTGCCGGAGGAACATAAAGGCCGGTGCTTCTCCAGGCTTCGTCTCCTGCAAGGCCAAACCAAGACATGGAGGTGAATCATAGGTGGTCAAGGATGATGGGAATTGTAGGCTCAAAACATCTGGAGGGCCAAGGTTGAGGAAGCATGTTCTATAGAGCCTTCTCACAGTTTGTTTGTTTGTTAAAAAACCCTTTTACTTAATATTTTCATTTATCCGGGTTAAATAATCAGCATTGCTTTTTGAGTGAATGTGCTGCATGCACACATTTCAGCCAAATGTGGGCACACACCCATGTTTGCGAAATGTGGCTCCTTTGTGTCGCAGCCAGGAACAGCCAATGTCAAGAGGCCCCGCTGCACACCTGGCCTCCAAGCAGCAGGTTGGGGCTGTGCGGGCGCCCCAGTGTGGCCAATCCATTGCTCCTGCTGGTGTCAGAATGGTCTGAAGGCGAGCACTGGGGGATGCATTCTATGGCAGACCAGCTTCTCTCGGATGGAGATCTGGAGAGTCGCCCCCCTTGTCCACAGCATGTTCAAAAGCAAAGAGAGAGAGAAGCTGAATGACTTGGGAGGAGTTACCCAGTTCTGAGATAATGACGAGAACCAGAAGGAAGGGGGTAGCTAGTTGAGACATCTATTGAGCATGGGGGACCACCCTTCACCACAGACTCGGAGGTCTGAACGTATCAGAGAGCAAAGGAGTCAGAGGTAGGGAGGGATTTCCTGTTGGTGCCCAAAATGCTGTGGAAGTTGGATTAGACCAGCCAACTGACCTCCTTGTGCAGGGCTGCGTGATTGTGCTCACAACGTGATGCTGCAATAAAAGGACTATAAATCTTATCAACTGCTTGTTAATTCTTACATGTGAAGATATGGAAGGGGGGAAGGACTCTGTATGCCTGACAGCTGGTGAGCCCACACAGCCCCAGCCTCTCCCCAAGACCTTGTGTGGGATGTGAAACACGAGTAGTTAAGTACAACATTCCTAGAGTGAACATGTTTACACATGGGGAGGAATATTTGTCCAGCCAGCAGGTAAACTTCCTGTTTTCTTCTGGGGTGGGACAGACTTCCTCTGCATGTGACTAGAGGTGGGTGTGGCCTCACCTGTGCAGGTAACGACAAAAGCACAGGGCAGGACAGCCATCTCTTGGTTTGACTAAATGCATCGAAGAAGCAACATCTGCTTAGCCAAAGATGCTCTTGGCTTCCCATGAGAGGACAAAGGGACTGTCTCCTTATGAGATACAGTGGTACCTCAGGTTAAGTACTTAATTCATTCCGGAGGTCCGTTCTTAACCTGAAACTGTTCTTAACCTGAAGCACCACTTTAGCTAATGGGGCTCTTGCTGCCGCAGCACAATTTCTGTTCTCATCCTGAAGCAAGTTCTTAACCCGAGGTAATATTTCTGGGTTAGCGGAGTCTGTAACCTGACGCGTATGTAATAAAGTACCACTGTAGTTTCCAGATGTATGTTACTTTTCTAAGCTATGTCTGTCTTCTGGGACCCGATTGTGAACAGAATGTGAGTACAGGACGGTTATTATAGAGGGTTTAGCGAGCCTGAGCAAACACATCCGCTGCGAGTTTAAAAAGGAGAATGTTACTCTGCTAAATTGTGAACTTGTTTACACAAGTTGGAAAGGCTATAATCAGACAATATATCCTTCCCTTCATCCCTGAACATTCCCATACCTTGCCCCCTCTCCCCTCCCACCTGGCCAGTGGAAAAGCTACTGCTGGGAGATGAGGAGGAGCAAGGTCGCCCCCTCCTCACTGGCTGCTCCTGGGAATGGCAGGGCGGGGAGGCCAACGTGTGCAAGCCCCTCACTTTAAATGTGCCAGGGGCTCCTATGACACCCCTTATTAACACTTCGAGAACTGTTAATAAATGAGAGACGTTTTGGACTGCAACTTGGAACATGACCTGAACTGAGAGAAATGAGTTCTGAGCCAAGTTCGCAAAACGACCCATTTTCAGATAAGGAGGCAACCAGACAATCCGAAAGGAACAGATTCACCTGAGGGAGAAATACTGTGGTAACAAACTGGTTTAAAGCAACAAAATCTCTCACCCTCATTTATTCCATTGATCTGAATGACTTGAGGAGGTGCTGTGGGATAGTTTGGAAGGTTTTGAATCAGATGGGGCACTACGTCTTGGAAATGTGGTAAATTGTTGTAGAGTGGGAATGCCATTTGAATTAAAACGGCTTCATCTGAGTTGCTTTCAATTGGGTTGCTTGCCCTGACACCAGAAATCCTGCAGAGAAGTGCAATTTTTCTAGAAGAAGAGGTGCCGGAGCTCAGCATGATTCTCTGGGTTCTGGTGAGTTCCAACTGAAAAAAATTGAGCTTGATCAGCTGCAGCATATCCTCATGGACTGAGGAGAGAGGCGGAGAGTTGGTAGCTGGGATGCTCAGGAATGTGGCACAGTCTTTTCCTAGCTTCTTGAGCCATGAGGAATATGGAGGCTGCAGAGCTTGCTTGCTCCGAATATGCTCCTTGAATTGGAAGAGTGCTTCGCGGAAGTGATAGCTTGAAGCAACAGCGCTGGCCTGTCTCACTGGGTAGCTTTCACCCGGTAGGTTGATACCCTCCCCGGTGATCCCAATTCCAAATTTCTTCAGTATCTTGTTTCCTGGATATTGTGCAATGGCGCAGGCGGTGGGATTTTGATAAGTCCAGTACCAAGCTTGTCCACCGATTAGGAGACCACCTCCCTCAGAGACGAATTTGTGGATTCTTTCCTTCTCTCTGTCACTGTAGGCGTTGCAGCAGTACACGCTCAAGCCAGGCTTAAGATCGGTTAGCTCACAAGGGATCCCAGCCTGATTTAACATGGAGTAAAGTTCCTTCAATTGGTCTCCGACGCCAACTTTCCCTCCCTTTCCAGCAGTAACCCAGTTGATGGCGTTGAGGAGGAAAGTTTTCATGGATGGTCTGTTGAGCATTCCTTCGTGGGAGAAGACCACAACACGTCCCCTGCCGTAGTAGGCGGCTCCAACAAAGCACTGGAAAGAATCAGTTATGCCCACTGGAAATGCCAGATTCCCATGGATAAGCAGGTTAGAAGGGATCATGTCCTTAAAACAGAAGGTCGTCACACCATTCAGAAGATTCTTTAAGTCACCCTCAATGTCTAATCCATGCCTATTTAAAAAAAGAATAGATAATCCTTTAAGCGAGGTTATAACTTCCCGTGGGATCATCTGAATCATTATTGCTTAACTCTGCCCGTTCCTAATGTTTTGGATTCTATCAAGGCCTCTCAGTTTAGCCAATGATCTTGGGGGTCCCAACACTTGGAGGCTCATTGTATTGAAACCAAAGCCCTTGCTTTGGCAATTCCATGTGCGGCTAATAATAATAATTTTTATTTATTTATACCGTCCATCTGGCTCGGTTGTCCCTGCCAATCTGGGCGGCTTCCAGCACATATAAAAACATAATAAAACATCAAACATTGATAGCCACAATCTGATTCAATATAAAAAAGGCATTCTAATAGTAAACAGTAAAATTAAGCATGGCTGTGGGCTTTTGTTTTCCTACCCTTATTGTCTGCTAAGTTTTCTGAAGCTTTTTTTCCTGTAATGAAGCTGAAAGTTCTTAGTGAAAAGTTCTCTTTGCTAATGAACTTTTGGCTCTGCCTGATATATTGGAACCAGACGTGCCAGCTCCCAATAGGCTCCTGCAACTCTGCGGTCTAACAGGACAATGGAGTGCCTTGGAATTTAAGGCCAAATCGTGACAAACAAATGCAATGTTAAAATTAAATACTTCATACTAAGTTTAAATACTAAATGTCTTGGGGGTAGTATTCTGTTCCTGGATCATGACAGCCTGACCACAGTGGTCCATGCATTGGAAACATCAAGGCTTGATTACACTTTACACGGGGCTGCCCTTGTATCTGGTTCAGAAGCTGTAGCTAGTGCAGAATTTACTACTGGCAGCATGTCACCTGGCTATTGCGACAGCTGCCCTGGGTGGTGATTTGCTACCAGGCTGGGTTCAATGTTCTTGTAATTCACCAGAGCTCTAAACAGCTAGGGCCCAGTGTACCATCTGAGCCACTACACTCTGCCTTGATCGCTCAGGTCTTCCAGTGCTTCACTGCTGGCGATCCCACACACCTCTGAGGTCCAGTCGACCTTCATTGGGGTCTGAGCCTTTAAGGTGGCAGGCTCTGCGCTGTGGAACTCCCTGCCAGTAGACGTTTAGGAGGCATCCCTGCCTTCTTTCAGACATCTTCAGAAAACTGTCTTGTTTAGACAGGCTTTCACAATACGAATTCCACTTTTTAACCAAGCACTATCAACTGTCGGAGCCAGCCATTACAAATGGCGCAGTTTAGCATAAAATAAAGACACAGAGAGCCAGCAATATTTTCAGGATGGTATGAGCAGCTCCTTTCGAACTTCTCTCTCCTCCCGTAGCTTTTTTATTATCCTTTGTTCTCCTCCAGCCGCATGGCCGTTTGCCAAAGTCTCACGTTACCTCATCCGGTCAAGGCTTTAACCCACCCACAAAACATATAAGGTCATCACTGCCCAGAGGAAATACAACTCCATTTAAGGTCAATACATTCCAATACATTGTAAAGCTCAGAGTGCTGGTCAGCCGAGGTCAGGGGGCACCCTGCAATATTACAAGCCTTTGCCGTGGCTTTATGACTCCCACAATCAACTGATGTCTTACCGATATTTTTAATTATGTTTTATGGATATTTATAGATGCTATTTTCTTATAGTTGTCTGCTTCACACCGCCTTGATTACATCCTAATGAAAGTAAACTGACGGGAAAAATCAGAAACCTGGAAGATCAAGTATTCCTAAAAGACTGCAGTAAATTTTTAATATATTTAAAAGACCTCTAAAAGGTAAAGGGATCCCTGACCGTTGGGTCCAGTCGTGGCCGACTCTGGGGTTGCGACGCTCATCTTGCTTTATTGGCCAAGAGAGCCGGCGTACAGCTTCTGGGTCATGTGGCCAGCATGACTAAGCCGCTTCTGGCGAGCCAGAGCAGTGCACGGAAACACCATTTACCTTCCCGCCGGTAACCTTCCTTACCTACTTGCACTTTGACGTGCTTTCGAACTGCTAGGTTGGCAGGAGCAGGAACCGAGCAACGGGAGCTCATCCCATCGCAGGGATTCGAACCGCCGCCCTTCTGATTGGCAAGTCATAGGCTCTGTTGTTTAACCCACAGTGCCACCTGCATCCCTAAAGACCTCTGTACACAGTTAAAATCATTTGCAGGGATATAATGACATTTGTAATGTGGAATTAACTATGGTAACTATAGATATATAATGGATGGATATGGGTAAAAGATGCAGAATACATTATTTTAAATATGGAACCGATGTAGGGAGGGAAAGAAGTCTGAAGGTTTGAATAAACCTTTTATTTTAATAATAATAAAAAAATTCCTTCCAGTAGCACCTTAGAGACCAACTAAGTTTGTTTTGGTATGAGCTTTCGTGCTACTGGAAGCAATTTTTTATTATTATTTCGTTTTTTGACTATGGCAGACCAACACGGCTGCCTACTTTGATTTTAATGTTTGAAATGGTTAAAGTTAAAATGTGTAAAATTATATAAAACCAAGGGGGAAAAGTATGCATTAGACATATGTAAATAAAACAGACAATAAATAGTGTACTTACTGGGTGATCAAGGGAACCTTTGGCATTTTCTCTTGCACTGGGAAGATCCCATTCTCTTCCACGTTGGCAGTGAAGTACACCCCGGAAACGCTGGTCACCCGATTGCCAGGAAATTCAGCCAGCGCTTTCTCCTTTCCATGTTGATAGGACCAGTACCAGGCCTGTCCGCCAATGAGCAGACCCCCGCCTCTCTTTACAAACTGTACAAGGCCATCGGCTTGCGTGGCATCGTAAGCGTCAACGCAGTAGACCCCAAGAGAGTCCCCAGGCCTTGCATCAGGGTTCACCTTGACACCGTTACTGAGGAGCAACTCGGAGAGGGCACCCAAACTTCTGTGGACACCGATCTGCGCCGTCGAGGATGGCTTAAGCCACTCTAGGCTATTTCTAATGAATGGCAGGAACTGGGGCATTTTCAGCATGAATTCGTGTGCCGTCACCACCATCCGGCCTGCCCCATACCAGGATGCGGCTATTAGTACTTGCCCGTTGGTACTTACAAGGACAGGGAAAGCTTGGTCTCCTGTGAGAAGTAGCTCACAAGGATTGAACTCCCCAGGGACAGCCAAAGACTCAATACCTTTCACCAAAGATTCATAAGATTTTCTGGACTCGCTCTGGACTGTTTGGAATGCTGGTCTACAGGTGTATCTGAGAGGACAAAAGAGCATGAGCTTTGCACCTGCAATATCTGTTAAGTTGGGGGTGAACATATCAGATGAGACAGCGATTCTTCAAACAGCTCTTGTTTATTCACAGGCCAGAACTGAACTGAAGGGTTCAGCCAGCCTGCTTATATAGAGCTCCACTACAACGCAACAGTAACCATTTTCTGCAACTATCCAATCACTGAACGTCACTTTCAATCCCTTATTTACATATGTGGACCTGAGTGAAAACTATCTACAGTATCCCCCTGCTGGCCCAGGGTGAGAATTTCAGTACATAACAATATCCATCTGTAATTCCCCATGAAACCTTCCTAAAAATGTACAATCTTACCAGACTTCAGTCTCTTTGGCTCTTCCCTGTACAGTTGTACCTTGGAAGTAAAATGGAATCCGTTCCGGAAGTCCGTTCAACTGTCAAAGTGTTTGAAAACCTAACTGCAGCTTCTGAATGGCTGCCGGAAGCTCCTGCAGCCAATCAGAAGCCATGGAAGCCCCATCAGACGTTCAGGTTCCAAAAGAACATTCACATACCAGAACAATCACTTCCATGTTTGCAGAGTTCAGGAGCCAAAACGTCTTGAGTTCCAGGGTGTTCGGGATCCAAGGTGCGACTGTATATACTTTTAAAGCTCTGCTATATTAATACTCAGGCAGCAGTTAGCTTGAGAAAAAAATCAGTGGGGTAAAATGTAGCTTGCCCAGCCTTTGGTCTTTGGACTATCCTTCCTGTCTCCCTGCTGCCGCCATAACAACTAATGGAGCTATTCCGTCCTATTTGGTGTGTCCTTAATAGATTCGTAAGCCCACTGAGTGACCCGATTGATTTGGACAAAAGCAGCATTCAGAATTAGCCAGGAGGCTGAGGATTGTCAGAATGCAAAGGCTTCAAGAAGTCTTGTCGCCATGTATGGTGACTCAGACTTAAGAATAAAATTGGTGCTGAGAAATGCCTCCCTGCCCGACTCGATAGTAAGAAAGTGCCTCTTTTCTCACCGCAGCACGAATCACCCTTGGAAGGACAAAATGGCGGCTAGACATTCCAGGAGCCATGTGACAAATAGCTTTTCTACCCTATTTTTTAAACACTGGACAAAACGCCTACTTTTTTGAAGGGCAGTCACTGCAGAGGGAGCTCAGGTTGAAATAACTTGGGTGATTTCTTAATTTATCCCAAGAGAGCATCGGGATGCTCATCCTTCACTATTTCCCACGAAAACTTTGGAGTGAAACCTGTGTCTCTTAATAAGAGGAGCAAAAGCCTCAAAAACACCCTACTTACAGAGCTGGGATTTCTACTGGTGCTTAGAAGCCAATTTTATTTGGGGCATCGTCCTGAGGATCAGTGCTGTTTCTTTACGCAAAGAGGGGCCGGAACTCGCCATGAATGCCTCCGTTGTTCTCTTAAAATGGCAATGGAGCCCACCTGAGAGGTGCTGGAACTGAGTTCCGGCTGAAAAAAAAAGCCCTGTTGAGGGCTATAACCTGTTTATGTGGTAGGTAGGTCACCCCCCCCCCCATTTATACTTAGGCTAGATTTATGCTGTAAAAGAATATCTATGCTCTCTATATGCTCTCACACACAAAATGGGTTTGTATGTTGTCATTATTTTGGCATTGCTTAAGGGCCCATAATACATCTGACAGCTAGGATAAGTTTTCGCTTTTCTGATTATTTGGGGCAGGCAGATTCATTATGGTTTTCTTCCTCTCCGTATACACAAACGGGGGGGGGGGGAGGATTTCCCCATAATGAATCTTGCTGGGTCTATCTGTTGGTCATCCCAAATTGGGACATGCTATCAGGAACGGAATACTTCAAACAAATTTTCACTCAAACCTCGTTTGTCGAACGTAATCGGTTCTGGAAGACTGTTCGACTTCCGAAACGTTCGACAACTGAAAGCAGAAGCCTCAATACAATAGGGAAACTCAAAACAGAAGCCGTGTAGCATGTTTGGCTTTTGGAAATCGTTCGAAAACCGGAGCAGTTACTTCCGAGTTTTTTGCGTTCGGGAGCCGAAATGTTCGAAAACGGAGCCGTTCAAGAACCAAAGTTTGGCTGTAGCATTGTTTCTTCTCCCAAGAAGAATAAATGGAGATAAAGAGGTATACTTACTCAGGGCTTGGGGGAACCTCTGGTATATCCTGTTGCACAGGGAAGACCCCATTGTCTCCCACATCAGCGGTAAAGTACACTCCAGCCAAGCCAGTCACCCGATTGCCAGGAAATTCAGCCAGCACCTTCTCTCTTCCATGTTGATAGGACCAATGCCAGGCTTGCCCTCCAATGAGTAGACCCCCGCCTCTCTCTACAAACTGAGCAAGGCTTCCAGCTTGTGTGTCGTCATAGGCATTGATACAGTAGACCCCAAAGGAGTCTCCAAGCTTGGCGTTCGGATACACCTGAACAGAATTCTTGAGGAGCAGATCAGAGAGAGTGGCCACGTTCTGATGGACGCCCACTTCTGCTGTTGGGGACGGCTTGAGCCACTCCAGGCTATTTCTAATGAAGGGCAGGAACTGGGGCATTTGCAACATGGCTTCATGCGCCGTCACCACCATCCGGCCTGCCCCGTACCAGGATGCGGCTATTAGTACGTTGCCCTTCGTACTCACCAACACAGGGAAAGCTTGGTTTCCAGTGAGAAGGAGTTTGCAAGGGTTGAAGCCCCCGGTGACATCAAAATACTGAATACCTTTCACCAGTGACGAATAAGAATTTCTGGAGTGCATCTGGGACATTGAGACTGCTGGACCGCTTACAGAACTGGAAGACCAAGAAATAACACACACACACACCCAAAGAAAACACGTTAAAAATTTCCTGTCCACCTGCAAGGTCCATACTTATTTCCCATGTGAAACCTACGTAAAGTACACAAGCTAGCCATCTCGTGTGTGTGATCATTCTCCTAAATTTGTTGTTGTCGTCACACATTTATACAAGAAGCAACAGTGTGTAGTCGTACCTTGGATCCCGAACGCCTTGCAAGTTGAATGTTTGGGCTCCCGAACGCCGCAAACCCGGAAGAGATTGTTCTGGTTTGCGAACTATTTTTGGAAGCCGAACGTCCGATGGGGCTTCTGCAACTTCCAGTTGACTTTGGTTTCTGAATGTTTTGGAAGTCAGATGGACTTCCAGAATAGATTCGGTTCAACTTCCAAGGTAAAAGTGTATATTGAACCACCCTACCCCCCACTCCATAAAAACACATTTCCATACTAGGTTTTTTAAACCAAAAAATCAGGTTTAAAATTGGGGCTTGTCTTATACACGGATAGTGTGGAAGGGGTGTTTTCTTATTTTGGAGTTCCTCAAAATGGGCATCATACATGGAGACGTTTTATACATGGAAAAATATGGTACATCTAACATTCCAGTCAAAAGTATCATTCCACAAGCTGCCATGCATCGTTGGAGGCCTGTCCCCATATTAAAGGTAAAGGACCCCTGACAGTTAAGTCCAGTCGTGGATGATTCTGGGGTTGCAGCGCTCATCTCGCTTTACTGGCCAAGGGAGCCGGCATTTGTCTGCAGACAGTTTTTCTGGGTCATGTGACCAGCATGACTAAGCCGCTTCTGGCAAACCAGAGCAGCGCACGGAAACGCCGTTTACCTTCCCGCCGGAGCGGTACCTATTTATCTACTTGTACTTTGACGTGCTTTCGAACTGATAGGTTGGCAGGAGCTGGGACCGAACAACAGGAGCTCACCCCGTTGCGGGGATTCAAACCGCTGACCTTCCGATCAGCAAGCCCAAGGCTCAGTGGTTTACACCACAGTGCCACCTGTGTCCCTGTCCCCATATTGCATTGATGTAATAAAGTGATGTCAGGTTGATTGTAAATTAGCGCTTTTCCTGTCTGCTCAACTCTCCTGGGTATAAGTTTCTCAGGGTTAATTCCCAGAGTTGTGAGATCCAGATGTCAAACAGGTTTGCATTTAGACCCTAGCAGTGCCGGATCTACGTATTAGGATAAACAAGCTATAGCTTAGAGCCCCACTCTCTTGGGGGGGCCCCCAAAAATTAAAAGAAAAACAACAACTGGATGTACATTTCCAAAATTCAAGATAAAAAACAAATAAAATAAAACCTACATACAGCAACAGTGTTTTGTGTTGTGTAGGCTCCTAAGATGTAAGTCAGACATTCCCAAACTCAGCCCTCCAGATGTTTTGGGACTACAATTCCCATCATCCCTGACCACTGGTCCTGTTAGCTAGGGATGATGGGAGTTGTAGTCCCAAGTTTGGGGGTGCCTGGTGTAAGTAATGGGCCCCGACTGCTAGCCTACTTCTTAATTGTATTTCAGCTCAACAATTACTTTGATAAAAGTAATGTTATGTGCAAATGGCTTTAGATACCTATGAGGCCCATAAATGACAATATAGCATATATTCAACACAAAAAAACAGTGACAATTTGTTGTTGACCAAGGACAGCTGGGCATATAAAGGACCCCATTACCTTCAGTAGCTTAGGGCCTCATCAAACCTAAATCCGGCTCTGCGCCCTAGCACACCTCTTAGGCTTCTTCCTTAACTTCCACACCCTCAGTCGGGTTTGGGCCATGCCTTTGGACCCCTGCGTAAGGTGTTAGGGCCGTCTTAAGTATATCCGGCGCCGTGGTGCAAAGATCCCTCCGGCGCCCCCCCCCCCAGAGCAGCGCACGGAAACTCTGTTTACCTTCCCGCTGTAGCGGTACCTATTGATCTATTTGCACTTTGACGTGATTTCGAACTGCTAGGTGGGCAGGAGCAGGGACTGAGCAACAGGAGCTCACCCCGTCGTGGGGATTCGAACTGCCAACCTTCTGATCAGCAAATCCTAGGCTCTGTAGTTTAACCCACAGCACTACGCGTGTCCCTTAATCTAGATCTACAAGGCTGTTTAAGGAGGAGTGGATTAATGGCTTACCGCTTCCAGAAGATTCCTCAAAATTTGCAACTGAAAAGCAGTGGCAACAGAGCTTTGCCTCTTCGACTTTCGCGGAGAGCTGTGGCTGGTGCTGAGTCACTCCTTTGGATGGACAGCTTGCTCAGAACTGCTTTGAATTCTTGTAAGGCTTTTGCAGGAATCTGAAATGCAGAGTGCGAGGAGCTAGTAGGGTCTGTTCGCCTATATGACCGTGAAAAGTGAAAGTGAAAGATTAAACTGGTCTAAATTTGTACTTTGCATGTCAACGACCTGGAATAAAAAGCATGACACACACAAAAAGTTACATTGATTACTTTCTCTTTTAATTAAAGATACTCCTTTTTCTTCCTTGTAGTTGAAACTACAGTTTTCACCTTCAGAATGTAAGAAATAGCTTAAAGCCGCCTTCTAATGAGCAAGTGTTGCCTTATTTTCACAGGCAGTGGAAAGTTTTCTTGCTGAGCTTGTCCTTTGTAGCTGAAGAAAGGCAATCTTGAGTCAGTTTGTTCAGAGGCAAGTCTCACTGATTGCAGTGGAAACTTACTCCCTTGCAAATGTGTTTACTGTTGCAGCCTCAAATTGCCCTTGTTTTTTGCCGTGGTTACTGGTTGCTCTTTGCTGTGTGGCAAGAGCCACACAGGAAGTTGTCCTTTTGATGCCTTCTTCTTCAGAACTGTCAGATGAGCAGAACCGGCGTGTCACTTTACAGTGCAATTCTTTCTGCAATTCGGCTGTCTCAGTTTGGCCTGTGCCTTAAGGCAGAATTAAATGTCGTGTTCCAGAGTCGTGTTTTCTCTCCAGCGTGTCCGAGAAGTAGTTCCGGGAACTTCTGGGCAAGTGGCCAAAATAATCTCTGATACAATAGAATAGAATTTATTATTTATATCCACGCCCATCTGGCTGGGTTTCCGCAGCCACTCTGGGCTGCTTCCAACAAAGTATTAAAATACAGTGGTCTGTTAAACATTAGAAGCTTCCCTAAAGAGGGCTGCCTTCAGATGTCTTCTAAAAGTCTGGTAGTTGTTCTTCTCTTTGACATCTGGTGGGAGGGCGTTCCACAGGGCGGGTGCCACGACTGAGAAGGCCCTCTGCCTGGTTCCCTGTAACTTGGCTTCTCGCAGTGAGGGAACCGCCAGAAGGCCCTCAGCGCTGGACCTCAGTGTCCAGGTAGAACAATGAGGGTGGAGACACTCCTTCAGGTATACTGGGCCATTTAGGGCTTTAAAGGTCAGCACCAACACTTTGAATTGTGCTTGGAAACGTACTAGGAGCCAATGTAGTTCTTTCAAGATCGGTGTTATGTGGTCTCAGCGGCTGCTCCCAGTCACCAGTCTAGCTGCCGCATTCTGGATTAGTTGTAGTTTAATTTTATTTATTTAAGCAGATTTCTACCGCAGCCACGGTACTCAGGATGGCAGACTGCAAAAACCCGTTCGTAAAACTAAGAAAACAATGGGAATAGGAAATGGGAACATGAAGCCAGAGGTCTTGTGTTGCAAACTCATCTGCTTGGCAAGTCATATGTCAGCTGGAGTAAAAATAACTGCATTGGGCAGCAAGAAGTCAAGAGAAGGGCTACGAATTCCTTATTTGGATGTGGTCATAGAGAGATGATAATACAGTGGTACCTCAGGTTAAGTACTTAATTCGTTCCGGAGGTCCGTACTTAACCTGAAACTGTTCTTAACCTGAGGCTCCACTTTAGCTAATGGGGCCTCCTGCCGCCGCCGCGCCACTGGAGCACAATTTCTATTCTCATCCTGAAGCAAAGTTCTTAACCTGAAGCACTATTTCTGGGTTAGTGGAGTCTGTAACCTGAAGCGTATGTAACCTGAAGCGTATGTAACCTGAAGTACCACTGTAATAATAATAATAATAATAATAAATTTATATGCCACCCATTGGACTGGGTTGCCCTAGCCGCTCTGGGCGGTTTCTAACAAATTGAAAACATTAAGTACAGTGAAACATCAAACATTAAAAACTTCCCTGTACAGAGCTGCCTTTAGATGTCTTCTAAAATTCAGATAGTTATCTCCTTGACACCTGACAGTAGGGCATCTCACAGGGCAGGCGCCACTACCGAGAAGGCCCTCTGCCTGGTTCCCTGTAGCTTCACATCTCGCAGGGAGGGAACCGTCAGAAGACCCTCAGAGCTGGACCTCAGTGTCTGGGTGGAGATGCTCCTTCAGGTCTACTGGGCGGAGGCCGTTTAGGGCTTTAAAGGTCAGAACAAGCACTTTTATTATTTAATTTTATTTATCTTTTTCATTTGCATTTTCAAAAACAGGAACAGAGAGCATACTTAACCCCCCTCCCCCATCCCACTTACAACTTCATACCAAATACAGCATGTGTATATATTGTTAGAGGGGGGTTTTTCACTGGTGGCAGATGAACAGAAACTGTGACTCCATGAGACCGGTGTCAAACCATAAGGACTTTATTTCAAAATAACAAACAGCAACGCTTTTGGGTGTTTTCCCTGCAGGCAGAGTTCAAACTGCATCTTTTCTCCTTTTGTAGCCATGGGCAGCTGCACCTAATCAGCCCAGAGCTTACAGAAACTGCTCTTAAAGGGACAAACATGTTTCTGTACGGAATGATTCCCAGTACCCCCTCTCATTCAAACAGAAACAGAAACAGTACTTTTTTGTTATTTAATCGTTTAGTCGTGTCCGACTCTTTGTGACCCCATGGACCAGAGCACGCCAGGCACGTCTTCCACTGCCTCCCGCAGTTTGGTCAGACTCATGCTGGTAGCTTCGAGAACACTATCCAACCATCTCATCCTCTGTCGTCCCCTTCTCCTTGTGCCCTCCATCATTCCCAGCATCAGGGTCTTTTCCAGGGAGTCTTCTCTTCTCATGAGGTGGCCAGAGTATTGGAGCCTCAGCTTCAGGATCTATCCTTCCAGTGAGCACTCAGGGCTGATATCCTTCAGAATGGATAGGTTTGATCTTCTTGCAGTCAATGGGACTCTCAAGAGTCTCCTCCAGCACCAGAATTCAAAAGCATCCATTCTTCGGCGATCAGCTTTCTTTATGGTCCAGCTCTCACTTCCATACATCACTACTGGGAAAACCATGGCTTTAACTATATGGACCTTTGTTGGCAAGGTGATGTCTCTGCTTTTTAAGATGCTGTCTAGGTTTGCCATCACCTTTCTCCCAAGGAGCAGGCGTCTTTTAATTTCGTGACTGCTGTCACCATCTGCAGTGATCATGGAGCCCAAGAAAGTAAAATGTCTCACTGCCTCCCATTTCTTCCCCTTCTATTTGCCAGGAGGTGATGGGCCCAGTGGCCATGATACTCGTTTTTTTGATGTTGAGCTTCAGACCATATTTTGCGCTCTCCTCTTTCACCCTCATTAAAAGGTTCTTTAATTCCTCCTCACTTTCTGCCATCAAGGTTGTGTCATCTGCATATCTGAGGTTGTTGATATTTCTTCCGGCAATCTTAATTCCGGCTTGGGATTCATCCAGCCCAGCCTTTCACATGATGAATTCCGCATATAAGTTAAATAAGCAGGAGACAATATACAGCCTTGCCGTACTCCTTTCCCAATTTTGAACCAATCAGTTGTTCCATATCCAGTTCTAACTGTAGCTTCTTGTCCCACATAGAGATTTCTCAGGAGACAGATGAGGTGATCAGGCACTCCCATTTCTTTAAGAACTTGCCATAGTTTGCTGTGGTCGACACAGTCAAAGGCTTTTGCGTAGTCAATGAAGCAGAAATAGATGTCTTTCTGGAACTCTCTAGCTTTCTCCATAATCCAGCACATGTTTGCAATTTGGTCTCTGGTTCCTCTGCCCCTTCGAAATCCAGCTTGCACTTCTGGGAGTTCTCGGTCCACATACTGCTTAAGCCTGCCTTGTAGAATTTTAAGCATAACCTTGCTAGCGTGTGAAATGAGTGCAATTGTGCGGTAGATGGAGCATTCTTTGGCACTGCCCTTCTTTGGGATTGGGATGTAGACTGATCTCCAATCCTCTGGCCACTGCTGAGTTTTTCAAACATCCTGGCATATTGAGTGTAGCACCTTAACAGCATCATCTTTTAAAATTTTAAATAGTTCAGCTGGAATACCATCGCTTCCACCGGCCTTGTTATTAGAAGTGCTTTCTAAGGTCCATTTGACTTCACTCTCCAGGATGTCTGGCTCAAGGTCAGCAACCACACTACTTAGGGTGTACGAGACATCCATTTCTTTCTGGTATAGTTCCTCTGTGTATTCTTGCCACCTCTTCTTGATGTCTTCTGCTTCTGTTAGGTCCTTTCCACTTTTGTCTTTTATTATGGTAATCTTTGTACGAAATGTTCCTTTCATATCTCCAATTTTCTTGAACAGATCTCTGGTTTTTCCCATTCTATTGTTTTCCTCTATTTCTTTGCATTTCTCATTTAAGAAGGCCTTCTTGTCTCTCCTTGCTATTTTTTGGAAATCTGCATTCAATTTCCTGTATCTTTCACTATCTCCCTCGCATTTTGCTTGCCTTCTCTCCCCCACTATTTGTAAGGCCTCTTTGGGCAGCCACTTTGCTTTCTTGCATTTCCTTTTCATTGGGATGGTTTTAGTTGCTGCCTCCTGTATAATGTTGCAAGCCTCCATCCATAGTTCTTCAGGCACTCTTCGTTTTGAACTCCAAGGCCAAACTTGCCAGTTGTTCCTTTTATCTCTTGACTCCCCACTTTAGCATTCCAATCCCCTATGATGAGAAGAACATCCTTCTTTGGTGTCATTTCTATAAGGTGTTGTAAGTCTTAATAGAATTGGTCAGTTTCAGTTTCTTCAGCACCAGTGGTTGGTGCATAAACTTGGATTACTGTGATGTTCAAATTCATCCGAACTGAATTCGCCCAATCCCGTCCAATTTAGTTCACTGATGCCCAGGATGTCAATATTTATTCTTGCCATCTCATTTTTGACCACATCCAACTTTCCCAGGTTCATGGTTCTTACATTCCTTTTTTTTTTAAAAATAATTTTTATTAAAGTTTTAAACAAAGAAAAAAGAAAAAACAACACACACAAAAAACAATACAACATTTAACAATAGTTAAATTAGCGTCCTTTCGGCTTTGGCTCAGCCGCTTCATCAGCTCTGAATCTACTTGTACTTGTCCTCCGCTCTTCCTCAGTAGCATGTTGGACACCTTCCGACCTGAGGGGCTCATCTTCCAGCGTCATAACTTTTATATGCCTGTTGTCTTTGTCCATGGAGTTTTCTTGGCAGGGATACTGGAGTGGCTTGCTGGTTCCTGCTCCAGGTGGATCACGTTTGGTCAAAACTCTCCACTATGACCTGTCCATCCTGGGTGGCCCTGCACGGCATAGCTCATAGCTTCTCTGAGTTATTCAAGCCCCTTCGCCACAGCAAGGCAGTGATCCATGAAGGGGAAAAAGTACTGTATATGTTTAAACAGTACTTGAAATATATACAAAACATATTTATACATCATGCACAACAATTCCTAATTTTGTCACCAGTTGTGCATGTTTCTCAAAAGTTAGTGCTTTTGTAAATATATCAGCCACATTTTGCATACTCTCACAGTATTTTAGCATTATCAGGTTTTGGTTCACATTTTCAGTTACATTTTGATATTTAATTTCTAAATGTTTGGATTTCTTTTTAAACTGCTCAGATCCAGCCAAAGTTATCACAGCTTGATTGTCTTCCCATATTTGAACTGGATAATCACATTGCATATCTAAATCCTAAATCCTTGAGGATTTGAACGTAAAATTTTACTTCATTACATAACTCTGATAAAGCACAGTATTCAGCCTCTGTTGAAGATGTGGCCACGATTCCTTGCTTTTTGGACTTCCAACCTATCAAAGAATCCCCAAATTGAAACACCATACCAGAAATGGATTTTCTATCAGGCAGGTTGGCCCAATCGCTGTCAACATAACACTGCAATTTTGTAGACCCTGAAGATGGTAATCTTAAACAATAATCCAGTGTATGTTTTAAATACCGGAAAATACGTTTTAAACCCTTCCAGGCATTTTCTGTGGGACAGTTTACTAGTCTGCTCAGTATTCCAACTGCATAACTCAAATCTGGTCCGCTCCACAATGAAATGTATAATAACTTTGTAGAGAAACTGCCTTTCTATATAGTTGACCCAATTTTTAATGAGTTGACCAGTTTCACTTTTGTGTTTTAACAAGTATACCCAAGTATACCGGCTATAATCATCCACAAGAACCAGAAAAAAACTTTGCTTCTCCTTCAGACTCTGCAAATGGTCCACAAAGGTCTAAGTGTACTAAAGCAAGTGGCTTCTTGCTTATTCTATTACTTTCAGGATAAGACCCCCGCTTACTTTTAGACTCCTTGCAGGTATTGCAGTCCAGAAAAACTGAACATTTTTTCATTTTAATTCCCTTACTTAATTCTGGCATTTTTGCAATACTGCGGAAATTGGCATGCCCCAAACGACGATGCCACAGATGCTGGCACTCATCATGCAAGGCTCTATTACAGGCTTTAACACATGCCCCAGACTCACTTATTAGCTGGTCTTTTAAAACAAATAAACCATTTTTTAGTGACGCTGTAACCACTTTTCCAGCTTTCTCTATTTTACAGCCTGAATTAGAGAAGTTTCCCTTGAACCCCTGTTTAACAAGACTTGTGACTGAAAGCAAAATATTTTCTAAACTTGGTACACATAAAACATTGGTAAATTTGGTGCTTAAACAGTTAATATTCACACTACCCTTTCCAGCTGACTCATGCACTGTTCCATCAGCTAGTACTACATTTACAGATTTACAAGGTTGCTTTTCTACAAGGACTTGTGCAGACTTAACAAAAATGTTTGTCGCTGCTGAGTCTAAAATCCAGTCCTGTCCAATATCGTGACTGGTGCCTCGAACTGCTGCAGAAACTTAGTGGACTCGACTCTTCCTGCCTCCTCGCTTCCCAGCAAACGCAGGCCGCCCTTTTCTTGTGTTTTCTCCCACAGACACAGTGCACTGTCGTACTAAATGCTTTGTTGACCCACAATGATAGTATCTTCTGACTGTGAAAGCTGCTTCCTCTGTGTGGTCAACAACCTCTTTAGGTTGCTGCTCCTCATCAGTTGCATATCTTTTACTGGACCACCTCCCATTTCCGGAATTACGGTGAGGGGTTGTCGCCTTCCTCTCATGGCGTCTTTCCTCCTTATGAAGCAAACGCCCAGTTAAGAAATGCATCGTTAATTGGCTTTCTGGAATTGCCTCCAGAGTCATCACTAAGTTATCCCATGACTTAGAAAGTGAAAACAGCACAATATAAAGCTTTCTTTGCTCAGAAAATTGTTCCCCAAAGTTCATTTAACTGCAAAAATAAATCACACATTCTTTGAAGGTGTTTTGAAACACATTCACCCTCACTTAGTCTGGCTCGGTACAGAGTTCTCATTAATTTTGCTGCCAGCAGTGTCTCTGATGTGTATCGCTCTCAGTGCTTTCCAAATTTCACTTGCTGTTTCAAGGTCTCGCACATGAGATAACTGAGACTTCTCTAAACTCAAAATTAAATTGGCATATGCTTTGTCCTCCAGCCTTTGGTCTGCTTCATCTACTTCTTCATCCTCATCTTTTACAGGAGGGTTAACAATAACAGTCCAACATTGTTCTTTCTTTAAAAATGCCTGCATCTGTAAACTCCATGACATATAATTGGACTCTCCCAGTTTCTCTACTGGAAAATATGAAGTTCCCCCTTGAGCTCCAGCTCCAAGTCCAGCCATGGCTCCACCCAGCTTTCAGCTTTCCACTCAGTCTTTACTCACACGTGGCTTGAAGCATTGTTCGGCTCCTGGTCTCAAACAGACACTCCCTGCTGACGTCTTCACACAGCCAGCTGCTTGAGAAACGCTGAGTTGCTTCCAGTCTCTGGGTTCTTTTCCACACTCTGTCTCTGCCCACTCAGGACTGGGCCCATAACCTGTTAGGGGGGTTTTTTCCTCTGGTGGCAGATGAACAGAACCTGACTCCCTGAGACTGGTGTAAAACCAAGTTAAATCAGGACTGTAGTTCAAAACAACAAACAGCAACACTTGTTGTTTTTCTGCTGCTCTGCATAATCCCCCTCTCTTTAATCATTTTTAATCATTCAATTTGTTACCTATTTCAACTCAGCTGGATTTACTCGAGACCTGCGAAGCTATGTATTTGTTTATACTGGTTCTTAAAATATTCAGGAAACATCAATTCCTCCTTGTATTCCCTATCTTGATTTTCTCTTACGCTGTTCGTCAGACCATCCAGTTCACCATATTCGAACATTTTGCACTGCCATTCCTCCTTGGTGGGTATTAGACTTGTTCTCCACCTTTGTGCCAGTAAGGTTGTAGCTGTGGCATTGGCGTATAGTTTTTTGTTTTTGGGGGACCTCCATTGTTGTCATCCCCAAGAGGAAAATCTTGTCAGTGTTCCTAAAAAAAAAGGTTCTGACCTCCCTTTGTCGCCTCAGCCTGGTCCTCGGACCCTTGTCGGCATAAAAGAGTCCACGAGAAGAGTATCCTTGCAGAGTACTTTCTGCTTTTATTCTTAAAGACTCTGCAAAAGTGAGCAACAAGACGCACCTAGTTTTTGGAGGAGGAAAACAAGAAAAAAATATTCTGAATCGCAGAAGCCAGAAAGCAAGAGGGATCGCCGCGCAGTGAAAGCAGCAATCCCTCTTGCTGTTCTGGCTTCTGGGATAGCTGCACAGCCTGCATTCGCACCATAAGACACACACACATTTCCCCTTTTTAGGAGGGAAAAAGTGAGTCTTATAGAGCAAAAAATACGGTAAAGATTTTAAAATACAACGTGTACATAAACCATGGCGATACAATCTATTTTAAAGTCTTTGGGGTGCACGTATGTGATTTCTCCACAATGAATTTATTCCGCTTCTGTGGGATGCATGCTGGTGGGATGCATGCTGGCTATCCAATCATGTCTGATGTGACTGTGTCAGTGACTGGACACCAGTCAGTGAAGATCACCAATATGCAAATGTACACTGAGGGGGCCTGGGATGCTCTCCGGGAGCTGGGTCACAACCAGCAGAGGAGTGGGTGGGATTTCCCACCCCATACCACAGATGCCACCTGCTATCTCTGGTCCATCTATGTCAATGAAACTGTGCTGGAAATCCCAAGAGAGAAAGCCCACCCAGATCTTGACCCCAATGTGAGGAAGAAGAGGGTGAAGGACTATATTCAAGGTGGAGCTCAGCTGAAGGACTTCACAGCCTGGACTGCGCTGGAACCCTACCTTACAGGTAAATAAGCGGCTGCCCTGGGACTCGGGTGGCGCTGTGGGTTAAACCACAGAGCCTAGGACTTGCCGATCAGAAGGTCAACGGTTCAAATCCCCGCGAGGGGGTGAGCTCCCGTTGCTCGGTCCCTGCTCCTGCCAACCTAGCAGTTCGAAAGCACGTCAAAGTGCAAGTAGAGAAATAGGTACCGCTCCAGCGGGAAGGAGCAGTAGTGTTACTTGTAGTGGTAAAAACTGGGGGGGGGGGTTTGGGGAGGGGAGAGTCTTAAAGTGTTGACCTGTGCATAGAAACAAAGTCAGGATGAGTCCTGAGTGGTCACAAAATGCTGTGGGTTTGGTTTTTTTGTAGGGAAGGGAGGAATACCGGAAAGAGTGGGAATGCAGTTGGGTGTTTGGGATCCCAAAGAACTGCACATCATACCATAGGTGCAGCCAAGGGGAGGGGACAGGGAGGGGCAGCTGCCCCCCTAACAAAGGACCTGACCCCCCCCCCCCCCAGAAATCCTGGCTACTCTTAGGCTTCATCCTGAGCCCTTTTTTTGCTGGTTTCATTTGTTCTCAACAGTAGGAGTGGGGAGAAGCCATGGGAACTATCTTAATAATAATAATAATAATAATAATATTTTATTTATATCCCGCCCTCCCCAGCCAAAGCCGGGCTCAGAGCGGCTAACAACAATAAAAGTAACACAGTTTACATAAAATCACAATCAAATAATTGAAATACATTCTAAAATCAATTCAGAATCAAATTAATGGCAACCATTGGGCTAGAGTTCTGTGAGGATTACCGAAGGACGGGGTCAGACTGTGCCTTGGCTAAAGGCCTGGTGGAACAGCTCTGTCTTGCAGGCCCTGTGGAAAGATGTCAAGCCTGCAGGGCCCTAGTCTCTTGTGACAGAGCGTTCCACCAGTTCGGGGCCACAGCCGAAAAAGCCCTGGCTCTGGTGAAATGGTGAAAACTGCTACTCTTTTTGGTAGCATAAGCCTGCAGAGAGACAGGGAATGCAGCACAGAAATTGTTTTTAAGTCCTTAGGAAAGGAACTGAATATACATACATATATACATATATATATATCTATTTATATATATGAATTAAGTACTTAACCCAAGGTACCACTGTGTGTGTGTGTGTGTGTGTGTGCGCGCACACACACACACACACACACACTCTGGTACCTTGGGTTAAGTACTTAATTCATTCCGGAGGTCTGTCCTTAACCTGAAACTGTTCTTAACCTGAGGTACCACTTTAGCTAATGGGGCCTCCTGCTGCCACCGTGTGATTTCTGTTCTCATCCTGAAGCAAAGTTCTTGACCCGAGGTACTATTTCTGGGTTAGCGGAGTCTGTAACCTGAAGCGTCTGTAACCCGAGGTACCACTCTGTGTGTGTGTGTGTGTGTGTGTGTGTATGTGTATATATCTTCACTTCCCCAGTGGTAATTCTGTATTGATTGTTTTGGATGTTGTATGTGATGCCAATAAAAGGTTTGATGAAGATATTTCTTCAGTTGCAGGAGTCCTTTGGCTGGGACCCCTACATCCGCATCTTCGCAGAGTACCAAAAGATAACCTCCATCTCAAAGGACAACACCTTCAAGATGAATCAGTGGGCAATACGCTTCTCTACAGAAGTGAAGAAGGACCTGGGTCCTTTCTTTAAAGCCTGGGGGTGGCCGATTACAGATGAGCTCATTCAGGAGCTGGCCAGATCCTTCAGTCCCTGAGCAGGGGATCCAATGAAGGAGTACAAATAGTCCTGAGGAAGCGCAAGGGAAGCTAACAGAGGTCAGAACTAACTAAACACAGTGATCTTGCACAAAATCGACCCCTCGCAACACAAATTCCTTTGTAGTGATTCGCTTGCCAGCTACTGATGATATGGAGCAGTTTATTTGGCTGCTGCTGCTGCCTTAAAAAATATAAGCACCTCTTGCTGAGTTGCCATTTAGTGCTGTACCCGAAGGAGCCTGATTCATGGGCCTCTCCAGACTGGTGTTTTACCGCCGGTGTATCCCGCAGCTGTGGTGCAGCACGTTTAGCAAAGCTAAGCAGGGTCTGGGGTGGTTTCAAATTGGATGGGGACTTGCGTGTTGCGATTTATGCATTGCAGGGGGGTTGGACTTGATGGAAGGGGCCTGTTAGGGAACTGCCATCGGAGCCAGGGGGAGAGGGAGGGCTCCAGAGGGATTCCGGAGAGCGTCCCGGGAGGGAGAGAAGCAGCCCATCTTCTGGGGAAGGAAATCAGCGTAGCACCAGTGGAGAAGGGGGGCAGATGGGGGAATCGGCGAGGTGGCTCCATGACTCCTCGCCGGGGACCAGCGGGGAGAGCACGGGTCCTCCGCTGCCCACACCCTCCCTGCGCAGAAGGCTTCCGCGCAGGGAGGCTAGGCGGAGACTAGGCGTCAAAGAACTTCTTTGCTGGAAGAAGTTCAAGAAACGCCCACTGACGGATTCTGCCAGCGATTGAGACAGCCACGGGCGAGTGGCTGTCCGGACAGAAAAGGTTCACTCAGGCAACCCAGCCAGGTGTAGCGCCGATTTACGCACGAGCAACCCCTAGAACCATTACAGGGCCCTTCCAATTCTATGATTCTATGACACAATAATAGTGCATTGGCGGTGGGGTTTTTTCTGCTTTATTGTTTTACTCTTTGAATATTTTTAATTGGATTTTAAATGTGTTAATACAAACCCAAGGAGGAGAAAATCATGTTAACGAAAGAAGAAGATTTGGGGTACATAAGACAGACATATCAGCCTCATTAAATGAAGAGATTTGCATCAAAAAAGTGTTGCGTCATTGGTGTCCTTATAGTACCGTATTTTTCGCTCTATAAGACGCACCAGACCACAAGACGCACCTAGTTTTTGGAGGAGGAAAACAAGAAAAAAAATATTCTGAATCCCAGAAGCCAGAACAGCAAGAGGGATTGCTGCGCAGCAAAAGCAGCGATCCCTCTTGCTGTTCTGGCTTCTGGGATAGCTGCGCAGCCTGCATTCGCTCCATAAGATGCACACACATTTCCCCTTACTTTTTAGAAGGGAAAAAGTGAGTCTTATAGAGCAAAAAATATGGTATTTAAGAGAACATTTTGCCCGGGGAACCTAAAAGGTTGAAACCTGCATATAACCTCTTTATAAAGCCACCAGGGTCACATATATATCAAAGTCCCTTTCCTATTTAGGTATAACAAGAACGTCTCCCTTATACTTTCAAATTGCTCTTTCTTAGCAGTTCCCCTAAGCACACAGTACTGACAAACTAAATGTTCAAAAAAGGCATGTCCTAGATTTTTTGTCTAACCCACCATTCTTGCTGAATACTGATGTTTTCCAATGGCTGGACAAGTAAATCCCATCAAATACAACAGGAGTTTCTTCTGAGTAGCCAAACATAGGATTGTGTTGCAAGATGGGCAGAATTTATAGAGCGCAATGTTGATAACAACAATAAAACTGCTACCACCTAGAAACACGTCATAGTTTTCATTTTATTTAACAAGACTTGTGTACAGCTTTTGAAAAAAGAGATCTTAAAAAATAGAACATCTTCTCAATCCACCACCAGTTTCTTTTAAGAACTTCACAACCTGTGAACAGAATTGGCAGTGAGAGGACTTTGTGAGCATCTCTGGTTGGGAGATGATTTTATACATCCTTCCTCTATCTTGGGGATAAAACTAGCTCTCTCTGCAATCAGCTGCACACTAGTTACAGGAACCATTGAAAAGATCCACTTTCTTCTTCCCATAAAGTTCAGCTAGGATTTTCTGGAGGGTCTCCAAGCTGTATTCCTTGACTTCATTCTCACTGTTTTTCGCAAGGGCAGCCCAGGATTTTCTGTGCTGGTTATCAAGCACACAGCAAGCTGCCGACCAGATGTGGCTGGGCTTATTGACCCTGAGGTCCGAGATATACTCATCCCCCGGCACAGCTCCCACGAGGACGTACATATCACGGCAAGCCTGGGCTTCTTTCTTGAGGAGGCTCTCGTGCTCGGCCCAGGCACCTTCGTTGAGCTTGCTATACTGGGGCACGATATTGGTCAAAGTGGAAGTGGCCGCTCTGCTGTCCTCGTCCGGTTGGTGGCTCACTGGGTTCAAGTGCCCCTTTTCAATGCTTAAGGCCTGTGCATAATCGTCAAAAGTGGCCTGGCTCTTCTTAATCCCTGCGGCGGCGACGTTGGTTTCACGCTCGTCTTCCATGCCCTTCCCCAAAGTCGGGTCTACGAGCTGAAAAACAGCAAGGAAAATAGGTCAACTGCTCCCTGCTCAGACATGCAGTGGAACCAGACAGAGGGCCTTCTCGGTAGTGGCGCCCGCCCTGTGGAACACCCTCCCTTCAGATGTGAAGGAAATAAGTAGCTATCCTATCTTTAAAAGACATCTGAAGGCAGCCCTGTTCAGGGAAGTTTTTAACATTTAATGCTGTATTGTTTTTAATACTTGATTGGGAGCTGCCCAAAGTGGCTGGGGAAACTCAGCCAGATGGGCGGGGTATAAATAAATTATTATTATTATTATTATTATTATTATTATTAACCAAACCTTTGAGACTGAGGCTACATCCACGTCATACAGCACTATCGTGTCACTTGGACAGTCTTGATTTCCTGCAAAGATTTCTGAGAACTTTAGCTTGTTAAAGGCGCTGAGAGTCGTTAGGAGACCCCCCTATACCCCCCTCCCGAAGCTACAATTCCCAGAGCCCACTGGGAAGAGGGATTGGTTGCTAAGCCACTCTGAGAATTGTGCAGAAAGCAGTGATGATAGGTTGCACATTAACTTTGAGTAAAAGTTAATTTTGAGTAGACCTATTGAAATCAATGACCATGCATAATAATAATAATTTTATTATTTATGCCCCAGCCATCTGACTGGGTTGCCCCTGCCACTCTGGGCAGCTTACAGCATATATAAAACATAGTAAAATATCAGACTTCCTGATACAGGGCTGCCTTCAGTTGTCTTCTAAAAGTCAGACAGTTGTTTATTTCCTTGACATCTGACGGGAGGGCGTTCCACAGGGAAGGCGCCACTACCGAGAAGGCCTTCTGCCTGGTTCCCTGTAACTCTGCTTCTCACAATGATTAAGGAAGGTTCGTTCATTTTAATGGGTCTACTCTTTGAGTAAAAGCTAGTTGGGCACAACCTAATAAGCACAAATGTATTTGTTTATAAAAACGGTTGTATACCACAATTTCATAAAGTGTATCAAACAAGTTTATAACACTTATAATAAAATCAGGTAAAGAACTGGAACAGATTCCCAGCTAATTACCGCAGAAAATGTTTATCTTCGTTGTCCACTTAAGCCTGGCGGCAAAGAAACATATTTAAGCAGATGTTTAAAGGTTAATCTATAGAAGACGGCTGCTGAATCTTGCAGGAGCAGTGAACCTGGGAGGGGCTACCTGGTGTTGCTAAACTACAACTCCCACCGGCCCTAGCGAGCAAGAATGATGGGAGTTGTAGTTCAGCCATTGGTGACACCGGTTCCTTGAACCTGCTCTGTTTGGTGGCATTCCACAGGGGTGGGACGACGACACTCAATTGTCAGCTGAGTCTCACCAAATATGGTGCAGAAAAACAGGTGGCAAAGTGGAAGTTCCTTTTGGATTGGGCAGGTGAGAAGTCCCCTTACCTGTGGCTCTATCATCCATCCTTGATATCTGTGTCCCTTCCCAGGTTTGCATTTGTAAGCGGAGTAGATGGGAATCCGTTTCTCCCGGTCGTACATCGTGGCAAAGCGATAGGCGTTCCTATAGAACTGGCAGATCTTGGCTTCTCTGGGCGGCGTCAGAGATTCTCCAGGGGGCATCTTGTCCAAGAAGAACTCGAGGCAGTTCTTAAAATCCTGGACCACCTCTCCCTTTGTGGCAGCGAGAAAACGTGCAGCCCCATAGAGGAGGAAAGGCAGCAACATTCCTAAGCTGTGTTTACCGTCCTATAGGTACCGTCCGAAACCTAGAGGTGTCGGAAGCGATGCTAGAGGTGGTGAATCAATGGTCACTGTCAAGATCTTATAAAGAAGAGGTCAGCAAGAATTTCTCCCAGGGGTTTTTGTGTGTGTGTGAAAATGTCAGATGCGGCGGAGAAACGGGTGGGTCGGTGCAGGGTTATCAAAAATGCAGAGGCAGCCGTGAATCTGATAAGGAACATCAGAGCCACTCCCTCTCTGAGTTTACCCACAATTTGCAATTCAAGCCGGAGGAACGTGAGAATACAAATCCCTGTTTGAATTTGCACACCAGAGGTATTGATAAGGCACAGAAAGGGGTGAAAGATATGTAATGTGTTTGCTGTTAACGTGGTCTGCTTCCAATGAATTTCAAAGTCACTATAGCAGGCACCAGAAATAACTTCATATATTTAGTTGGAATCTCCTGTCTTGTAATTTGAATATATTGGTTTCTGTCCTCCTCTCTGGAGCAGCAGAAAACCAGCTTGCTTCATCCTCCATGTGGCAGTCCTTCAGCTATCACATCACCTGTCTTCTTTTCTCCAGGCTAAACATGCCCAATAAAATTAGTTTGAGTTTCTTTAGTTTACCTACCAATAAGACTTTCCCAGTAGTGATGTATGGAAGTGAGAGCTGGACCATAAAGAAGGCTGATCGCCGAAGAATTGATGGAGAACGAGATGGTGGGACAGTGTTCTCGAAGCTACCAGCATGAGTTTGACCAAGCTGCGGGAGGCAGTGGAAGACAGGAGTGCCTGGCGTGCTCTGCTCCATGGGGTCACAAAGAGGCAGACACGACTAAATGACTAAACAACAACAAACCGATAAGACATTTCCTTCTTCAGTAGACAGGTGTTCAGACAGCTGTTAACAGCTGCAGTTCTTCGACACAGAGCAGCAGCCGATCCTGATTTTTATGTGTATCTGTCACGTCAACAGAGTGGTTTTTCATTTTGCTTGTGGTGAATTTCAAATCTTTGGGAGTGTTGGATGCCTCTAGGGTAGAGAAGCCTGCCTCTAGCATGCCCCCAAGCAGAAAGGAAGGGTGTTTTGCATGAAGTTCCAGCTAGATCAGTTGCTGCCTCTGAAGTTCACTGAAGCAGATTTTCTGGCCGCAGTCTGTTTCCCCTCCCATTGCATCCAGTCCTATTTCCAGCCTTTCTGTAAATTGAGAATAGTTTAATTCAGGCATGGCCAAACTTGGTGGTCCAGCTGTTTTGGGACTACAACTCCCATCATCCCTGACCACTGGTCCTGTTAGCTAGGGATGATGGGAGTTGTAGTCCCAAAACAGCTGGAGGGCCAACTTTGGCCGTGCCTGGTTTAATTGAACAAAATAAAGTAGAAATAAAAAGCGGATGAAGAAGAAAATATATATTACAGTGTATCATTTTATATGCAAACAACTTCAATACCATTGCCTAGGATATAAGCATATAAATGTTATTATTATCCAAATACATATATGTTCATAACCTACTATATTTTTTGTAAACACGGTCCAAATGTCATTATACTTGTCCAGAAAAAGTCTACACTTTTAAGCGATCTGTCCATAAGTTGCGAGTGTTGTCATATCTCAAAATCCATTGACCAAAAAGAAGCCATAGATTTATCTTTCCAATGCATCAATCTCTGTCTTTGGGCTGTAAGTAAGGGCATGAAAAATCAATTTACGCTGCCCAGTTGTACAATACAATAGGTTTGTAATTCCAAATAATATTTTCCTCTGGCCTATTTCCAGTCTTGTGTATGTGTGTGAATGTTAAAAACTTTGGGGAGATTTGTAGGAGAGAATCTGGAGGCTCAACAAGTCTCTCTCTCTCACCACTGGACCAGAGCCAAGGCTAGTCTAGTCCATTGCCCTGATCTCTGCAATCATAATAAATAATAATAATAAAAAAATTTTATTTATATCCTGCCCTCCCCAGCGGAAGCCGGGCTCAGAGTGGCCAACAACAGTAAAAGTAACACAGCATTCTAAAGTCAATTCATTTTAAAGTCAAATTAATGGCAACCACTGGGCTAGATTTCTATGAGGATTACCAAAGGAGAGGGTCAGGCTATGTCCTGGTCAAAGGCCCTGCGGAAAGATGTCAAGTCCCGCAGGGCCCTAGTCTCTTGACAGAGCGTTCCACCAGATCGGGGCCACACCCGAAAAAGCCCTGGCTCTGGTCGAGGCCAGCCTAACCTCCCTGTGGCCCGGGATCTCCAAGATGTTTTTATTTGAAGACCGTAAGGTCCTCTGTGGGACATACCAGGAGAGGCGGTCCCGTAGGTGCGAGGGTCCTAGTCCGTATAGGGCTTTAAAGGTTAAAACCAGCACCTCAAACCTGATCCTGTACTCCACCGGGAGCCAGTGCGGCTACAGATAGCACTACAGATATGTACTTTTGTATCATTTTAGTGTGGGCATGTGCATTCTGTGACGGGAGATTTTGTAAGCTGTTTTTCAGCCACCCCCAGCTTGATTTGCTTCCAGTCCCATCCAGTATGAGCATACTGGGTGCAGCTGATGGGAACCGGAGATCCAAAACACTTGGAAATATTTGGGAAGGTTGCCTGGGATGCCTCTAACCCCCCTTACAATGGCAGCAACCTCTGGTAGTATAGCTAACCATTTAAAAGATGTTTCAGGCTGCAATATCCTTGACCACCTTGCCCGGCAGTAAGCCCATTTAACTCAACGGGGTGTCTCCTGAATAAAGACTGCACTGGGACCCCGGTTCCTTGCTTAGCCTCAGTGCCAATGATTTAACATTTTGAAAGACTCTCTAATCTTGAGTCAGATTCCTGCTAGCTCAGGGCCAAATGGGATTCTGATGTCCCTTTGCATTTACAACACAGGCTTTTTTTCTTTTTAAATGCAAAGTGTATCAGCTGCAGGGCTGATAATTAACAAGATTTACTCTCTCTGTAGTTCCCCTTTCCCTTGCCTTTCTTCTTTCTTTATTGCATTTATATCCCAACTTTTTCTTCCAGGTTCTCAGGTTCTCCCTCTTTTGTTTTGTTTTGCTTTGAATTTAGGTAGTTAAGCCTATAATGGTGGTTCCGCCTCCACCCCCTCCAATATTGAATTTATTCTGTGTTTGTCAAATTTCTGATTTTTTAATGTAGTGGCCTGCTGTGCATTTTGTATATTTGTATTTGGACATCTTGAAATTTTGCAGAAAGCTGCTTTGGGTACAGCTCATTGTGGGAAAGCGGCATATAAGTAAACTCAATAAGTAAAGCAATCTCCACAACAGCCCTGTGAGGTACTTTTGGCTGAGAGGCCAGCCAGCGAGCTTCATGGATGAGGATTCGAACCCAGGTTCCCAAGTCCTAGTCCAGCAATCTAACCACTGCATTATTAGCTCTCATTGCTATTCTTCTTCTTTGGCAATTACTCATAAGATTGTCTTCCATGAACACTGTCTTAACAGTGGGTCTGTAAGTGACTGTGGAGGCCAATTCTGGATCCACACGTCCTTTCACAGTGGGGACATAGGTTTCTGGGCGCGAGTTGATCAAGGTGTGGATTTGCTAAGCATGCTTTCATCTTAGCACGTTTCTCCCTTGCGTCCCGAGTTCGAGTGTCTTCAAAGCCCATGACATCTTTGGTAAAGGCTGTTCTCCAGCTGGAGCACTCGCAGGCCAGTGTTTCCGAGTTGTGGGTGTTTATACTACATTTTTTTAGATTTGCCTTGAGAGAGTCTTTAAACCTCTTTTGTTGACCACCAGCATTACGCTTTCCATTTTTAAGTTTGCAATAGAGTAGTTGCTTTGGAAGACGATAATCAGGCATCCGAACAACATGAACAGTCCAATGAAGCTGATGTTGAAGAATCATTGACACTGGTGATCTTTGCTTCTTCCAGTACACTGCTTTTAGGCTGCCTGTCTTCCCAAGTGATTTGTAAATTTTTCCAGACAGCATTGATGGAATCTTTCAAGGAGTTGGAGATGGCGTTTATAAGTGGTCCATGTGTCACAAGCATGCAGTAAGGTTGGTAGTACAATAGCTTTGTAAACAAGCATTTTGGTTTCCCTGTGAATGGCCTTTTACTTTTTCCTCATTGCTATAGTAGTAGTCTTCTCTTCTTTGGCGATCCCTCATAGCCAAGTAAGATTGTCTTCAATAAACACAGTCTTAACAATGAGTCCGTAAGTGACTGTGGAGGCCAGTTCTGGATCCACACGTCCTTCCACAGTGGGGACATTGGTTTCCAGGCGGGAGTTGATCACAGTGTGGATTTGCCAAGTGTGCCTTCCTCTTAGCACGTTTCTCCCTTGCGTCCTGAGTTCGAGTGTCTTCTAAGCCCATGACACCTTTGGTAAAGGCTGTTCTCCAACTGGAGCACTCGCAGGCAAGTGTTTCCCAGTTGTCAGTGTTTATACTACATATAGTAGTAGTATGACTTGCTTTACCCCAGCAGGTCCCAGGGTGAGCTCAGCAACTTAAAATTCAGTTTTTAAAACAGTTAAAACAAATTAGGAATAGGATATTATTACACCACCATTTGCCTTTAAAAAAATCTGCATATTAAAAATCAAAGGTGCATTTAATGAGACATCTGGGGTGGACCCAGATTAATGGACCCCCCCCTTCCCCTCACAAAGTTACAATTCCCAGAGAGGCAACTCTGCGAATTGTAGCTCTCTGAAGCACCCTAACAACTCCCAGCACCCTTAATAAACTACATCTCCCAGGATTCTTTGCGGGAACCCACGACGGCTTAAAGTGGTATCCTAGTGCTTTGAATGTATGGAATGAATGCAACCAGAATTACATTTTCCCGGGAAGAGGGAATATTTAACTCAGTTTAAACCTGACACACCACACAGACATACATGGACTGAGGCGGACAGAGCAATAGCAGGCAAGCAACCTATTTATGAATCACTCAAAAATAGCAGTAATATCTGCTCCCAGCATTCAGTCACAAGGGCACTTGGCTTTTGCTTTGTCGGGTGGAGGAGGATTACAGCAAAAGCACCAAAAATAAATCTTTAGCTTGTTCAAACAGTGTAATTCCAAATTTCTTTATTTCATGGAGCTCAGGCGCCCTCTTGTGCTCAAAGGCTGTCGCTTACCCACAACAACAACACCACAGCAATTGACAGCATGTCAGGTTGCTGCTTTTAGATGGAGGAAAAAAACACCACAGTTGCTATTTTGTGCAAGGTACATTTTGTCTGTTTTGCTTTCTGTGCTTTTTGAAACAGTCGGTTACTCTGCCAGAAGCGACAGAGCCTAGGGAGGACGCATGTGTTTGTAGGAGGAATGTGCCGAGACAGAAGATGCGCTCTGCGTTTAATGAGCTGAGGGCCAGACAGGGAGAGCTGGGGACGTTCAGTCCGGAAACTGAGGTCCAGCTCCGAGGGCCTTCTGGCGGTTCCCTCACTGCGAGAAGCCAAGTTACAGGGAACCAGGCAGAGGGCCTTCTCGGTGGTGGCGCCCTCCCACCAGATGTCAAGGCAATAAACAACTATCTGACTTTTAGAAGACATCTGAAGGCAGCCCTGTTTAGGGAAGCTTTTAATGTTTGATGCTTTGTCACTTTTTTATTATTAATATAATCATTAATTATGTTGGGAGCCACCCAGAGTGGCTGGGGAAACCCGGCCAGATGGGTGGGGTATAAATAATATTGTTGTTGTTATTTGCAAACCTGAGATTTCCCTTGGCAGGTTTCCCTCCTTCATTGCAAGTTTTTTTTTAAAAAAAAGTTTTATTACATTTTCAATTTTTTGTTATCACAATATCCATACATAAATCAATAAGCTCAAACATCGCTCTTTTCGAGCATTAACCTCCTCCCGCCCCTCTTTCTGACTTCCGTACATATTTACCTTCTTAGCATTTCTATAGCCACCTTTTGACCTTCTCTCTTATTTTTATATTTCCTCTTATTAAATGTAAATCGGTTCCTTATATTGTCATTACAAAACATTTCATCTCAAAGCTACAAACGTTTTCAGATGTTTACAATATTCTTTCATATATCATATAAATTTGCTCTAGTCCTTTTGAAACATTTCCTTCATTGCAAGTTTTTAAGCACAAGTTTGATGGCCCCATTTCACAGATGCCTTAGCTGATATTCCTGCACCATGGGGGGGTTGGACTAGATGACCATTGGATCCCTTCTAAATCTACAATTCCATGTCTACCTAAAACCCTGAAGACCCACAGACAGTACAGATCTATCTCTCTCTTTCTGTTGCACTTATATCCCACCTTTTTGTCCAAGGTACCCAAGGTGAGGGAGGTGAGACTTAAGAGGCAGTAACTGGCCCAAAGTCACACTCAGTGAACTCCATGGCTGAGTGGGAATTCGAACCCTTGTCTCTCCCCCCCCCCCCCCAAGTCCCAATCAAGCACTCTAACCATGACACCACGCTGGCTTCGTATTGAAAACAAATCAAACGTGGCAAGAAAAACTGATGAGTTATGCAAAGTAGGCTAAACTGACATATAAATTGCGGGACAACTGTGGTTTTAAGGAAGAATGGGAGCTTTTTTACAAATTATTTAAAAGGACAACAAAATGAACTGGACTCCTTGGCAGGTTTTGAATAAACATACACAGATTTATTGGTTGATGTTAGATAGATAATGTAAGGATATGTAAAATTTTATAACATGCAGAGAATCGCAGCTGTCAACCTTTCCCTTTTCTTGTGAGGAATCCTATTCGGAATAAGGGAATTTCCCTTAAAAAAAAGGGAAATGTTGACAGCTACGCAGAGAATAATATGTGCTGAGAAATCAAAGTCTTTGGTGGGGGTAGGGAAAAAATAATGTATGTGATTATATGGTTTCATAATTTGTTATGTTGAAATTGCTAATAAAAATAATTTTTTAAAAAGAAAACAAATCAAACGTTTCACGTGAATGTGACAGTGGTTTTAGGGGGGCGTTTAGGAGCATGAAGCGACAGCGAGTCAGCTGGTTGGGAACTGTAGATGATTGCCCTAAACTGGAGTGGGTGTCTGGATCCGTGCTTATGTATACAGAAGTTCTGTTGGGGTGGAGACCCTGGCGGAATATGGACCCTTCTTAAAGACTAGGCTGCTGCATGAAAAAGCAACACCAGAGGGCAGCACACCCTCAAAGATTTTAGCTGCATGTGCTCATGTTGGGGTGAGAACATAGCTCAGCGGCAGAGCACATTTTTTGCACATTAATTCCTTGGTAGCACCAGCTCAAAGGATCTTCTAGCAGCCGCTGGGCATGTTTAGCCTGGAGGAGACGGAGAGGAGATACGATAGCCATCTTCAGATACCTCGAGGGCTGTCACATGGAACAAGCTTGTTTTCTCCTGCTCCTGGAGGGTAAGACTCGAACCCACGGCTTCAAGTTACAAGAAAGCAGATTCTGACCAAACATCAGGAAGATGTTTCTGGCAGCCAGAGCTGTTGGACAATGGAATAGACTCCTGTGGAAGCTGGTGGACTCTCCTTCCTTGCAGGTTTTTAAGCAGAGGTTGGATTCTCTAGGCTAACAGATTGAGGTTGAATCCTGACAAGACGGAAGTACTGTTCTTGGGGGACAGGGAGCGGGCTGGTGTGGAGGACTCCCTGGTCCTGAATGGGGTTACTGTTCCCCTGAAGGACCAGGTGTGCAGCCTGGGAGTCATTCTGGACTCACAGCTGTCCATGGAGGCGCAAGTCAATTTTGTGTCCAGGGCAGCTGTCTGCCAGCTCCATCTGGTACGCAGGCTGAGACCCTATCTGCCCACAGACTGTCTCACCAGAGTGGTGCATGCTCTGGTTATCTCCCGCTTGGACTACTGCAATGCACTCTCCATGGGGCTCCCTTTGAAGGCGACTTGGAAACTACAACTAATCCAGAATGCGGCAGCTAGACTAGTGACTGGGGGCGGCCGCCGAGACCACATAACACTGGTCTTCAAAGACCTACATTGGCTCCCAGTACCTTTCTGAGCACAATTCAAAGTGTTGGTGCTGACCTTTAAAGCCCTAAATGGCCTCAGTCCAGTATACCTGAAGGAGCGTCTCCATCCCCATCGTTCTGCCCAGACACCGAGGTCCAGCGATGAGGGCCTTCTGGCGGTTCCCTCCCTGCGAGAAACCAAGTTACAGGGAACCAGGCAGAGGGCCTTCTCGGTAGTGGCGCCCTCCCTGTGGAACACCCTCCCATCCGCAAAGAGAAGACCAACTACCAAACCTTTAGAAGACAGCTGAAGGCAGCCCTGTTTAGGGAAGCTTTTAATGTTTGATGTATTATGGTATTTTAATATTTTGTTGGAAGCTGTCCAGAGTGCCTGGGGAAGCCCAGCCAGATGGGTGGAGTATAAATAATAAATTATTATTATTATTATTATTATTATTATTATTATTATTATTAGTTGAGATTCCTGCATTGCAGGCGGTTGGACTAGATCACCCTTAGTGTCCCCTGCAACTCTACGATTCTATTATTCTAGGCAGATTCTTGCAAAGAATGGGGCCAGTGCTGGGAAACATTTTGAGGTGGGAAAGAGCCTTGCAGTAATTGGCACCTCACACAATCTTTTGATTGTCCGCAGATCGCAAGTCAACATTCTTCCTTGACATGATGGATTCCTTTCACGTAACCAGACGATTCTGCACACGCATGCAACTTTTGAAAGGGAAAATAACGGCAGGTACAATTTATGCTGCGGTTGACTTGCAAACTGCGCCGCAATCTTTATTGCACTGGTCTCCACAACAGCCTTGTGAGGTAGACTGCTCCTACCCCCCCACCTTGCAGATGAGAACTGACATATCCCAGTTTCAGACACTGTCTCTTCACCTTGAAGCAGACCTTCAAATCCAGGTTTTTGCAGTTCCAGCTCTCCAACCAACTGAAGCACACAATTTATTTGAAATACAGTTGCAGCTTTGGATCGGCTTATACACGGTGCTCTTCCCCAATCACTATAACCGATTTCAAATGGTGCTAGAAAGAGAAATAGACTCTGAACACCAGAAGAAATCAGTCATCCTCTAAAGGGGTTACTGGAATCTGTAGATGTTGATGCTAATGTAATATGTGCTGAGAATAATGAAAGTATATATATGTTAAAACAGCAACACAGCATACGTTCAGTTCAGATGCTGAACAAGCAAAGATTCCATTGTGTAAGTCTAATTAAACACCTTCACATCTTAATAGGATATTGGATGTGACTGACAAAGCTATGGCAGGAGTCCTTTACACCAGCCAATGCAATTTCCTTTGAATCGCTGCAGCATATCCTATGTTATCTGTAGCCATTCTGAAAACTACCTCTCTTTTGCTTATTACACATGTTTTGTTGAATCATCGTTCCAATTTGTCTCTGGCTGTGTTTTTACTTGCAAACAAACAAACAAAAAAAGACTCTTAATAATATGCATAAGATCTGCCTTGTTTTTACTCTTTTTGCAAACCGCCTTAAGGTTTTTGCTTTTGCAATCAAGCGGTATATGAATTTTGTTAAATAAATCAAGAGAACGTCCCAGAGAAAAGTCCCACACAGAAATGGGATTCTAAATGGGCTCTAAACTCCGAGTGTCTGATAACCCACTTAATTCCTCACCAAGCAAACCTTGCTCTGTTCTCCCCCTTCACCTCGCAACTTTACTAAACACAGCTGAGCATCTCAATCTCTCTTTTTAACCAGTTCCCTAGGAGGACACAATTCTGATGGGTTATGCTAAAAAAACAAACCATGGTTAGATGGTCATCTGTCAGAGATCCTCCAGTCATGATTCCTGCATTGCAGGGAGCTAGACTAGAGAACGCTTGGGATTTCCTCTTCCAACTCTACGGCCTTTGCTCAACATTAATACCGTGCCGTGTGAGTCCGTACAGGTGATAAATCCTTTTCTGACGCGGTTTGTCCCAGAAGGATTTTTCAGAAGGCCTTGCACTTCCTTTGCCTCCAAACCAGAGTCGCTTCCCGTCCGGCGAACGCGCAGCCAACCTTCCCCCAAAAACACTGATTTCAAATGGTGCTAGACATCGTGTAGTTAAATCTAAACCACCATATGAAACCAGCTTCCTGAGGGAGCTCCAGACAGACTTCCTCCGACGGCAGAAGAGGCCGCAGCCTGACCTAGAAAGAAGAGATGTGAGCGCACGGGGTGGGCATTTTCTTTCATCTAAATAATAATAATTAAACAGGCCCCACTGGCAATCAGGAACGGGGAACTATGTGCCAATGATGTGATGTTAGCCATCAGCTTATCCACCATTAGTGGGGAGAGAAACATGATTCACTTTGCATTCAAAGGCAAAAAAACCAGACTTCCAGAAACGAAGATGTGAACATTTGGAACATTAGAACTTCCTCGAGTTTTGAAATACAGTTCTCCCGGTCAATTAACGTGTACAAAAATGCACACACTTGGGCAAAGTATGTATATATATCAGTGAAAACAGCGTATGTGCGTGCACACACACAAATGCATTGTATTGTGGGAAACCGCATTTTCAAAAGGTGCGTATTATAAATTGGGTGGCACATTTTCACGAGGTTGTCTGACGTAGAAGGGCAGAGAGCTAAACCGAAGGCTGGGAAAATGAGAAAGGGAGAGACCGATTCGCCCATTCCGACAACTGTATGTGACAAATGAAGTTCACACTGGAAAACCCTTCTTGGGTGTGAAAGCTATGACAGCTGACCTTTGTGGAAGAAGGTAGTCAGATCTGCGAGCTCCAGGATAGGCTAATAGCCCTTAGCTATCAAGGGTCGCAGGTGGCGCTGTGGGTTAAACCACGGAGCCTAGGGCTTGCCGATCAGAAGGTTGGCGGTTCGAATCCCCACGACGGGGTGAGCTCCCGTTGCTCGGTCCCTGCTCCTGCCAACCTAGCAGTTTGAAAGCACGTCAAAGTGCGAGTAGATAAATAGGTACCACTCCGGCGGGAAGGTAAATGGCGTTTCCGTGCGTTGCTCTGGTTCGCCAGAAACAGCTTAGTCATGCTGGCCACATGACCCGGAAGCTGTACGCCGGCTCCCTCGGCCAATAAAGCGAGATGAGCACCGCAACCCCAGAGTCGGCCACGACTGGACCTAATGGTCAGGGGTCCCTTTACCCTTTACCAGCTGGAAAACTTTCAGCTCTGTGTTTTCTAGTCAACAGGTGAAGAGAAGGCATCGCCTTGACCCCGGCCAAAACTCCTTCCAGGATCAAAACAACCCTGGTTTGACATCTTCTGGGTATTGGTTTGCACATGTCGCCACGGCTCTTAACTCCCATTTTGGCTCCTTATCTCCCAACACGTAAAGGGCAGCAGAGGAAATTCAAAGCCTCCTCTCCACAGCTGGGCACTTCTCCTTCCTCCCCGAGAAAACCGAATTCCTGTGGTTGGAAGTTCTAAACGAGAAGCAATCCATCATCTCACTCTGGCTGGTGAAAAGGACAACTGTGTGCGCATTCTGGAAGCGTGACTCCGGGATTAATCACAAAGGCTCCGAACTGGCAGCCTCTCGGAGAGGTTTCTCGAAGGGGAAGAAGTGCTTCTGGAGGGAGGCGTTCCAAAAATATGAGCGTAGTTCCTTTCCTCCCCCCCCCCCGCTTCCCCCACCCCTGGGCTGGTGCATGTGCAAATGTGGTTTGCAGATTGCAGGGCGGTCTCCTGCAACATCTGTGCAACCTCTGCGCTACACTGGGGAAGGGAGAAGCCTTTGACCCTCCAGATGTTGACGGACTTATTAGCATCCATCTGTCTTGAGAGGCAATGGAGTTAAGCTCTGGGGGTGAAGCCAACCACTGCATTAGCAACGCCAAAGTGACCTTCCTGGGGAGCAAACCTGGGCAGTGTGTGTGGAGGTCCTGGGCTGCCCAGTCAAAAAGACACTCCTCTCTCAGCCTCGCTGATGTGGTCCAAAGGAAAGCAAAGCAAGACGTTTAGCACCAACTTGGCGGCAGAAATTGCCGGAAGGAAGCGTACAGGGCACCATCTGACCGTCTTAGGGATTCCACATCGGATTTGTGTAGGGTCCCCCCGCTTATCCTTGTCTTCTCCCAAAGATACCCCACAAGGCAACAGAGGTTTAGGGACAGAGTCTTCCTTCTCCTAGATGGGCTACTTTCCCAGGCTGACCACCCACAATTGCCCCTTGATGGACTATAATGCCTGTGATCTCCAGCTTTTAAAGTGGAGATTCTTATCTCAGTCTGTTTCTATACAGTGGTACCTCGGGTTACAGATGCTTCAGGTTACAGACTCTGCTAACCCAGACCTCGGGTTAAGAACTTTGCTTCAGGATGAGAACAGAAATCGTGTGGCGGCAGCGGAAGGCCCCATTAGCTAAAGTGGTACCTTAGGTTAAGAACAGGCCTCCAGAACGAATTAAGTTCTTAACCTGAGGTACCACTGTACTGGCTCCGAAACTGTTTTCAAATACGTTCCATATTGTTAAAATTGCTTTGGGATGGTTCAACCGAAGCGATTCCTACATCAAAACAAACGAGCAGATCAGATTTTTAAACAGAGGTTTTGAAAGGCCACCTGTCAGGGATTACAGTGGTACCTCAGGTTACATACGCTTCAGGTTACAGAATCCACTAACCCAGAAATAGTGCTTCAGGTTAAGAGCTTTGCTTCAGGATGAGAAGAGAAATCGTGCTCCGGCAGCAGCAGGAGGCCCCATTAGCTAAAGTGGTGCTTCAGGTTAAGAACAGTTTCAGGTTAAGAACGGACGTCTGGAACAAATTAAGTACTTAACCCGAGGTACCACTGTATTTAGTTGTGATTCCTGCATTGCGGTGGGGGGTCGGGGTCCCGTCCAACTCTACAGTTCTCTGAGTCCATTAAGTCATCCAACCAAGTTCAAGAGAAGCCCCCGAGTTAAGTTTGCATTCTTCTTCCTGCTTCGCAGGTCCAAGGCCAAATCCTTGGGGTATCAGCCTGCCGTTTCCTAGTCCTCAGCCAAGTTTTCCCCTGAACCACAGTCTACATCCTCTCTCCCCCCCCCTACTCACACCCAAATTCAGGGTCTCTTCAACACCCTAATCACACAGCTTTTGCCAACCTGCCTTTCCGGCTGGGGCTGACGTGAACTGGAGTCCAAACATCTGGAGCACGTCCCCTTGGCAAAGGCCACTGTGACCAGTGAACCACCGCTGCCTCCTGAAACGAATCCCGCGCAGAAGATCCCCAAGAAGGGGAAAAAAAACCCCACATCTTTCTCGGTAGCAGCTGGCTTCTTAGCAGCGTTGCTTCTTTTGGCACACGGCATCCTCGCGAGGCGAACATCTGCACCTTAAAATAAAAAGGGATTACTGTTAGTATTAAAACGATGCCAGTAACATTCCAGCCCTCAGCGTTCATTGCTTTTAATTCACCCTCATTTTTTAATTCAAGTGAGGAAGAGGGAGGGAAGGAACAGCAGGGGGAAGAAAGGAATCAGGCTCTTTAAGAAGGGAATTGGACAAAGGAGAGGGCTATTGATGGCTCCTCAACGCCAGTTGCTGGAAACGGCAGGAAGGGAGAGGGCTCTTGTGTTTTGTGTTCGAATCCTGCCTGTGGGCCTGATCCTGCAGGCGCCTCTTGTTTCCTTATGACGGCTGGCAATTCTGTTTCCAAAGGCCAAAGCAGCTTCCTTCCTTTGGGCCTCTGGATGCCCTTACATAATTCCCAAAGCAGCAGGAATGTCTCGGCTGAGACTGTCTCCAGCCGATCTCTTTCCCTATATATGGCTTTCCAAAAGGGAAAGGAGGAAATGCAAGCATTCTCTGGGGATCCATCATGCCCTCGTATCGTAGAGTTGGAAGGGATCCCAAGAGGCATCTAGTCTAGCCCTCTGCAATGCCGGAATCTCAGCTAGATCATACATGACAAACGGCTACCTGGTAAAGGTAAAGGGACCCCTGACCATTAGGTCCAGTCATGACTGACTCTGGGGTTGTGGCGCTCATCTCGCTTTATTGGCCGAGGGAGCCAGCGTACAGCTTCTAGTTCATGTGGCCAGCATGACTAAGCCGCTTCTGGCGAACCAGAGCAGCGCACGGAAACGCCTTTTACCTTCCCGCTGGAGCGGTACCTATTTATCTACTTGCACTTTGACGTGCTTTCGAACTGCTCGGTTGGCAAGAGCAGGGGCTGAGCAACGGGAGTTCACCCCGTTGCGGGGATTCGAACCGCTGACCTTCTGATCGGCAAGTCCTAGGCTCTGTGGTTTAACCCACAGCGCCACTGGGTCTGACACCGGCTTAAATAGGAAGGAAAGCCTGCCACCTCACATGTCCACGTAGTTCTACTGCTGGTCCTTGCTGAGCTGGAAGCTGCAATACTACCCTCTGGCCACCATAGGGCGC